TGCACCCTAGAAGTGTTAGTTGGTAATTATTTTCATGGTTTCAGCTAAAGACCTTTTAGCAGCCATGCATTTGGACAAATTTAATCCCAGAGAGAGGGATTAACTGCTTTTAAAGCATGGGGGGTTGAAAATTGGCATGACATTATGCTGCACAATTCAGGCTCTCATTTTCTCCTATTATATTATTGGGAAAATTCCCTCACACTGTATGTATTTTTTTATTCAGCAGCCTGATGGTGATATTCTGGTGGTTGACTGATTAGTGTCTGATGTCAGTTATGACAAGGATGCTGAAATGTTTGCTCTGTCTGGAACAGGCTACATGGATACAAAACATCCCACAGAGTTAATTGTGGACTTGGTAAAGTGAATATCACGTATGTATTGTGTTCCCTGCTTGGAAAACCTCACGCCTGTAAATACACCATGTAAACCAGTAAGACTAGAGTTTTGGCTAGTTGGGAGGTCGAGGCAGAAAAATAGAAAAAACACACTTGAGGAGGAAATTGTTGAATTTGCCTTGTTTGACTCTCTTTATGCAGAAAATTTTCAACCCAGGCGTGGAGATTTAAGACATTCAAGCGAAGGAGAGAGCAGTGAGCAACTGCTTCCAAACCCTTAGAGGAGGAGACTGAAAATGGGCAGTCCCCTCCCAGGCTGTGCTGTTCTGCCACGGGAGCACACCCTTCCTGGGAATGCTGAGACTGATTGGTGTCTAGAAGGTACAGTTAGAGGTGTCTCAAGGCAATGCCTAACTTACATAAGGGATAAATTATCCATAACCAGGAGAAAAATAATCTCTCCCCTGCCCTTCCCTTCAGTTTCTGGTAACTCTTTGTAATGTAATGCAAATTTATGGCTCTTTAGCAAGGACAGAGTAAAGTAGTGCCACTGACTTCAGCAGAGCAGCACCAGTTGGCACCAGCTGAAGATCTCTCAACAGGATAATTCTTACTCCCTGGAGACGTTGTAGAATCATTGTACTGCTACCTACCAGGTCTGTAGCCTGGTGATTTGGTAGCTATGCTGAAGAGTAGCACCAAAGGGCCTGAGGTCCTTTTGGCTCTAATGACTCAAAATACAACCCTGGGAAAGGCTGTAAAACTGGAAATCCCAGCTGTTTGCCACCAGAGAAGGAGTTAAACCGGTAGTAAGAAGGATTACCTTGAATAATGCCCTTCCCTGCTGGGCTACCCAGTCAGGACAGATCAAGTGTTTCCTTTGCCTTGTGAACTTCCCAGTGTGTGGAAGGATGTCTGGAGGCTGAGGGTTTTCAAATGCAAAATGTGGGTGATTGGTGCCTCCTATCCTCTCTGAGGGGTATCAATCTTTAAACTACCCATCATTTATTGTACCAGGAAAAGGAACTGAGCACAGATGACCCCCAAAATGCACTAATGCCCTGGAATTCATACGGGACTAGAACCAATGGCACTGTTTAGTTTTTCAAATAGAAGTTCTGGGCATTTTGGAGTCGTAGAATGGCCTGGGTTGAGAGGGATCTTAAAGATGATGTAGTTCCAACCCCCCTGCCCTTCAAAGACATTTATTTTGCTGCTTGTTGCTGAAATTTATTTTACACTGTCGTGTGCAGCTGACAGAGGGACGGATGGTGGCTCCAGCTTTCTTGTTGCGACACAGTTTGGCTATTATCCATCTTTCCATTGCTCCAGTGCTACTCAGGGACATGGGCAGGGCAGCCCACATGATCATCCCCTACTCCTGGTGCCATGTGCACTGCTGGGACATATTAAGTTTGCTGTTTCAGCCACTAGGGCTGTCTTCCTACTCTTGAATATCTGATTTATTTCCCCTGCCCTTACTTATGCCCTTAAAATGTGTCAATGAAAAATGATGGAGTATAAATCTCATCCAAGGATTTTTCTGCATGGGGAAGATCAATACTCCATTTTGGTACTAGTGTGCTTTGTGCATCTACCTTGACTTTTTCCCCAGTGAGTACAGTGGCCTAAATATTCCAAAGAAAAAAGTTCAAATACGTGGTTATGTGGACTTTGCCAGCTGATATCCTCCTGTGTGGATATTTTTGATTTATTCTCCCCCCCTTTTTTTTGTCCTTCTCTCCCCATCTCTCCCCTCTCTTTTCCCCCTTCTCTTTTCTTCCTCCTTGGGCACGGGAAAGGTAAGAGGGAATGCAGAAGAAACTTTTCTAAACTTTCAGGAACTATTATGAGATGCTCTTATTTTCAGAAGTGTTTGCAATTATTCTTACTCTTGGCTTATTCATTGCTGCTTATGCTGAGTTTCACTGGTGGGTCACTAATGAGAAAGTCAGTGTGAATGTCAGTTGTGAAAAAAGCACTGAAACAGACCTCTTGTAGCCTGGGACAGGATAAAGAAATCTGTCTTGGCTGTGGGGTTTTTGTTTGTTTGTTGTTTTTTTGGTTGGTTTTTGGTGTTGTGATTTTTTTTTTTTTTCTTTTTACCAAAAGGTGGGATTTTGGTGGCTAGCAGCATTGCTTAGGAAAAGGTTATAAGAAAGAATGTTTCTGTATCTAATACTCAGTAAGGTAAAGACTTTCTAAGCCACAAGCTCTCTCTGATTCATCATTTGATCCCTGAGGTTTGGTCCATCCCTGTGATGGAGTAGCCCTTCATTAATTTGACTTCTTTTTTTGACATAGTAACCTGTACTGAGACCTTCTAGTTCTGTGCTTTAAAGGCAGCTCCCTGAAAATTTTGTTGCTTACTCACAACCTTTACACTGGGAGAAATGATAAGCAATTATTTCCTACTTAACTTCTCTATGCTGTTTGTGATGTTATAGGTGCTCCTCATCTGTTCTTTCAATGACTTTTCTAAGATTAGGAATTTCTTCCCCTTTTGGGGAAGTTGCTTCCTACCTCTAATCACGATTTTATGTTTTGTTTTTCTGTCCTTTCCTACGTTTCCATCCTTCATTTGATTTTCGTGTGCATCAGGGAGTTCACTTTACTCAAGATGCCAAGAACACTTTTTCAGACCTCATAAAAACCAATCAATGCCATTGCCTGCAGAAATTAAGTACAATACCTCAGCTCAACATACTTGCACAGGGCCGGGATCAGGCTGAAATCTTCGTGGTTTATTTTGGCTGGTTTTGGTGTTGTTCAGCCCTGTATGTTGTGGGCCCTGCGTGTTTCATCACTGTTCCTACACTCAGCACTGCAGGTTTCATAATCCAGGCACTTATGTATTTGTTTGTGTAACAAACTCCGTGACAAGTGTGTGTTCTCTCATGGACTTGTTGCATGCAAACTAATATTTGAACAAAGCAATGAAAAGCAGTATTAGGGATAATTTTTCTCAGAAGTACTTCCTATGCTATTCCAAAAATGGACTATAGATGTTCTTTTGACAACAATGCATAGTTGTTTATATATTTTCTCCTCTGTCTCAGGTGTACTATATGGAAAATATTTCAGATCTACCCAAACACCACTAAACTTTCTGTTGGATATCAGCCAATAAATGCATTCTTTAATTACCATTTATTTTTTTTTTTTAAGAGGACAAAGAGCCAGGAGGGGAAAAGGAAGCTTGTTCTTTGTGTGTCTGTCTAATAAATTTTCTCTTATGTTTCCCAAGCTCCCTCAGACACTTCAAATGTGTCTTGATGTCTAGTTTATCTGAACCATCTATTAGACACTGGCAGTGCAAGACACAAAATGTCCCCTCATATAGAGGAGGGCTCGAGATCTTCAGAGGCTCAGTCCAGGTTCAGTAACCTGTCCTTCTGCAGCCTGTTTCTCTCCAAAGCACCTTTTGATAGGCTCAGACTTTTGCTTTGTCCCTTGCTTGGCCTTCAGCTTGTCAAGGTGTGAAGGCAGTGGCACAAAATCTAATAAAGGAAGACCTGGGTCATCCATCCCATTACAGACTAAACAGCCCAGTGTCCTTCAGTAATTGGCTGCTGTTTGTAATAACAATAAGAGATCTCTACAAACCTGAACCAGCAATGCTTCTGTTTTTAAGGACTTTTTCAAGGGACTTTCACACATACAAGATAGAGTGAAACAAAGAAATGTGAATCAAAGGCCTGTTGGATTTGGATTTGCAAGGGGAAGTTACCAAATTAAGTGACTTATTTGGGGCTCAGGGACTGAAAGGATTAAAACTGAGAAGATAAGTGACCGTGGGGATAGATCTTATTCCCCGTATCATGAGTAATACTGACTTTCCTATCATGAAAGGGAGAACATCTGCCTGGGATCACTCATGCTTAGGCTCTCAAAGGTATGAAGGACCTGCTGAGATGTGGCAGCTGGACCCAAGAGGAGAGAACACCTCCCAGTCAATGGCATGTGTCGCCTCCTAACCCCTTTGTTCGTTGAAAATATGAGTTACTATTGAAAACATGAATTGCTATTGAAAATAATACATGGAAAGTAACGTAAGATGTCATCTGCTCTGCTTTTTTTTTCTCAGTGCTGCACATGTGCCCATAAAACTTGTGCCCACTCTGCAAACAAGTAAGTGCAGGATTAACTTGTTACCACTTGTTGTTCCAGAGGGTACCCCCATCCACATTTCAAGGACCAAATGTATTGATCTGATAGAATGTGGCAGAATTCTAATGTGTTTGTTCCTAGGGAATGAGCCCAGGTCATTACTAGCTCTGAATTTTCCTTTCTTTTTTCTCCTTTATGGCAGTTGTTTGTAGGAAAAAAATACTACCTGGTTCTGTGGTCTTTGAGGTATGGAGCATCCTACTATTCCTCTTTAACAATAGTCTGTCACATAAATATGCTGCCTATTGGCTCAGCCAGTGAGATTTGTCACACATACACATGCAAAATGGATTTCAAAGACTTATCTGTCATGTAAGTTTTAAAAACTGCTTCCCCTCATTGTACCGTTCTGGCAATTAAGGCTGCTGATTTCCATGATAGCAATTTAATCTATTGTCTTGAGGGTCAGGCGGATGTGACGTTCTGTTTTTATCTTTCCTTTAAAATGAACAAGAGTTCCTGGCTTGTACAAAAACAAGAAATTTCAGACCAAAGCCATTCCAGTCCTGATTTCTGAAGCAACAGGGGAACAATGGTGTTGTAGGCTATAGGTGGAAACTGGAGGAGTTTCTTCTTCATGTGCAAGAGGAATCTCACACAGAAGGTACTTTCATTTCTAATTAAGCCAGCAATAAAATTATGGAGGGGGATATGCTGGATCTTACTGGGTTGTGTTCTGATTTGTTTGTGGCACCTGCTCCACGAGAACTGGGGGGAAACTTCATCTGCAGTTCAGAATAGAGTGGGAGGTGGAAGGGGACTGAAAGGAAGGAGTTTATACCCTGTCTTTTTTTCTTTGCCTGATTTGTAAAGCTGAAGGGTTAATAAAGAAAAGCAATATTTGATTCAGTCACAATTACACCGTGCATGCACTAAAAATACACTAGGAAGTGTGTAATCTGAGATAATGCCTGTTGTTTTCCTTACCATTACTTTGTTACGTTCCCATGCAGTTGCCACTTCTTGGCTATCTTGGAACCTCTTGTCAGTTTGGGATTAGTAGCATTACGTTAGACTGAATTTCATAGTAGACCTTTCTTTTCCTGTCTTGTGCAAACAAGGCAAACTCAGCATTTATTTATGTGGCTGGGAATGGGGCCTCCATAACTAACAGCAGTAAGAAATGTGTGTCTGTAACCTGAAATCAGAATTTGTCTTTGCAAAATGCATTCCAATCTTTAATTGGAGGGCTCTTATGAAAAGGTGCGTCTGGTGTCCTGGCATTAATATATTAAGTATGGTATATTTATGCCTCTCTAGTTGCTTATCACTGGAATTAACACCCTTAGATGGAGCTCCTCACAGCTTTCATCCTGAACTGTTAATGTCTTGCCACAGAATACATTTAGTTCACCATCTGCATGACACTCCTATCCTATTATTATTAATGATAATATTATTTTTAAAGGCCTGGTTGTACAGAAGGTAGCTTATAGACATATAGAGAACAAAGGCTGATATTTTGGTTGTAGAAAGAGGGAGGCAATGCTAAAACTGATTTTGGTGAATGGAAGTTTTCAATCTGGGTCTCTAATCTCTGTGCTATTTCCTCCCTTTACTTCTTGCCTCTTATCTGAAGCACATTATCACCCTGAAATCAGTGGATTAAATGCATGTAGTTATAGCAGTTTGCCAGCCAGACCTGCTGGCTGGTGCAAAACCTATATTTTCTTTCCCTTTGTGAATGTTTGGGCAGGATGCAAATCTTGGGCAGCAGAGGTGACTTCTACTGGAACCAAACTGGCTGACCCAGTGAGAGGTGCTTCTTCAAATCAGGCTGTCTGATAAATAATGCTGTGTTTTGAAGGGCTTTGTGTGTGCAATGTGTTAACTGGAGTACGTGTGTATTCTGGGTTGCATTTCCTGTGGAGTAGCCCCTTTTCCTGCAATGAGAGGTGAAAATGGAAGCAAAGAATGATTATCCTCCTAGATTACCTCGTTAAAGCAGGATGGCTGGGTATCTGAACTACTGTCTACATGGATTATTGCTTTCTGAAATGTTGTAGAACCTTGCAAATACCTGTATAAAGAGAGGATAGAAGGTGGTGAGGAGTCGCGAAACAGATTGTGCATCCTAAACTAAGAGTGTTCTAAACTCTCTCTTTTGGATTTTTGACAGATGCTCCTCTTGGCAGTGCTGCAAACAAACCTACTGCTGGCCACTGTAGTCACAGGTAGGAAAACGTTTATTTTCTGCTGTCTAGGGACTACAACTCATTTTCAATTTCATCTGTGAGTTATTGCCCCTGTTCCTCCTTTTAGCCCATCCAGTCCTGCAATACGGGCTCAGGGATTGATATGGTTTGAAACTAGATTATTCTCATTATGCTGGAGACATTGATAAAATTATTCCTTTTGTCTCTTTACCTTGAAACAAGCACTATGTTGAGTCCCAAAAATTCCCTGAAGTCAATGATGTTTGGCTGAACAAACTATGGGGCTTTGCTAGTGCCCTACAGAATTTAATGGGATTGCAGGCAGGCACAAACAAATGGCATTCCTCAAACAATCAGGACTGAAATTACCCATGCAAGGTTTGGGTCGGTAGAAGTAAAGCAAAAAAGCCATTTCACAAATGTTTGTAGTAAAAAAATCTGTGCTTGATCCCATGGACTGCCATGCCAGGCTTACAGTCTGCCTAGAAGCTACGAGGACATGAGGTGATCAATGGTGATAAATTCCATCAGATAAATTCCTGAACTACAAAATGATTGAAATTGCATGTTATGTTATGTTTTGATATCCAGGATTATCAGGCTCTTTGCCTCAGGAGTCATCAGGTTCCCGTTGCAGCCTTTTTGGGAATGATCATATCAAAACTTTTGATGGTTCTTTCTATGATTTTGCTGGGGACTGCAGCTACCTCCTTGCTGGGGACTGTCACAAGCACTCCTTCATGCTCTTAGGTGAGTCTGAGCTGGGTTCCATCACTGAAAAAAATCCAAGTAGTTGCTTTTTGTCAGATAGGATGGACCACTGCATAAAAAGGATCTTGGCTGAGGGGCTTTGCTGCCTTTTGTTTTTTTTGTTTTTTTTTTTTTTTTTTTTTTTTTGTTGGTTGGTTGGTTGGTTTTGGTTTCTTTTTGGTGGGTTGTGTTGTTTTTTTTGGGCTTGTTTTAGAAAGTAGGATTAATTTTGAGGCTTCTGTTATCCCTTGGTAATGTAGCTCTCATGTAAATAAGCTGCTAAGAAACAGAGATTTTCCTGCTGGCTCTTCTGAAGAGGGAAGGCAAGACCTTTTTTAATTTTGAATTTTCCAGGAGAATGTGGATCTTAAAGCTGAGTATGGGAATAAGAACTATTCAACCCCGTAGAACTAATTTTATCTGTATGCTAAATCACCCCAGTAACAAAAATCCCATCCTGGAGGACAGAAGACCTTGGAATTAGCATAAACCTTTGCAGAGTTATTCTTGGGATTAGAAACTGATGATATGTGTACCAAAACTAGATATTACTTTCATACCAATCTGCTTTGGTAGATCTTTTTATATTCACTGATGACTGTTCTGTATTGGTCATAGTTTAGCATGTTTTTAGTGACTGCAAGTAAATTTAAGTAAACTGATCCTGTCACTCTGAAAAGGAAACATATACCAATTTAAATAATTTTCTTCCTCAATTTGAACAACCTGGAACAAATTCTTTGTATGTTAGAAGATATGTTCCCAACCGTGCAATATGTACTTACAAATTGTCCTCCCAACTCCCAGAACTAACAGTATTTGGTTATATCTCATCTCTTCAGGTGATTACCAGAATGGGGAGAAAATTGGCATCTCTGTGTACCTCGGGGAATATTTCAATATCCGCTTCTCTTTAGATGGAGCTGTGATGCAGGAAGACAAAAGGTACCTGTGGGAACTGGTATTTCAACAGAAAACAACCTGATTTTTTTGTGTGTGTGTCATATTCTGAGAATCTCCTGTTTTTATTCACAGGGTTTCCATACCTTTTGCCTCCAATGGTATATTTATAGAGAAGGAGGCAGGTTATCATAAAATATCCAGTGATGAGCATGGCTTTGTGGTGAAGATTGATATCAGTGGAAACATTCAGATACTCCTTCAAGAAAAGCACTATAATAAGACCTGTGGGTTGTGTGGCAATTTTAATAAATTCCTTGAAGATGACTTCAGAACTCAGGAAGGTAAGACTAGGACTAACTGATTGCATTTTAATGTATGCTCTGCACACTTTTCCTGTTGGGTGATTCAACAAAGATTTTGCTGAAACAGCAAAAGGTTTCTGCAGAACCTGTCAGGTACCTTATCTTGGTGCGCTGAAAAACTGTCTAAGTCCTTTCATCTCCCTTTCTCCTGAAAGGAAATTGCTGTCACATCTCATTCCTGCGAGAAGCCCAGGCATCTGAACTTAGCACATTTAGAGACCTTGAAACTTTAAAATACAAAGGTAAAGCTCCAGGTTAATCCGTGTACAATTTAGGATGTGGGGAGACTGACTAGGAGACACAGCAAAATTGATGTAAGACATACACATTGATTCAGCCTCTAATTTTTCATGAGTTAGACAAGTGGGAGTAAGAATAAATAGCGTTGCAACAGTAGGAGATTAAATTCCTGCTGCTGGCAGGTTTGTACTTGGATTTGGCATGGGCTGCTGTTCTATTAAGTGGTTACCTTTTAATGACATTTCCCTGTCTGTAAGGGCTGTTGGACTGGAGGTGCACCTGGTATCACACCAAATCCTGGTGAGAAGTGACTTTTGCTTTTGCTGCTCAGTACACCTTTATGTGAAGTCTGCCAGTGTGGGTGAAGACTAAGAGTTTTTGAAAAGCCCTGAATATGACTTTGAAGTCCTATGACTGATCTCGATTTGTGATATTTCAGTGTCTTTTAATTCTGAGCACTTACCTGAAAGAGAGAGGTTGAAATTTAATTAATACATTAGTAAGTTAGAATGATAATGTAATACTTTACATGTAATAAAAATAAATTATTGAGAAAATAGAAAGGGAGACAAAGCAACTTGAAAAGGAGCCTGCCAGTGCTCCAGAGATGTCTTACTGACACTTGGGATACATAAGCACCGTATCTCATAGTGTGTTAAAATGATTAATATGTTCTTCAGCAGTGTAAAAAATGAGAAACAAACTCTGGTCACAGAATTGTTTGGCAGGGCTTGGATACCTTAATGTCTGAGTGAGTTGAGATTATGAAGTTTATATGCTTTTCTCAAGACAGTAAATAGTAGTAAGGCTTTTATGAAAAGCAGGAACAGAAAAGGAGATTGTATTGCCTGTTCAAATGTAGAAGAGGCCCCTCTGCTGCTCATGTTTAAATGTGTTTCATGCTGTATTTGTTTTACGTGCTGGAAGCTGTATCCTCCCTCTTAAAAAAAACAAAAGCAGTCCTTTCACAGCCACAGATTTCTGAGTGTAATGAAGTCCATGACAAGGTTACTGCTTAGAGGAGCTGAAAAAAAAAAATAGAGAAGATGACATAGAACATGTGTTTTCTGTGTCTCTTACAAAAGTCAGAGCTTTCCTTATATAGTATCCTGTGTGGATATACATTTCTCTGATTTTTAGCCTGGAAAACACAATTGTGTGTCAGCAATTCTGCCAGTATTTCACTCTGATACAATAGAACTTTCATTTAAACTAATTTAGAAGGAATTAGAATGAGTTATGTTTGAATTTGTTGTATTAGTGAGGGATGTCACTCCACCCACGCTCTGTTTGTCTCTCTGGCAGCTCTGCTGGTTCATTGGAGTGATTCTTAACTTGCTTCAAGTAAAATCAGTTTTTTAATAATTCAAATCACTTCTTTTTTGAAAAAAACACTATTGAAGCTAACTTCTAGGTAAGGGACAATACAAGCAGCTGGGAGAGGTAATATTCTTTAAATGAAAAGAGCTGGCAGCCTACTGGTAACCTATGAAGAAGTTTACCCTTCTCTTTTCACTGCAACTTTTATTTGCTCTCCTTTCAGCCTGATTACATCTCATAAAGGTCAGCCCATCCCAGGATGTGAGCTTGGTGTAAAGACTTAGTGATCGAGGGCACCAAAGGGTTGCCTTAAGGTTACCAGCAGACTGAACTCTCCTGTTGGTGTGCCCACTGCTTCCTGTTAAAATTAGGAATTTATCAGATTGGGGCCTCAGTTCTAATCCATTAGATAGCTTTCTGGGATGGGTTTGATAATAAATGCATTAAGATCTTTGAGCTTCAGAATCATATGCAACGGAAGCACAGTGTGCAAAGGGAAAAGACGACAATCTAATGTTGCCAAGATTATGGTCTCTCATCTGGAAAGCCCTGAGGGACACTGTGCAGATCAGAAGGTCAGAGGCAAAGGAAGGAGGTGATCACAGAGGTTGTGCCTCAGGTATTGTGCTATAGCCAGTGAGCTTGTCACAGATAGCTGAGATGTGTGAAACCTTCCTCCAGGTGTTTTAAAGGCTGGTCAGGCATCTCAGGATGCCCTGGCCTGCAAGCTGTGTTGATTTACACTGAAATGGTACCTGTCTGGTTGCTGCTAGTCCTTGCCTGTAAGAACCACTGTGATGGAATGGTCTGCAGCCAAAATGTTATCTTCTGAAGTCTCTCACAGGCTGTAGCTCAGATGGTTCTTCTGTATCATCTCTGCATAGGAGGAAACTCATGTGATGTGATGGCCTATTTCTAGGGCTTCTTTATAGCACCAGAGGACCAGATTCTGAATTTGTGCAGAAGTCAGAGTTGTTTTGGGTAGAATCTAGCCCACAAATGTTGTCTTTCATCCCGTGTTTGTCATGGTTTCAAAAAAAGGCAATGTTTATGTTGAAAACAAATGAAAATATGTTTTCTCCATATTTTAGGGCAAGAAATTATTGTGATTTAATAACACAAAGTTAGTTTGTTTTGCCCCTAAGAGAGTGATATAGAACTTCATTAATTGTTTGTATTTGGATTATTTTTGGAGCGGTGGTGAAATAAGAGGCAAAGCACCTGCTGTATGACTGGACAGTACCACTTACAGCAAATAAATAGAGGAGGCACAAAGAGAAGGGTGTTTAAAACTTAGTGAACAGTGTGCAATTGCTCTTTTTTTTTCTCTTGATGTATTTATACTCATATTCTGTTTATACTCATGCTTTATGATCCACCCAATCATATATTGTCATGGCACTCTTATGAATCCTCATTGTGTTTTGGTATGGAAACTGAGAACTGATGAGAGGATAACACACACTGCTTCTGTGTACACTTTTTATTTTCAGCTGTTTGAGTTCCTGGAGGGTCTGAGAGATGTGATACCTTGGCAGATTTACCTTGGTAGGACCCAGGTTTGAAGGTGGCAGCCTTAGGCATTAGCTCTTGACACCCTCCCACCCCCAGAAAAAAATTAAAAATAAAACCTCCCCTGTAGGTTTCAGATATCACAGAATCTCCTGACTTGGAAAGGACCCACAAGGATCATAGAGTCCAACTCCTGGCCCTGCACAGACACCCCAACAATCCCACCATGTGCTTGAGAGCGTTGTCCAAACACTCCTTGAGCTCTGCCAGGTTTAGGGCTGTGACCACTTCCTCTGGGAGCCTGTTCAGTGCCCAACCACCCTTTGGGGGAAGAAACTTTTCCTAAAGTTGCAGACACACATTGCCCTTCAGACAGAGGATGGGGTGCTGAGTCACTCTCATTGACATGGTTACTACAATAGTTCATCCTGTGGAGAAGTGCTCATGTCCTGTCTAGACTTACAAACAAGATGGATTATATTGTACGGGGTTGTTTGTTTATTGGATATGGCAGCAAAAACAAGCCTCTTGAGAGTTTGTTCTCACACTTTAAGCGTAACTAAAATATAAAAAGAAAGGTCTTGGAAGCTTTGTAGGGTTTTTTGTTTGGTAGCAGTTGGGAGAGGTAATATTCTTTATACAAAGAAATCAGGCAGCCTATAGGTTTGTGATATTGCTGTGATGTGTGCTTGGATGTCCAGGTCGTCAGTGAAGTCTATTTGTGCTGAAGAGGTCATTCAAGTCCAACACAGGGATATTAATCCGTCATTTTCTTTTTTGTCCATGTTACACACTCAGCATAATGGAATTAAAAAATATACCAACCTAAATTAATTCAGCATCCCATGATGCTTTTCTTGGCACTGGCAGGAGGCATGTTTCTGGGAGTCTGTCTCCAAATTACTAAGATATTAATGATAAAACAATACCCCTGGAGAATTTTGGATAAAGTCTTGATATTCTGAGCCTGCTACAGGTGTCAACAACATATTCCAGCCTTTAAGCTGCTGAAATACAGAATATATGATGAATATATCTGTTCACAGGAGAGTGAATATAGGTTGAACAAGTAGAAGCAGACAATATCTGCAGGGAAAAATCTGATATGATTTCATTCCAGAAGTAGTATAGATACATATGACTGAATATACAACTTCTCTGTGTGTGGTACCTGGTATCAGAAGCTTTTAAAGCATGTTCCAAACTCACAGTCATAGTAGTGCAGCTAATAAATATTTAATCTTTTTTTTTTTTTTTCTAGGAAAGTAAATGAAAGTTTTGGTCATTCTGAAATGCAAATTTCTTGGCATTTTAAACAATATCAGTAATTTGATTTTAGGCTAGTTTAAAGATTTTGTTTGGTGTGAGTAAGTGATCTCATTTTCTTTCCTGCATTTTCATTTGGAAGCAAGGGGAATTAAGCTGTCACGAATGGTAAAGGTGAAGATGACTTATGTTGCACCTGTCTTTGTAATAGGACCTCAGCTGAGATGCCAAAAACCTGTATTCATAACCTGCTTTAATCTGGTTCTGGAATTGAGGTTAGACATTTCTGTTGTGAGGAGTGTGCCTTCATCACTAGGCTGTAGATTTTGGGGGATGGCTCATTCCCTCTCATGTTCAATATTATTAATTTTATGTTCATTGATCTGGAGAGGGCAGGAAAGACTTTATAGCCCATGACTTCATTATTTCATGTCATTAATGTGATGCAAACTATGGGTCAGTTTTGGTCAACCTTGCCAATAGTTTTGCTCATCTGGAACTATGTACTAAACCATGTAAAACTGTGTAAAAAAAACCCAAAACCAAAACCCACCCAAAAAACACCAAACAAAAAACCCCACCCTAACAAACAAAATCCCCCTCTTTGCTTGGTAAATAACCAACATGTGAAAGTTGGTTCTTTACCAACTAAGGCTCTATTTACCAATTAAAACTCACAGGACTGTAGTGTCTTGAGCAAATTCTTGCATATATTTTACAGATGAGTTAACAGACCCTGAGAGAGTTATCTGATGGACCTATGCCCATAAGGAAAATCTGGAGGAGGTCAGGGTTCCTGCTTCGCACTGGGTGCCTTGAGCACAGGGTTGTGTTGTTAATGCTTTGCCTTGCCTGACCACGAGTCTCAAAGTAAACAAGCAGCATACCAGCTTCAGATTTCAAAAGGAACTGGTGACTGTGAGACTCAGATATCAGTGTGGACACAGATTTTTCTGTCAAGAGTGAACATCACCTGTCCGTGAGCATCTCCAAAGTGAGAGACGTGTGAGGGCAGCAATCAGAGCACTAAAGAATGCCCCCCAGAGACCCTGCCTGTTGCTCAGGTGGTTGGTGAGTGGCCTTCTCCTTGAAGACCTTTGCAGGGTCTTCAGTGTAGTGATGTTTCTGGGATGCTAGGAGAAGGTGAGATTTGTGTTGTCATTGAAGATCTACCTCCTGAACCCATCTTGAGTCCTAAAAGGAGATTGCACACCAACTGGCTGCCTGGGGGTCTTGGCTTTTGAGCAGCCAGTTTGCATGCTGGTATCTGTCTGTGTACCATGGTCCATATCAGGCACCAGTTCTTCCAGCACTGGTGTTCAAATGCTTTGCTTACATTACATTTTGTGACAGCTTCTATTTTCAACACATTTCCTGCAAAACTTAGACTAAACAAGTTCTTTATCAAAAGTCCCACCCAGGCCATACAGAGAGTTTCTGGGTGTAGGGCTCTGATGAGCCCTGGCTATGAGTTGTTTCACCAGAATCTTGGCTGCCTTAAGAAGGAAAAAAAACCTGAAGGAACTGAAGGGACAGATGGAAAACAAAACTCTGCTGTGCAGGAGAGGATGGCATAGTGGGAAAACAGTGCCAGATCAGGCAGCTCAGCTGCCTGGATGCTCTGTTGATAACACACCTGCACACTTAATATTGGTTTTTAGGCTGCTTTTGTTGTCTCTTCCACTGCCTTTCCTTTCCTACCCGCTCGAGTCTTTCAGCAGAAGGAAAAGTAGGTGCCATAGGGAAAGGCAGAGGTTTTGGATGTTGCTCTTCCCTCTGCCCAGAGCAGTCAGATGTGCTGGAGACATTTCTCCCTCCCTGCTTTTTAACCCTGAAACCTCATCAAGTAGATGAAGTATTTGAGAATCCCCACACTGATCGACAGGGTGCATAGTGTGAGAGTCCTCTCCAAAGGAACCCTCTGCAGAAATAACTTATTCCATGATGCCAATTTGTTCAGTAGCTCAGCGGCCCAAGTCACTTCATAATTTCATATTAGAGGTCTTCTGATGATCAGAGAAACCTTCATGTCCAGCTCCTTTTCACATTTCCACTGTTTGCTAGTATACAGTCAGATGCTGGCAACAAGAGGGTTTGAAAAGCAGGTTCTAAAAAAACCCAAACAACTCCAAACAAGGTTTGAAATTTATTTATTTTGTAAAGAATTTACAGAATCACAGAATCATTTAGGTTGGAAAAGACCCTCGAGATCATCAAGTCCAACTTGTCAACTAGACAAGAGCATTGAGTGCTCTGCTCTTGAACACCTCCAGGGACGGTGACTCCATCACCTCCCTGGGCAGCCTGTTCCAATGCCTTCAGTGAAGAAATTCCTCCTGGTGTCCAGCCTAAATCTCCCCTGGCACAGCTTGAGGCCATTTCCTCTCATCCTGTCACTTGTTACTTGCAGGAAGAGCCTGGCTCCAACTCCTTTCAGGGAGTTGCAGAGAATGATAAGGTCTCTCCTGAGCCTCCTTTTCTCTGGGCTGAACACCCCCAGCTCCCTCAGCTGTTCCTCATAGGAGTTACTCTCTAGACCCCTCACTTACTTGAAAGTATTAGTCATAGAATGCAGCAGAAGAACTAAAATAGTATGATGGAAATATTTTGTAAAAGAGTTGTATAAGAGGTATAAATTTACAAGGACCACAGAAGAAAAAAAAATATATTGCAGGGGGAGAATTGGAAAAACAGGTGACCGGCATTTCTGAGCCAACAGTTGTCCCAGCCTTCAAAACTTAACTTCTGTATGAATGAGCATCCATGGGTCCCTGCCAGCAGGAAGCCTGGCATGGATGTGCATTCAGGGCCAGAGGAGTATTGCTTTGGAGCAGAGCCCAACTCCTGTTACATACCTGGAAGACTGAATTACTGCAAACAGAAGGGGATACATTTAATTTGGCACCTTACTTCTCCTCAGGCCAGATTCCACTGTTGCTCTAATGTATGTAATCTGTGCTAAACTAAAGGCTCGTGTTCTTCTTATTGCTGCATGTCTTCTGTGCCAAGCCCTGGCTGTATGGATGAAAACTTCACACCTTTTACCACCTTTCCCTGCCATCCTTTCCTCTGAGTCTTCCTGCTCTGACATCTGCTGTGGGCCTAGCACATGCTACCTTTGTGAGTCCCTAATTTCTAGTTTGCACAAAAGTCTACTGAAGGCTACAGGCTTTAATGCATCTGCCATAGCATTCTCAGTGCAGTTTTCATGACTGCCCCATAGTTTAGGAACAGTTTTAGTGGTCAGTGTATTCTGTGTTTTTGTACTTATGCAGCAGGTAGCTCAATGGAGTCTTTATTATATCTACGTATATTATAAAATATAGATATATTTGCGATGTCTTCCTTTTTTTTTGTTTGTTTTTGTTTGTTTGTTTGTTTTCTTCAGATTCAGTCAGGGTTGTATTTCAACACATTCTCTGCATAAAGGTCTTGGGAGTGCATTAATGGTGGCAATTGATATTCTCACATGCAGCACATCAGGGTTTTAAAAAGCAACTTTAGGGAACTGAGATGCATGAAATGAACTGTTTTGTAGCAGAAACCCACAGAAGGAAGCAGAGGTAGTCCTGAAATGAGACAGATCATGGGAGGGAAAAGGGGGTGGAGGGAGCATTCTCTTTCTGGGATGATCCCCCTTTTCAGGAGGATGGAGCAAGAAAAGCAGAGAGGTGGCTTTGCATCTCCCAGGAAGTGGCAGCCATACAAACTCCTTCAGTTCTGCTTTTTTGCAAAGTGGATGCAAATCTTACACAGGAAGATATATCATCATCATCATCACAGATGATGGGCTCAAACCATTATGGTGTATGTTAAGTTTCCTAGCATACGTGATTTAGTTTTGGTAGGAGAAAAATCAAGGCTAACTGGGATCAGGAATGCTAATGCTTGTGTGGGGAAAACAGCTGCATTTTGTTTGCCTCTCTAATATATCTTGTGTTTTATTGACAACTTCTAAATAGTAGGAAGATGTGTAGGTGTGCTTTAGCTTCTGCAGTTTACAGCTTACCAGCAACATCTCTACCACATTCATGCAGGTGTGAGAGGTGCTGGGAGCTACCTTCTGCAAGTTTTAGTGTGTCCTTGGGCTCAGAGAGCTCCTCTGCAGGAGTCAGTCCAGATCACTGATAGTGGCTTTTCTACAGTCAGTCTTCTTAGAATAGAAATCCATTTGATATGACAGTTTTTATTTTTAAAGACAGCTTTCAGCAGACTGTCACCTTGAGAATAGCCAGTACTGCCCACTTGTTGCTGAAACCCCTCAACAGCCATGTGCTTCTCCTCTTTTTCATTCCCAGGGACCCTGGCGGGGAACAGTTATGATTTTGCAAACTCCTGGGCTTTGCACAGTGAAAACAAGCGCTGCAAGAGAGTGCAGACTCCAAGCAACACTTGCAACATTTCATCTGATATTGCAGAGAAGGTTGGTGCTGCGAGATGCTATTTTGGTTTCAGTCCTCCCCTACCTGAAAGGCAACTCACCTGCCCTCTGGCAGGAGAACACAAATCACAGAATATCCTGAGTTGGAAGGGACCCACAAGGAGCATCAAAGTCCAACTCTTGGCCCTGCACAGAACAACCCCAAGAATCCCACCATGTGTCTGAGAGTGTTGTCCAAACACTCCTTGAGCTCTGTTAGGTTTGGGGCCATGACCACTGACCTGGGCAGCTTTTTCCAGTGTCCAACCAACCTCTGGGTGAAGAACCTTTTCCTAAAGTCCAACCTGAAGCTCTCCTGACACAGCTTCATGCAGTTCCCTTGGGTCCTGTCACTGAGAGCAGAGATCAGTGCCTGTCCCTCCACTTCCCCTCCTGAGGAAGTTGTGGACTGCAAGGAGGGTAATGCTTCTTTGAATCCGCCTCTGTACCTAACGTGGTCCTCCCCCAGCAAGTGGTTAGGATGAGAGATGCAGGAGATACCCATGCTGGGTTCCTGGGGTGCTGTGGTGTGAGGTAGCTGTGCCAGGCACTGATTTTGCTGCTGCACTGGAGCAAGGTGTGCAGCTCCTCCTCCAACCTGTCAGGTGTGAACCGCAGGGCTAATGGTGGCTGTCTGTGGGCCCTGCTGTGGTGCAGCAGGGTCAGGTGCAGGCAGAAGGTGGAAGTGACACGTCCTCAGCGTTGGCTCCTGCTGCCTCTGGGCCCTTGTCAGCGTGGGGCTGAGTGCAGGATGCAGCCGTGTGCTTGCGGTTCCTGAGCTGATGTGCCCTCCCTGCTGGTGCTGGCAGGAGGATTTCTGCACTGGCCTTCCCAGTTGTTGCAGGCTGGGATTATTCTTTTAATGCTAACCTTTCTGGTTTTCAGTTTGGTAATTGGACTGTATGGTAAAGGTGTGAAGAAGTGACCCGGGAGGCTGCATGTTCTGACCAGTTTTACATAAGTTGTTGAGGAAGGAACTGTTCACTCACTAGTGAATACAATTTTTCTCTCCTATTGAACCCTACCTGTTCTTCCTAAAGCCGCAGCACATATATATATAACCCCCTTTCCTTCCCCCCAATTAAAACCCCAAAACCTAACACACAAGCAGCAATCAAGCAGAGAATGCAACAGCTTATTTGAGCCTGAAGTGTGAGTTGCTGCCAAAGAAACTTTGGTATTACTTAGAAAAGGTGTGTTTCAGTGATGCCTGTAGAATGAGGTAGTTAATTCACTTTCTGACTCTACCATCAGGGAATTGTCAGTTCTGAAGCCTCTGTGGGCACCACCCCCCAAACTGTATTTGTGAATGTGTTGCAGTTTATATACCTGGGAGTCAGCAGAGCAAGAAGATGCTCCAGCCAGGCTATTTCTGACAGAGGAGATGTTTTCTGTAGGTATTGCAAAAAATGTTTGCCACCAGGCTATTTCCCTTGCTAGAAGGAGATGCTTCCTTCAGCTATGCATACAGATAGCAGTGCTGATCTACTGAAGAAACACAGAACTGTTTGTCTTGGCCAACTCTATGACCCCCTTTGCTGCATCAACCTATTTTTTCCTTGTCTTTTATAAATATAAATAAGTTCCTTGTTTCCATTAGACACAGTGTGGATGCAGGAAGATGGTTACCAGCTCAGGGAGGAAAGTAGCTTTGAATATATACTGAAACATGTGCTGTTACAGACGATGAACGTCATGGTGAATTCACCCACTGAAGGGTTACATCTGATTCCATGTACTCTGTTGTAAGTCAGAATTACTTGGTAGGTGCCAGGTTTAGATTTATACCAGAGTAACTGAGGACAAAACTGAGCTGTTAGTTTGTTGCTATTCGAGTCCTGTAGACTGATACTTGCTAAACTAGGTTCAAATCATTTCTCAAAACTAGTAACACTTCCTGGAGCATATCTGCTAATCAGCTACTTTGAGTGCTGGTTTCACAGTTTCCTGGAAAAGGCTAACTAAGAGTTGGACAAGTTGTAAAGTTCTGACCCTAAATTTATATTTCCACTAAGCTTTTGGATGGGGGTGCTTCAGCCTCGCTGCCTGCAAAACTGGCTGAGGAAATGACAGCCCTGATTTCAGGCTGGGAATCTCCAACCTGTGTTTCTTGCTTGAGCAGACCTGGTGTGTGTGGGCTGTTTCTGTCATGGTCAGAACTGATTGAACACCTGGCTTGAGAAATGGTGTGTGGTGCCAAGGGTGGGACCAAAGCATGAGGAGTTCCTATCTGGCTGAGATCTTCTGAGGGATGGGACTGCACAGCAGGACAGGCTGACAGAATTGGGATTGTTCAGCCTGGAAAAGAGAAGCTTTGGGGTGACCTAATTGTGGTCTTCCTGTGCCTGAAGGGAGCCCACAAGGAAGATGGAGAGAGACTATTTCCAAGGGCCTGGAGTGACAGGACAAGAGGAAATGGCTTCAAACTGACAGAGAGGAGGTTCAGATTGGATATTGGGAAGAAATTCTTCCCTGTGAGGGTGGTAGGCCCTGGCATAGGTTGCCCAGAGAAGCTGTGGTTGCCCCATCCCTGGAAGTGTTCAAGGCCAGGTTGGATGGGCCTCTGAGCAACCTGGTCTAGAGGAAGGTGACCCTGATCATAGCAGAGGATTGAAACAAGATGATCTTGGAGGTCCCTTCCAACCCAGGCTGTTCTATGGTTGTTTAAACATGGTTTCAGGGCTAGTTCTTGTGACTGGTTGTGGATGTGGGAAGTTGGTCTATTAAGGCCAGTTTAACGTTTTGAAAAGGTCAAAATTGCAGCTGAGGCTGGGGAGTGGCATGCAGGGCAAACTCCAGTCTGATGGGTCGACTGCAACTTGTGAGTCTTCTATGGATCGTATTAAATATTGATGTTTTGTGGGTAAAGTTTGCTTTCCTGCAAAGTGAATGAAATTATATTCTCTCCCGTGTGAGTTCATGAGCTCACAGCATTTAACATTGCTTTAATTTATTCCCTGTGCAAGAATAAACACAGAACTATTAATAGAAGTCCGGCCAAACAAGTGCCTGCTGAAGAATGTAGGGCTTTTTAATAGTGTGCTTTGTTTGCTTGCTTCAGCTCCAGGAATGTAAATCTCCTCTGTCTCCCAGCCTCCTTCCCTCCCTGGCCCCGGATCAGCTGTTAGGTGAGGAAAACAACAGCTCTGGTTCAGAGCACTCCTCCCACCCCTGTGCCCTCATGCTGGGAGGTCTGTGGCTCTCTTTGCCCTCTCTCTCAGCCTCCCTGTCCCCCTTCCCAGTCCAACAGCACCCTTGGAGAGATGACTTCTGACTTCTTTCATTGGGAATTGTAGTGACAGGCCAAGGGGGAATGGCTTTAAGCTGACAGAGTAGGTTTATATTGGATATTGGGAAGTTTTTCTCTGTGACAGTGGTGAGGCCCTGGTTGCCCAGAGAAACCGTAAATGCCCCATCCCTGGGAGTGTCCAAGGCCAGCTTGGATGGGGCTCTCAGCAACCTGGGATAGTGGAAAGTGTCTCTGCCCGTGGCAGGGGGTTGGAACAAGATGATCTTTAAGGTCCCTTCCACTCTGATTCTGTGCAGTGAAATTAGAAAGCTCTGTAGCAATTTTATCTTCAAATCCTAGAAAATGGAAGTTTTGTGGGTTTGTCTTGACTAATGTCTCTGTGTATCAGCTGAAAATCTTGAACCAGCTCACACTCTTACTCCACTGTTGCTCGGGGACTCTCCCTGCCCACCACCTCTAACACACACACACACACACACACACACTCTTACACATATGTGACTACCTGTTGTCTACCTTGTGATACAGAGAGCATTCCAGACTGGGTAGTTTTAGAAGGAGGAAGTAAGCTGCTGCTTTCCTATTAAGCCCTGGCCTCAGCAGCTGCTCTTTAGTTACTGGAAAGGAGTTTCACTGCTTTGTCTGATCCATTTTTTCACCACTTGCTTGTGCTGATTTAGGCTGTCTTTTCAATGAAGTGCTGCAATCTCAGAAGCTCTCAGGTGACCAGTGGCATGGGTAACATGGATGTTGAAGTATAAAAGAGTAATGTGGAAAACTGTAGTAATGAGGCAACCTTGAAAACAAAAATATTTATCTTTTAAAACATTGCAATTGATTTATGTGTTCTATTATGTTACCTTTGTATTCTAGATTTCGCATCTAATATAAATGGTGTGTGGAGGCCAGACTTCACTGTATTCATTGTATTATTTCCTTTTTTTCTTTCTTATGAGGAAATTTACTTACAACACGTGATGTGAAAATGATTGAAAGCAAAATTCAGATTTTGCTGTGATTTGCAAGAAATAGTCCTGCTCGTTATCCCACAGAGTACTTCCATATGCAATAAAGTAATAACATTCATCCCCAGATGGGAAAGCAAGCAGAAGTTTTCAGCTTTGAACCATAATTTGTCATGGTAGAGGTCAGAAGCAGGTCCAGCAAAGGTCCAGAGGTCCAGCCCCACCTCTGGAAATGTTTAATGGGGCTTGGAGCAACCTGGTCTTGTGAAAGGTGTCCCTGCCCATGGCAGGGGATTGGCCTAGAGGAGCTTCAGTGTCCCTTCCAACCCAAGTAATTCAGTGATTCCATAAATATACCCTTCCTGAATGATCTGGAGAAACTCTGTGCATCTCTGTATACCTTAGGGCTTAAATTAAAGGGAATGAGAGGGGGTGTCTGATTTCTGCTGTTATTTTTTAGGTTATATCTCTTTAATGGCATTTGTTAAGCAACAGACAAATGCAGTTCATGCAGCAGCAGAAGGCAATGCCACAGAAATGGGAAGAATGTACAAAATTCCACCTCCAGCTCTGTGTGGTGGGACTGGGGAAGAAGGAAGGTCAGCAAGTTTGTGGTCACTAAGGGTTGTTAGTGCCAGGCTGCTGCTGATCCATTTAAAGAAGCATTTAAAATAGAACTTCTACAGAAGTGGAGGGGGAAGTTTTATGACTTTCACCTGTATTTTGGATACTGCAGTCAGTTCTTCTAGTTTTAATCTTACAGACAGCTTTACTCTAAGCACTGTTTCAGCCTGAGGCTTCACTCCCTGGTCTGTTGGGTTTAAATATTTCTTTGTGTGGAGCAGCTTCTGGAGCTGTTGATCCATGAGCAGGAGTGTTACAGCAGTGGATGAGGCTGCCAAGATCTGATGCTCACCATATCACACTGCCTCCTAAACTAAAGAATAAGGACCTCTCTCAGTTCAGCCCAACCACTGAGTTTTAAAGAAAGGGAGAGAAAATAAAAAGAATTTGCAGAATGGTTTAAGTTTGAAGGGACCATTAGAGGTCATTGAGTCCAATTCCCTGCTTCCAACAAGGCCATCCTAGGTCAGGCTGCTCAGGTCCTTGTCCACTCACATTTCTGGTGTCTCCAAGGGTGGTGCTTCCACAGCTTCTCTGAACACTTGTTCCAGTGTTTGACCACTCTCATGGTGAATTTGTTTTGTTTTGTATCTTTTTGGATTTACTCGTATTGGAACAGGCTCCCCAGGGCAGTGGGCACAGCCCCAAGGCTGCCAGAGCTCAGGGAGCATTTGGACAATGCTCTCAGGCACAGGGTGGGATTGTTGGGGTGTCCTGTACAGGGCCAGGAGTTGGACTTGGATGCTCCTTGTGGGGCCCTTCCAACTCAGGATATTGTATGATTCTATGATATTTCAGCTTATCTTCATTAATTCATCACAATAGTTGAGATATAACTAAAGGATGGGAAAATTTCAGCTCTAATTTCTCCTATAAAGTCACTGGAAAATCTGAAGAAATTTGAATGGCAAGAAAACCTTTACATGGGAAAAAAAAAGTACTTTTTGTTGCTTTTTAGCACATGACTTGGCTTCTTGACAATCAACTAGAGCTCAACCTTTAGCTATGCTGTTGCTGAACAAGTCTAAGACCAAAGAACACTATAGGAAAAGAAAAACTGCTTAATTTTTTGTGTGTATGTAAACTGCTTTATTTTTTTAGGTTGCTTTCAAACCTAAAATTTACTGATATGTAATAACCATGGTCAAAAAAGTGTTTCTGCTAGTTTTCCTTTTAATGGAACATACAGTCTGAGTTTTACTGTAACATAACAGTTGAGTTGCATTAACTTTTTAACAAAAAGTTCTTCCTTGTTAAGAAATTTTATTAGCACAGCCCCTAAATGGGCTTGTTGCAGATACTGGTTTTCTGGTGCACTTGATGCCGTCTGGATCAAGGCTTTGATCCAGGAGCTGCTGTGCTGCTCATCCTCTGAATGGCTCTGAACTCACTTTTGGTTTATCAGTTTCATCTTGAAGCACTGCTTTAATAGCTTTTTTGCCTGCTTCTGTTTTTGTTACTTCCACCCTTAGGGCACTTTTTCAGCTTTCTTGTACTTCTGTGTAGTCTTGCAGCAGCACCAACCACCATTTATGTAGTTCCTGCTCCCTCCCTTCTACTTTTTCCCCCCACTGATTCAGCATGGTGGCTGCTATTTAGGCATCAGAATTATTCCAGTGATTTTCTGAAGGACCACTGTGTTCAGCTCTCAGTTAACATTGTTTTAAGTTCCCCGAGACCACTCTCAGAAAGCTCAAAACCTCTGTGTTGTTCACTGAGCCCTTTGCTAAACTCAAAATGGACTAGACATTTCTGGTTGGTTTGTTTTCATAAGTAAGAAATTCTGTCTTGGTTCAGACATGTACTAGCTTGAGTTGATCCCCTGAACAAAGCACCCTTTAGCAAAATAAGTATTTTCTACTCAGCAGTTTTCCTATACAGGTATAACAGTTGCCATTGAGAGAAGATGTCTAAATTTCTGCTGACTGCTCAACTCTGTGGGATTTTTCATCTCTCAAACATGAGAAAGCAAGACTTTTTTTTTTTACACAACAACTTGTGTGTGCTGTAACCTCAGGTACATGTTAATGTATTCAGGAGTAATGTTACTGTGAAATACTCTGAAAAACATGCTCACCACCTCCAACCACTGAATGTAACATAGGAAACATAACTCGATTACATAAAAAACTGACAAATAAGTAGAATAAAATTACACTTCAACTCTCTGTGCCAGGGTCGTATCAAGAAATAATTTTCCCACTTATCTAAACTCAGTGCCATCCTTTCAGAAAATTGCATTGAGGGCCTCAGAGTTATTGAATGTGATATAATGTGCACATAAGAATCTGTTTAGGGGCCTCCCATGGAAAACTTAGTCATACACTTAGGTTTCTTTTCACATACAGCTAAGTTTCCTCTTAGGTTGCTGCTGTCTGAAAAGAGAGGTGTTGATGTCCTCCCCCCCTCTCACTGTGCGGTCTTTCCCTTGCTCTTGCTGTCAACATGCTGATTTAACTCACCAGAAGAGCAGAAAAAAATTGCTTTTCTTCCCTGGGTTATTTTTCTGCTATTTATCTGAGCTACTGTGCATTGGACAAGCCAGCAGGAGCAACAGGCAAGTGTGGCCAGAAGTGGAAAACAAATTTCATTCCTGGGATTTCAAATCAGGCTCAGTCTTTCACTCTAAAACTTACCCTGTTCCACTGTTATTCAAAAGATGACCTGGTAATTTTTCTTCCTCCACGCCTCAGTCCTGGGCTCCTCTTTTCCTGGTAAACCAGACACCATCTGATTCTTTGTTGGGTAGAAAGCAGGCCCTGAGATTAGCTCAGCTGGTTAAAGCATGTTGCCAATAAAGCCAAGATTGTGGGTTTGGTCCTTGTATAGGCCATTCACTTAAGAGTTGGACTTGGTGATCCTTGTGGGTCCCTTCCAACTCAGAATATTCTGTGAGCTCTGTGATTGAAGAAGGCAGAATGCTTCCATCCATTTGCTGGGTGACTGACATGTTTCTGTGTGAAACATCCCTTGTGTGACACCCTATTCTATAATAATCAGTGTATTAATGTACCTCTGTATATGTGGATGTGGTGAAGGAATGGACATTAATCACTATCACCTCTTGACTGTGATGTAATTAACTGCATGGTGGTGTTAAATAATAACTGTGATGTTTAACAACAGTGCTGACAGTATGTTTGGAAAAGCTGGGGTTTCTCCCTTCTTCCTGAGATTATAGGAAGTAATTTTGTCTCTTTTTCTCTCTCCTTTCTACCTTTGCTCCTCAATTCTTGTGCAGGGCATCATGGAAGCCTGCCAGCTGCTGAGAACATCTTCCACCTTCTCCCGGTGCCACCATCGAGTAGATCCAGAACCCTACATCAGTCTCTGTGAGAGAGACATCTGTGCCTGCACCCACATGGACTGTCACTGCCCAGCATTCCTGGATTACGCAAGGAGCTGTGCCCACGAAGGAGTGATTTTGGATGGGTGGCCTGAAGAGAGCTCATGCAGTAAGCTGGCAGAATTATTCCTAGGCTGCTTATCCCAAATAAGATCATGCCTGTCTTGCAGATTTATGTCCTGCAACTAAAAGCAACCAGTGCTTTTTAAGGATGTTGGTTCAGACACGGCGGGTTACAATCTCCTTCAGCTCTCCATCCCCCGCCTTTGTTCTAGAAGTTTTTGTCCCTAAGACAGAATTGTTTGAATCCTCTGTAAAGAAGATCCTGAGCTGTTACATGTGCCACCTTGGTTTACAAAGTCTGTGAAGACTTATTTGGTACATAAAGGTATAGACTGGGATGTTTAGGAGCTATTTCACATATGGTTCAAATGTGTGACATTATTCAACAGGTACTTGTAAATCAGCATCTAGTGAAAGGCTCTCTAACCTTTTTTCCATTAAAACAATTGTTTCACCTTTTATTTGCTTCAACCAGTTAGATTGCAATTTGGATGTTGCCTTTTTTAAGCCAGTTTTTGTCTAGGTTAGGGATCCTGATTGCATCTTGAACTGCTGCCTTTATTAGCCCAGTTTTGCTCTCGTCAGAGGTCCTGATTGCATCTCTGCTGAGATTTTGCAACAGGGAAGTGCACAGACTGACTGGGATGGTTTTCTCATAGCTTTTCATTACACAAAACACCCAATTTTCTCAGGATGTTTATGTAAATTGATTCTGTGAAATAACTGACTCGTTTGTACTGACAACAATTTCTTCTCTGGTAAAGGCATTATGCCACTGGTCACCGCTGAAAAAACTATGCCTTCAGATGATGGTTAGGGCAGGAAGATACTGCCAGCCACTTGTTGGAGGGATTGTACACCAGGGATAGAGATTTCACACAAAGGAGAGTCTGAGTTCTAGCAGTATTTGGTTACCTTTCCATTGGGACATAAAAGGGATCTGATGAAGGCTCATCTCCTGGCTCAGGGTGCGATCCAGAGAACCCATTTTTACTGGGCCTGTTTGTAAGTCTGATTAAAGCCACAAGTGAAATGAACCTTTCTGTGATCCCAGGAGCTCTAAAGCTCATTTCTAACCTTTGAATTCACAAGCCATGTTTTTTTAATGAGTCAGGAAAAAGAGAAGTGGCCTGCTGCCACATCAGGAACTTAATTTTCCATCACCCTTCATCTCTGCTGTTATACTGTCTCAGGAGATGATGATGGTCTTACACTGGAGGTATGGGAATAGCTCTAGTTCTGGGCACACTGTACGAATGTGAGCCCGTGCCCAAGCCCAGGGCACCAAGGGCAAGACAACCCCTCCATTACCCTCCCACCTCCTTCAATGGAGGATTTCATGGGAAAGGGCAGGCTGTAATCTCTTCTTCCCACTCCGTGCCCACTCAGTCTTGAAGGGTTTGGTGTGTCTGTGCATTGGAATGAAGGAATGGCTATAGTGTGTGCTTGTATAATGGCCTGACAGCAGTGAAGGTACCATGGCACTGGTGTTATCCTGTGCTGGCAGTTCTCTGGAAGGAGGAGTCTTACCCAAGAGTATAATTCCACAAACTGCATAGCTAAAAGGTACAGAACACACTGTCTGTCCAAATGACTTATTGCAAAACTTCTCCCCATTGTTTGATTGTTCTTAATGCACTTGGGTTTAGCTATTAAGACTCAATTTATTAGAAGACAAATTAAGTCTTAAGTATCTACTACACTACCTGACACATGATGATGTTGCAGCAAAATGAAAATCAAATGTTTCTTAAAGGTCCTGCTTCTGAAAAAGGAATCAATGATTGGAGAGGATATGACCCTTTTGATGTCTCTGTGGTTCAGCCTTTGATAATTAAGGGATTTATTTATTTAAGATTTATTAAAGAATTTGCATTTCTAATTTCGTTTATTTGTTTCAGGGCCAAGATGTCCAGTTGGCATGGAGTATAAAGAATGTGTATCCCCATGTACCAAAACCTGCCAGAGCCTGAATATCAATGAAGTGTGTCATGGACAATGTGTTGATGGCTGCAGCTGCCCTGGTAATTTTTTTACTGTGTTATTTAAAGAGAAACATTTGGCAGTCATGCTACCTATTTTATTAGAAGAAGGAGAGCTGTGTCTTCCCCTAAATTTTCTTAGATCAGAAACACTTCTGTTTTCTGTGCTCCAGCCCCAGAATAAACCAGTTTCTGTAATGCCTGTATGCTCACTCCATGAAAGGACCATTTTTCAGACCCAACTAAAAAGTAAATGTTTCTGTGAAAATCAGTACCAACTACTACTCTAGGATTGCCTTTATTTCTTGGTGAGGGACTGCTTATCCTTGATGTATTCCTTCTGAATTGCTTTGGTTAGAGGCACACAGTTAGAGGAAGAAACAACAGAGCATATACTGAAAGAATTTCTTGCAAAAAAACAGTCCATGTAGAGCTCACAATATAATTTCAAAAATCTTTGTGATTTCAGATGAATAATTTCACTTATTATTGAATCTTTCATACAGGAGATGAGATTGGATTAAAGGGGGAAGCTCAACTACCACAATCTTCCTCTTCTGTCTGTTGTACTTAACTGCAGGGGGAGAGTTTGATTCCTGGCTGCAAAGCTCCACATGCTTCCAGACCAAGCTGATTTTTGGCTGTTTTTTGGTTTGATTGGTTTTGTTTGTTTTCAATAGGACTGTCTCTGCCTTTCACCCTCTCAAATCTAGACTTGGTGTGAATGCACAGAGGTATTTACTGTCCTTCTGTGCAAGATACCAAGTGCAATGGAGGTTTAGGGAGATCATAATTTGCTTTCCACAACAAGGCAGTAATGACAATGTCGGCCTCATTTGAGGAGTCATTGCATTCAGAGCTTAGTAGTTTCTTATTTATTTACCAGTCTCTTACTTACTGGAGGTTCAAAGCTGTCACTCTGTGGCAGGACCTGGGAAGGTGCCCATGGAGGGTGACAGATTATATAACCAGACACAGGAGCTTATTTTGTTGGGAAGGATCTGGCTGCTACATTTGTGCAGTTCCTGGGGGTGTTGGCAAGAGCTGAAGGAGATGAATCCACTGGCTGCACAAGGGCTCTCACTGTGTTCTTCCCTTGGTAGGCACACTGGTCAGTTCAGCACAGGAAAGGTTTAAGGGGACAGACACTGAAGTGCCCAGAAGCAGGAGCTCCACATGAAGGGCATAGGGCATGAGGAACAAGTAGATGGGTAGATGGAACTGCATGGAAAGAAATAACAATCAGGGGTTCAAAACTTTTACTTAGCGCACAGTCAAAAGGGAAGAACCTTGATTTGAGTTTAATAGAAAACCAGGAGGATCTGGCAGATGGCTAGAGGGATTTAGGATGAGGATTATACCTTTGCTTATCTTTCTTCTAGTTCTCCAAGTGTAAAAAGGATCCGAAGGATCTGTTCAACAAATGTCTTTTTCTTTTTCTTTTGTCTTTTCCTCCCTTAAATGCTTCACAGTTCCTTTAATTGCTGTAAATGGAATTACTATTGCCAGGAAAAAAGGCAGGCATTCCGTTTTCTTGTGCTCTCTGGAGAGCCATGCATCTCTTAAATGCTCAGATCTTCTTTTGAATATCCCTCACTGAAAGGATTTTCTAAACAGCCAAGATCTTTCCAGGCAGCTCTATGGAAAGAATGGGAGAAAGGGCACTTACCTGTGTCTCGCTGTCTGTGGTGACTGCTCCTGCCAGGGAAAAGAGCCAAAGTCTCTGCAGGCTATTAGAAGGAATCCTTCAAGGAGAAGGGAGAGAGGTTTTCAAGAAACAAAATGTTTTCCTACAGCAGCTCTTTTAAAAATGGAGGAATCTCAACTCTCTCTCAATATAGGGATTGCAGAGAAAGAAACTTGTCCTTTTTTCTTTTTCTAGCTTGTAGTGCTACCTCAAACAAGTCCCGTAACTCTTTTGTGCCTCCACTTGTCTTTGTAGATAAAGTACTCTCTATATAGAGCAGGTAATTACAGTTTTGTAATATGGAAACCTCAAGGGAAGTTGGCCCTTTTGTGTTTTGCTTCTGCTGAAGTTGCAAAGAGATTCCACAGCTCCTCATGAGTGTTTCTTTCTCTCAGACCTCTCTGCTAGACTGACATGGTATCCAAATTTGTTTCTTAATTCCCTACATTGACTACCCTTTGGTCCTCTTATGTCTAATACAAAACCTGTCTGGACACCCTTTACTGCAGTCAGTGCAGAGTTTTTTCAGCAGTCAGGTGTTTTTGACCTGGGGACTTGCTAAGCAAAGAGCTTTACTGGGAGCACCAGAAATGGTTTGCTCAGCACATCTGAGGGAGAGGCAGCCCTAGAGGGAAAGCAGACAGCAGCCCCTGTGAGGCTTTTTGGCAAACCTCATTCCTTTTTATTGCTGTATGTGATTAAGTATGGATAACAATGCACATGAAGTCTTGCCAAAATATATGAAGAACTAGAAAATCTAATTGTATTTGCATTTCTGTCCCTGTGTGTGTGTGGTACATGTATCTGATGCTACCCAACCTATCCAGAGGGGCTGCTCCTTGATGGTGAACACTGCATTGAAAGCTCCGAGTGCTCCTGCATCCACTCTGGAAAACATTATCCTCCTGGCTTCACCATCTCCCAGGACTGCAACTCATGGTAAACTGTGTTGTTCTGGTGTGGCTGCCATAGACTGCACATGGGTCACTGGTTACTGTTTTGGATGGTCTTTCTAGAAATTACTCTACTTTTTAAAAATTTCCTTTTATTGACAAAGGGCTTGCCTCTCTTATTGGAATTGTCAGCCCCTTCCCAGAAGTGAGCTGTTCACAAAGGCAAAATCAGCTCTGCTTTTAAAGGGATATTTGATCTGATAGAACAATGTGGAGGTCACACTCTTCAAACAGACAGAACTACCTGTTTCCTGTGGATAAGACTGACCGGCAGGTTCCCATGTCTGGTTAGTGTCAGCAGCGGTGTCTTTGTTTTGACTTCCTACATTTATTTAACCTCTAAGCCCCATTTCTTTCCAAGAGGGGTTAGCCTAAGGCATGTCCTTGGAACTTATCACAAAGCTAATGAGTCTTCCTAGCATGGCCCACAATTTTTCCTTGACTCAGGAATGCCAACCTGAAAGGGAAGGCTAGCAGTCTAAAGAAAGGAAGGGGAATGACTAATATATTCCTGATCTGGTTTTGTTTAAAGTGTAGACACATTTGTGGAAGGAGTTCAGACAACTCTGTACTCAGAAGTTTCCAATTAGAGTACAGAAGGAGGACTCAGTGAAAACCATGATATGGAGAAGAAAGGTGGTCTTTGCATCATCTTTGTTAATCAGAACGTTTTCATTACCTGCACCACGTGTCACAGAACATGAACCATGACATTAGCATTTTGTCTTTTACCTTGGAGCTCTCTGGGGCTTGGCCACGTTGTTCAAACTTAGTGCTCTTGGGAGATGAGTGCTGCCTGACAGACTATTTTTTTTGTTTGTTTTTTTTTTTTTTTTGCTTCCTGTTATTCAAACTTGATACTGCTGTGGAGAAGATCGTTCCATTGACTCTGCATTTATCCTTAATGCACTGACTCCCCACAAATGGTTTTCAGTCTTTAGCAGAAGTCTGACTAACTTGGAGGAGAGGGATTATTGCTCTCCAGTGATGGACTCGTGAGGACATGACAGGAGTAGCATTGCCAGGGCCCAACAATGCAAGAGAGAGGACTGTGGACTGGAGGGAGTCTTGTGGAGGACACTGGAGGTGATCACAGCGGGGGAGTCTGTGAGGAGAAGCAAAGGGGAATAGATTTGTTTAAAGAGTAATGAGGGACTGTCACTGCCTAAAGACAGGCTGTAAAGAAGACTGGGCCGAACTCTTCTCAGAGTCAAATAGCAGAGGAGTATGAAGCCATGGACACAGGCTGCAGTAGAGGGAATTCTGTTTTGATACAAGGAAAAATTCTTCCCCTGAGGTGGTGCTGCACTGGGACAACTGCTCAAAGAGTCTGTGGGACCTCAACTTGGATATTTCTAAACTCAAATGGACAAGGTCCTCAGCCACCTGGTATACCTTTGACATTGCCTTCTTTCAGTTGGGGGTTGTAGTATATGATTTTTCTAAAGGTCCCTTCAAACTTTTTTTTCTCCCCCTGTGATTCTGTTGTATTGATGAACATACCTTGAGAACTGCATTGAAAACACATTCCACATCAGTGGAATACAGCTGAATATATATATTAAACACAGAACTTTGCCAGGGAACATCAGAAGTTCCTGCATTTTGCAACCATTTCCATTCATATCACCAACAGTTGCGGTCAAATGATGGTAAGAAGGGATGAATACATTAAGAAATGAGGTTATGGGAGATGGAGAGCATGTTGGGGACTGGTCTAATTTCCCTGGAACAGGGGCCTGTGTTTTAGTAGTTTGGGAAAAAATTACAACAGAAGATTTGAATTCACATCCTCTTGTCTAACTTGCCCTTTTGTTTTATAGCATTTGTCGACGTGGCACCTGGCTCTGCAGCAATGGGGAATGCCCAGGTATGTTGGCTTTACTCTTTTCAGGTTTTGACAAGCAAGCCTTGCCTACATCCCTCCCACTTACATCCCACTTACATTTTTTTTTCCACAAAAAAGATGAATCTGTCTTTGTTCTTGCTTGCTCGCTCCAGTGCATCCAGATGGGATCATACTTGAAGGTTCCTCTTGTGAGACAAGTCAGACATTGTGCTGTATGGTTTATGTGTAGCAATGAAAAATCCTGTTTGGTGAGAAGAATAGTTCTTTTTTTATTTACTTGATTTACCAAGATATAAGGGTCTGTGTATTCAGAGGACTGGCTTTCAGGTAGAGGAACATTCCTGGGTTTCTTTGACCAGATACAACTCCTAAATTGATCGTTTGAATCAGCATACTTGTGTTGATGGGACAATTGGAAGTACTGAGAATAGATTGGATTACTCAATACCCCCAGGATTTGGGGCCCCAAAGGTCATGTTGTGGGTGAAGGAGCTACAGCCCCAGGGAAAAGGTGGCTGCCCTGCCTTCCATGGATGGTGACAGACTGAAGAGGCAGCTCTCCAGGTGCTCTTGCTCCTTTTCCTCCCCCTCCACCTCCCAAAGTCATGGGTACTGATGACTGCTGTCCCAGAGTTTTGTCTGCCTGGAGAATGTGGCTTTTCATGTTGTGCACTGGCCAGCAAATTATTTCCTCCTGCTAGTCCTGTGGCTCAACCCCTGCCTTGGTTCCTGCACCATGTTCGGCCACAGAACGACCTGGTTGACCTGAAACAGCATCTGACCCTTCTTACATTGTGTGCAGAAATCTGCAGGGAGACAGCACAGCTCCTTTAACTCATTATTCTCCTTGATTTGGGGAACTCAGAGTGGAAGGGATGAGAAGAGACTGGGGTTATGGCTGGACAGGAAAAGAGCAAATAAGACTGTGCAATACTCACAAATTAGGAACGTCCCAACAGTCTTAAAATGCTCAATAAAAAAATCTGTCTTTCTATAAACATTAAGCTTGCCTGACCCATCAATGCTCCATTTCCTCCTGCTTTAGACTGAAAGAGCACTTGTTTCCACGTGTCAGCACTTAAAAAAGAGGTGGTGATGATCTATGCAAATGTTCAAAACAGAGATGATGTTTTTAGTGAGCTATGCCCTGTGCTTGAGGTGTTCATTGTTGTACATGTGCCTACAAAAAACAATAAACTGTGCTGAGACAGTATGGGAGGGCAGCAAAACTTCCCAAAGTAGGCAGATTTATATTGCTCCCTGTGCTGTTTGTCTCTATTTGCAGCAATATTGCAGCATGTTTTTATTGTTGGTTGGTTACCACAAATATTTCTAAAATCATGTGTCCAGAAAGTTTATGTACTTATATAAACTCTAGGTAGTTCCATTATTTTTTTTTTAACCAACTTGTTTGTTAGGAAAGATGGCTTTGATATTGTGGGAATGAATTGCCCAGTTTGGCACCAGTAAGTTTGGTGATAAAGCTGGGTCCCCAAATGGAGGGACGGCAGCCAACTAGCAGAAGCTGGCTGGCACTAGCAAGAAGCTCTCAAGCTGATATCATAATTGAAATAATTATGAAGGCAGTAGGTTTCAGGAAATTTCCTGGGATGCATTACACCAAAATGGAGCAGACAGAGGGACTCATAAGGAGAGACTTTGCCTCAGGAAAGAAATTTCCCTTCCAGGAGCAATGCCAAAGGGCTGGGACTTGGATAGCAGTTGCCTGGGTCTGTGTGCTGCAAACCTGTCCTGTTGGTTCCTAGTTGCAGAGAATGCCCTGGAAATCAAACTGTAATATGGTGGGTTAGGCCTAGTTTTCTTTAGATCTGTTTTTCCCACCTGATAGCCAGTTAACTGACTCTGAAGTTGAGTACAATAATACTTGGTTTACCTTTGTCCAAGTTTAATTGAACAGAAAGTAGCATTTCCAGGGTCAGCTAGTAAGTACCAAGCTGCTTTATTCTCCAGGGGATGACAGACAGCTGTCTGGATGGTGCAGATGTCTCTTAGGGCAAATCAGAGCTGTGCAAGGCTAAAAATCCTCAGGATCTGTGAAACTGTGCTTTAGCACTGAGTGATTTAGGACAGTTAACACTGAATAACATGTTGAAGAGGGAAATTTCCATGTGATGGTCATTGAATAGATCTTATGTGGGACTCAAAGGCAGTGAAGAGAGAATAACTCATGGGGTTCACCTGCCAGCTTGTAACATTTAATCTTTCTCCATCCTTTGTCAGGAGATTGCCAATGTAGGCCCAGCACCTGAATTTTGTTCTGGACAAGGATGTCGCTGCCCACCTTGTTTGCTATGGGATCATCTCTAACTGTGATGGTCTTCTCATATGAAAGATTTTCTTTGCAAAGTCTGTGGAATTGGAGCTTCCCCCTGTGTTTGCATAACAGGGTACTAAATCCCAGCTGTGGCATCTAGATTACTGACTTCCTGGAAATGAAAAGCCACAACTTACCACATCTTAAAATGTTGATATATTTAAGTAGCCCCATTTTGTATTGGAAGAGTGAGCTTGCCAGACTTCCACATTTTTCTGTAAGGACTTTAGATGTAGCTATTGTAATTATAGAATTATTTTTTAACTTTTATACTGGTTAATTAACGTAATGGTTCAGAGTAAAGCAGCCATGAGATTCCAACAAGTTTTGTTAAGAATTTTAATTTTCAACTCTGTAAAGACACCTGCACTCTGCTGCCAGCTCCATGGATGCAGATGTGCCCCACTGGGTTAAGTAAAATTGGTTTTAAAGTATGTAATGTCAAGATGCACATGGATAAAAGAGGCAACATGTCCAATTGTATGCAGTGTATGACTAATACTGGATAATCCTGAGTGTGTTTCCCAGCTTTGCCAGCCTTAGGCATTAGTACTTCCACACTCTGTGCCTCAGTTTCCCCATTGTAAAGAGAGGGTAACATAGTTCCTACATGACAGAGCGTGGGTTGCTGTTTAAAATGGTTTAGTGCCACCAGCACCTATCTCAGGTACCAGGTATGACCTAGTTTGCCATGAGCTTGTGACCATGAGATGACAGTGATAAATTTCCAGGGCATTTTTCGCTGATGTCCTCATGATCATCCATTTGAAATGTTATACAGGCTTTTCCATAGGCACAAATTTCAACTCCTGAGTGCAATTTATGCTGTATTCCCCAGCTGTTGTTGGTGCCTCTGTTACTACTGGTAATGCCTTACAGGAATAAACAGTGAGATAAGCATCTTCTGGTGCTTTCTGGTGTACAGGGAGCTTGGGCCTTGTACAACCTGTTCCACCAGGTTACTCTTCCCCCTCAGTGGCTTGTGGGGGCCAGGCAGGATTTTGCTCACCGCTGGCACAGGGGGTGATTAATGGCTCTTTGCGTTTTCCAGGAGAATGCTCTGTCACTGGCCAGTCCCACTTCAAAAGCTTTGACAACAAGTATTTCACCTTCAGCGGGATTTGTCAGTACTTATTTGCCAAGGATTGCGTGGAAAATTCCTTCTCTGTGATCATTGAGACGGTGCAGGTAACAGCAGCCTTGGCTGGAGCCTCTGCGCATCCTCTTGGGAGGGCGTGATAGGAATTGCAGATGCAGAGGCCAACAGGAGCAATTTCCCTGTGAAATAATTAGTTTAAATAACAGTCTTTCTCCTTAGTTAATAAGTGTTTTGATTCTCCTTGCTGACATTCCCAGAAGCCTACTTGGAGATGGAGGTTTGGAGAATGGGCCCTCACCACCTCTTTGCCAGCTGAGCAAACAAACTCAGGCAAGGGTTCACCCCTTGCAAAGCACCCTGGCCACTGGGGAAAGGACATTTCCTTGGATACCAAAGGGAGTGCATTTGCAGAGCAGTGCCTTGAGTTGCTTTCCGTTTAGTCATATTGTCTGGTGATTTTTTTTGTAGCCAGTCAGCAGCTCCTGACTTTCTGCCATCCGTCCCCCCCCCCCGCCATGGATGGGTGAGAGACAGCTGGAGGCAAGGAGTGGAGACAGCTGGAGAGGGGCAGGAAAGAGAGTCAGGCCAGTGCAGGGAGGGATGGAGATCCTGGGTCGGTGTCACAGGAAGGTTAATGTGGTCATGATTTATTGACCGTGGGGAATAGGTGAAAGCCAGAGACTGAAAAGGGCACTGAAAGAAGCAGAGAGAAAGAAAGGTGATGGGGATGGAGGAACTGAGGGCAGGGAGAGGTGTGATGGAGTCAGGAGAGTGACAGGAGAGAAGGGGAGTATCAGTCTGTTTTACAGCAACAGAGAAGTCTCAGGCTTTGGAGAACTGGGCTGTGAAGGTTCTACACACCATCGATGTCTGTGTCATGCATTAGTAAGCCCTGATAGTGCAGCTCTGAGATCATCTGTGCTTGGGAACCTGCAGAACAGGTTTCCACTGAAACTCCCCTTTCGAAACCAGGGAGGAGACCTGGGGCCCTGCAGTCCTTGTTCCTCAGCTGTGTAACCCACAGCCAGGAAAATAAATACCACACAAGTCTCGGGTGGTGTGAACTTTGTAGCTGTTTCCCAGGCTGATGGGCTGTGTGGGTCAGTGCAGTGACATTCCCCCCCAGGATATCTCCACCCCTTCCTGCCCCTGCCACAGCTGGGGGCTTGTCATTGGCATGGGCTGCTCCCTGGGGTCTGGTATAGCACCCACAGATTGCTTTCCAGGCTCTGAGACAGGGAGCTCCCTAGTGTGTGATTAGTGGGATAATGGAGGGGAGGCTGCCAGCCTAGTGTTTGTGGGATGCAGAAACCAGATCCATAAAAGCATTGTGACACCCAACACCTCCAAATTTAGATGCTGAAATGCCTTCTGGGGGCCTGGGACTGAGTCACCAATAAAGTGAAAGCCTGAGGCAGATTTTCCCTTCTCTGTAGTGTGCAGATGATCCTGATGCCGTGTGCACTCGCTCAGCTTCTGTCCGGATCCGGGATATGGACAACAGCATCATTAAAATGAAACATGGTGGAGGAGTTTCACTGAATGGACAAGACATACAGATCCCTTTGCTACAAGGTGTGTTTTCATTGGGCTGACTCTGGCCAGCCACTGAAAGAGTCCTACTTACTAGTGTTTCCTTTTGTGCCTTAGCCCAGGTCAATCAAAAAGTGTTTTTAGTACCAAATTCTCACGTGCAGTCTCTTCTACAGGCTCTGTCATTTTAGCTTCTCTCTGTGCAGCCAACACATCTTGACTCAGATCCTCTAAAATCAGGAGAATTAAACTGGTCTACATTTATCGGACTTGTGAAAGGCACTGTCAGTCTATTCTTTTTGAAACTATTACTTTTTATCCAGAAGCTTGAAATCATGGAATCATAGAAGGGTTTGGGTTGGAAGGGGCCTTAGAGCCCATCCAATTCCAACCCTTCTGCCATGGGCAGGGATACCTTCCACTAGACCACGTTGCTCCAAGCCCTGTCCAACCTGGCCTTGAACACTTCCAGGGATGGGGCAGCCACAGCTTCTCTGGGCAACCTGTGCCAGGGCCTCCCCACCCTCACAGGGAAGAATTTTTTCACAATATCCAATCTAAACCTACTCTCTGTCTGTTTGAAGCCATTCCCCCTTGTCCTGTCTCTACATCTTGCAAAACGTCACAGTTAATGCCTGAGGTTTGACAAAATGCACATATATCCTCTGCTAGGGCCCCTTAGTGCCCTGAAGCAGAGCCTGTGGGCAAGTTCATGCAGATGTCAACTGCTGAGGGGGCACAAAGCTTGGGAGATGTGATGTGGGCATTGCGGGCACCCCTGGCTTTGGTGGGCCTGTGTACCCCCTGCTCTGTTGGCCCTTTCAGCATGACACAGCTGTCCCAGGCAATGAGACATCACATCCTGCCTTGACTGACTGACACACTCTGGGGTTGTCTTCAGGTGCCCTCCGTATCCAGCGTGTGGTGAGGACTTCAGTTCGCCTCTCCTATGGGGAGCACCTGCAGATTGACTGGGATGGCCGTGGTGAACTCCTGGTGAAGGTACTCTTTTTGTCTGTTTTATTTCTGACTGTTCACCCCTCCTCTCTTCCCACCCTGTGTACAAAGGTTTTCTTGTCTGAAGTGAGAACTTGCTTTGTGTTACATGTTAGAAATTCCTTTCTATTTTGCTACCCCCGGAGTGATACACAGGTCCTTTTGTATTGCAGAAACAAACATTTGATCCTACAGCAACTTGGTAGCTTTTTTTTCTCCTTTCTTTTGTTTTTAATATTCTTTTTTTTTTTTTTGGTGCTCTGACAGCCATTATTAACCAGGAATAGTTTTGTGTTTTGTTGAGCAGATACCTCTCAAACTGGGTTTTTGCTTTTATTTGCTTTGACTGTCCTGTCTAAAACAATGGATATGAATGACTTAAAATAAGGGAATAAAATGGCTCCACAGACACAGTTACTCATAATTTCCAGGAAGAAGGAATTAGCTTGTAGATGTGTTGCGTGCTCCTTCTACTGTGAGGAATGTTTGAAGTCAGGCTTGATTAACAATTAGGGTTTGTTGGTGCTGCAGACCAGAGCAGAGTGTAGAAATACCCAAGCCAGGTTTAAAGGAAATGAGCTGTAAGGGAAGCTGTAACCACAGCCCATGCTGCCTTTGAACCCCCCTCATAAAGGGGATCTGCAGCTGGACCCTGTGTGGGTTGGTTCTGCTCACTGAGAGGAGTTTTGCCAAGAAAGTCAGTTTTCCTGGGACTTTCTACCGAGCAATGAACACTGCCCTCTCTGAACCATGGCCTTGCTTTTGCATTCTCCTTGCCTGCCCTGAAATCTGGCTTAAATGTCACGTCTGGCACAGTGTAAAGGTTCCTGAAGCTGGTTCACAATTGAGTTCAAGAATTGAAAAGACAACAGATAAGGGAAGTCGAGAATAACTTTGGAAAGGACCTGTGGTTTTGTGGTTGTTTTTTTTTGATTTAACCTGTATTTCTGTTCTCCAAGTTCTTTTTGGGCTTAGAATGATTCACTTCAGTCCCTTGGCACATCTCAGAAGTTTTGACTTTCCTCAGTATTCAAAGTATTTTTTTGCCTGGTCAGAGGCCTGTATTGCCTGGCAAATTTTTTCTCTCCCTTAAAGCAAATCTAATTTTCTGCTCCACATCCTCTGCCCATAAAAGTGGTGGAAGTTTCTCCAATCATCTGCTCCTTCCCTTGCTGGGTATCTAAAGCATCTTTTGAACTGCTTTTGGAGAGTTAATTTATGCTGGATTTGTAGACTGACCTGTTGCCAAGTATTTCTGACAATTGGGGGAAGTGATACGCTTCCATTACCTTGGCCAGGCTTCTGGCAAAAATTCTTTCTGTGTTCCTCAAGAAGGCTCCCCTTTCTGTGACTGCTTGATATTTGTGATTTGAGCTTCCTCTCTAAAATACACCAGAATTGGGATTTCTATGAGTCATTGTTCCATCTGCAGAGTACATGAAAGAGTAGCTTCCTTGGCTGTTGGAGTAGTAAGGACTCATATACTCTAATAATTCATGGTTGTTCCTTTTGATGCTCCATATTTACTCTCTGACCACCTTGTTTGAATGGTGGGTAGTGTTAGGGTATGTTTTGGAGGATGTTTTTTATCTTTAATTATGCATTAAAACCCTGAGTCAGCTCTCAAGTAGTTGGTAGTACTTGTAATGTCCCAGAGCTTTACTTCTAATACAAACTGACAGTTCCTACTAAAATAAAACCTATTGGTGCCTTTGTGTTGCAGATGTTGCTTAGGAGATTTCTCCCTGTTCACCTCTAGGTTTGCAGAAGGAATAAGGCATGGTGAAAAGTGCATCTGCTCTGTGGGTTGTTAGCAATGCTGCTTTTACTGTGTCAGAAGTTCCTCTAGGCAGGAAGTTCTAATGTGAGGTAGCTTTAGGGGTAGTTGTTTCTTCCTGATTTTCCCTCAATAATGTTGAGGAAAACATCTCCTCTGATATTGCCTCTGTTTTGTGACAAGACAGCCTGTTTAAAATTCCTTCATCTTCAAATTTTCCTTTAAAATGGGAAATGGTTTCAGGTGCAGTATCTTTTCCCAAATTGCTCTTGGAAGTATAATCATCTCACTACGTTAAAAATATGCAATCCCCAGTGTTGCCCTGCTCATTTATATGCATGAAGTGGGAAAACAGGGAAAGACTAAACTGGACTGATGATCAAGGCACAAAAATAAGCTATTTTTCTCCTAGTAACCTTCAGTTACCATCTGAAATTATCAATGTACTGGGCAAAAATTGTCCTGCTGCTACTAATAGTAGCATTTTTCTAGGGGTTTAAAAATGTAGTGGAATTACATAATCTGTAGTATTTTAATGAGTGTTATTGATAATTTTCTTGATTATTGAATTGTGTATGGTGAATTCTTTAAAAAATCTTTCTATACCGTGGTAACCTGTTCTGCAGGATGACCAGGCTAATGTTGTGTTCCTCAGCTGTCTCCAGTCTATTCTGAAAGGATGTGTGGCCTATGTGGGAATTACAATGGAAACCAAGGGGATGATTTTCTTACACCTTCTGGCATGGTGGAATCTCTTCTGGAAGATTTTGGAAACTCCTGGAAGCTCAATGCAGACTGCCAAGACTTGTTAAAACAAGACAGTGACCCGTGCAACCTCAATCCTCGTTTAGGTACTGAAATCCATCCAAAATGAAAATGTGTTGCAAACTGTGATCTTTAATTTTACATAAAAAAACCCTCTAAAATTAAAATAAAATAAAGAACAAGAGAAGAAGCTACAACAACAATTAAAAATAAATAAAAGAAAATAAAGAGAAAGAGAAGAAGCTAATGGTGCTTACATTACCAGCAGGGCAACTGTAATATATGTTTCAAAAACCCTTGCAAACAACAACAAAAACAACCCCCAGAGGCTCAGATCAATGCAGGAAAATGTAATATTTTGTGAAAATTGAAAACAAAAGTCAGTATTGTGGAATCATGCTGCTGATCAGTTTGGACCACAGCTGGAGTTAGACCATCACAGTCACAGCACACATCTTGCAAGTGTGAGCAATACCGTGTTTATCATCTGGATGGAGAAAACACCTTTTCTTGGTCCCTCTGTGCTTAGAGCTTAAACACTTTTTTCAGTTCCTTGTCTCCCTTATTTTACTGCATCGCAACAGACAGCCTTCCTTCTTCCCTCCACACTGCTTGGCTCTCCTGGCTGGACAATGGGAATAAATTCTCAGAGCAATTTTCTTGTCCCAGGTGCTCCAGCAACCTCTGATTCCTGGGAGAAGCAAGCACAGAAAAAAATTTCTTGCTCTAGGTCAGAGCAGGCACTGGTGATTTGTGAGTGTAGTGCAGCCTAGAGGGTTTAATTTTGCAAATATAAAAAGTAGCAGAAAGCAAAGGCCCTGTAAAAGGAAGTACAGCACCAGAAACAGCGGTAACAGAATATAAAAGCATTGCTTTTCCTTGATTTGTTTTACTAGTGAAACATTATTCTTTCAGTAGAGCTCATGACATATGAGCTGTGATGTTATCTGTGCCTACTTGATCCGGTTTTATTCTTCTGTGCTTTTCTTGCAAGCCACTGATTGATTCAGTGCAAACATGTAATTTTTCTCTTTGTAGCCAAATATGCTGAGGACTCCTGCTCAATTCTGATGTCTCCTGCATTTGAAACCTGTCACCATGAAGTCAGTCCCACTCCCTACGTGAAGAACTGCCGCTTTGACGTTTGCTCCTGCTCCAGTGGCAAGGATTGCCTGTGCTCTGCTATTGCTAATTATGCAGCAGCCTGTGCCAGGAAGGGCATCCTGGTCCAGTGGAGAGAACCTGACTTCTGCCGTAAGTGAAATGCTGCCACACCCACTTATATTCCTTGTCTTGAAGGAATTTTTCTGACAATGTTGGATGAGAAATCTAGAATGAGATGATTCCTGCAAGGTGCTAAACATGGCATGGTGAGAGGGTCTGTCTTTCCTCTACACTAGCAAGGATGCAAAAACTCTTCCCAGACACTGCTCTGCACTGGGGGAGAGAAGCACTCAGCTGCCATACCTCTGCACGACTTTTAACTGGATTTCCATTTTCAGCTGTATTTAAGCTTTAGGTATTCACCTGGAAACTTTCTGACTATCCCAGGGTAGGAATCTCCAAGTGATTTACAGTAATCCATGAATTGCCTACTTTGGAGGCCCATGCTTCCCATGTCCTGACCTCATCAGTGACTCCTGATGTAGCTGAATGTGAGGGGATGGAGAAAGCATAAAGGCAGGTACTTGGTCGAGACAAACTTATATCAGAGGGGAATTTTGGCAGTCTTGTGGTACCACCCTTCTCACAGCAGGACTAACTTACTGTAGGTTGCCTGAGATCATATCCAGGTAAGTTTTGAGTATCTCCAAGGATGGAGATCCCACAGGCTCTCTGACATGTCTTTTATCCAGTGCAAGATTAGCAGCCAAATGGCTAAGAGGCTGGAGCAGAAGAATCCAACACGTTTTATTTCTTTTCTTTCTCTGTTAGGTCAATGTGGGAGGAAAAAATCCATTGCAATGCAATTTTGATCGAGCATGGACACTCTCTTCCCCATAAATATTTGTGAAGTGGATGTTTTTCCATTTTCCTGAGCAACTTTGTTATTAAGGAAAGAAGACAATTGAAAATTTTGGGGAAAAGTATGTGTGCTTGGCAGCTCTCCAGATCTGTTCTGCTGCTTCTTTCCAAACAGAGGGTGGGAAGAACATTTATAAACTGAGTGTGTAGAAATTGGAAAAGAGTGAAAAAGAGAGGTCATTTGGCCTTCCACCTGGTAGGGTCTGTGCAAGTAAAGTCAGTAACCACAGCTCCTGGAGGCTGGAGAATATTTACTGCGAATGAGAACAAACCAGTTTGTGTTTAAGTGCTGCATGGTTTCATAATATTTTACCTAATTTATGTAAATGTTCAGATAGTGGAAGAGTAATGTAATAAAAATCCTTTTAAAACTCTGCAGGTCTGGAGGCTGAAACAAATGGTGCACTGATAATGCACCATTGTTCTTTCTGTAATTGAGCAAGTCAATTTTTACAATTAAACTTTAATAGTGCAGAGCTGCTCCTTCCTATCTGTGCATTACATTCTGAGCTTTGTGCTCTCACACTGTGATGATTTCCCTGATTGCAGATCCATCCGCCCCCATTAAATGATTCTGATGCCCAAGACATCTCCTGTCACATGAAGGAGAGCAATCCCTCTTTTAATGGTCTCAAGATGTGAATGTGCAGCTTGTGTAATTTGTGCTGATGGCCCATTGCACTGAATGTGTGCTCCACTCCTGCCTTGGTTCACAGAGATTTGGTTTCTTGGGAAATGACTTGACAGAACCAGTTTGCTTGATTTGAAGTGGAGGAGTGTCAGGGAGGAAAGTCATTAACGCAGCACAGCAGTTCTGCTGTGTGTCAGGCTAACAACTCCCATGTCTTTATTATTTTAGTTGCTGTTTGATTATTTAAGGCCTGACTCACACCCCTGCAGCCCACCATGATTAAGCACCAGTGCCCGTTGGGAAAGGCCCTGGGAGTGCTGGTGACAGCGGCTGGACATAAGCCCAGGTGTGCCCAGGGGGGCAAGAGGCCAGTGGCACCTGGCTTGGATCAGCAATAGTGTGGCAGCAGGACCAGGGCAGGGATTGTCTCTCTGTACCGGGCACTGGCGAGGCCACACCTCAAATCCTGTGTCCGGGTCTGGGCCCCTCACTGCAGGAAGGACATTGAGGTGTCCAGAGAAGGGCAACAGAGCCGGGGAAGGGTCTGGAGAATAAACCCTATGAGTAGGGGCTCAGGAAGCTGGGGGGCCTCAGCCTGGAGAACAGGAGGCTCCCGTGGGACCTTATTGCTCTCCACAACTCCCTGAAAGGAGGTTGTAGCCAGGTGGGAGTTGGTCTCTTCTCCCATGTAACAAGTGACAGAACAAGAGAAAATAGCCTCAAGTTGCTCCGGGGGAGGTTTAGATTTGATATTAGGAAGAATTTCTTCACATAAAGGGTTGTCAAGCATTGGAATGGCTGCCCAGGGTGGTGATTTTTGGAGGTATTTAAAAGCTGTGTGGATGTGGCTCTTAGGGACATGGTTTAGTGTTGGAGTTGATAATGTTACTTTAATGGTTGGATTTAGTGATCTTTAGGGTCTTTTCCAATATAAATGATTCTGTGATTCTCTGTAGCACATGTGTCTATATGTATGCATGTATTGTTCTTTGGCAAAGGGGATTCAGTCAACAGGTCCCTTGATCTTCAGTTTTTAGGACCCATTGTTAAGCCCACTGTTTTCCTTGAGGCGGTAGTGCTGGGACAGTCCTTGTCTGCATGGCTTCTGTAGGACGATCTGTATAGGATAAATCCAACAGTGATGGAGTGGGGAATTAACAGCAGGCTCTGAGCAGAGTTTGGGGGTGGCTACATCACATGATGAGCCTCAGCATGGAGGGAGGAGCTGTGTTAAATCTAGTCCTGACAGGGTGCACCTTCACCCAGAGCCTCTGACTTGGGCGCGATAACGTTTTCACCTTGTGTTACCCAAGAAACTGGTTGGGGTTTATGCCTCTTTCACTACACCCACAAAAGCTGCATGAGCTGTCTGATGCATACACGTTTTTCCAATGTGTTCCCACTGTTTCTCATGTTATTCCTGGGATAGGCTGTGCTTCAGAGCGCAGTGTTGAGCTCTTTAGTTTTCATAACAGGCATCCACAAAGACTGAATGTACCTTGCCTTTTCCTCTCATTTTCCTGGCAGTAATTGGATGGAGGTTTTTTTTTAGTGGCAGTGTATTACACAGTGTACAGACAAGTCCCCTCCCAGGTCAGTTGTCTCACCTTTTTGCTGTTAAAAACAGATGTTGCTGGGAGGTGATGGAGCAGTGGAGTGGGACACGGACTGTGAGCATGGCATTGGGTTGCATAGCTGGAAAAAGAGGGAATGTTTCAAAAATCCTAGTAAGTGCATGAGCAAGTAAAACATAAAATCACAGAATGGTTTGGGTTGGAAGGGGCCTTAAGGGTCACTTAGGTCCCAACCCTTCTGCAGTAGGCAGGGACACCTCCCACTATCCCAGGTTGCTCAGAGCCCCATCCAACCTGGCCTTCAACACTTCCAGGGATGGGGCAGCCCCAGCTTCTCTGGGCAACCTGTGCCATGGCCTCTCCATCCTCACAGTAAAGAATTTCTTCCTAATATCTAATATAAACCTGCCCTCTTTCAGTTTGAAGCCATTCACCCAAATGAGTTACAAATTTGAGCTAAGAAAGGGATCCACTGTAAAATAGTCACTGTGGACAGGGAGTGTCACCACTGACTAGAAAATAGGGCAGGATTTTGGGCTCAGTTATCCTGAGTAAACTGATATACCTGCCTGAAATCTGTCAAAGCAATTCCTTGTTTCTAGAGGTTCATGTGTAGCAAATAATAGTTTTGGCTGAGGCTTCATGGTTGTTCCTGCTTGGACACGCCTTTAGTGATGAAAGTTATTTTTAAAATGGTCCTCAGCCCTGGGCTGTGCCCGTTCAGTATTTGATTTACTGCAAAGATTGTGTTTATGTAAATTAGAAGCATGTTTCTGTGAGCTTCTGCCAAAGACTCCTGTTACTATGAGTGAACCTTTCATCTACTTAGTTTTGAGTTAGGAAGCATTTACTCTGCCTACTGTGTGGATGAGCACACGTAAATTTCTTGGGCTGTGTTTTGAAAGATGTATTAAATAGTTTGGGCACAAGTCGCAAACTTGGGAGATCTTTGCTCTGGAGGAGGCTTCAAGCCGCCTTAGATTCCTCTGGGCTGGACCCTTAAGTTAGGGGATTGTGTTCCTCTCTATGGGAATGCAGGAACCTCAATAGAAGTTGAGGAGATGTTGGTGCCACCATGTCTGTCTTCAGTAGGCAGAAGTAATTCTTCATTTCAGAAGAATTTTGTGAGACATTTGTTGGCATGAAGTCCTTGCTTTGTTAGCCCAGCTGACACCTGGGGGAGGCTGCAGGCCTGTAGCCTTGTTATTGTTTTCCTGCCACTGCCGTTACAGTTCTCAGGGCTGTGTGTTCACAGAAGAGAGGGTAGGGATTATCACATCATTCTGCAGGTATAAAGAGAGGAAGAGCTTTCTATATAACCCTTTGATCTTGGTTTTAGCAAGGTACGAATGTGCCAACTTTTATTTGCAGCTGCTTCCCTTGCTCTGCTGAACATCCTTCTTCATCATCTTATAAATCTGACTGTTTGCTGTGGAAGGTTGCTATAAACGATAGATTTTATAAATCCTGGTTATCAGGAGGCCTGTTAAATTAAAGCCCTTAATAATACTAATCTGTTTTCTTCTCCTCTGCAATGTGTTGTCGTAGCTGCCACCTAGTGTTGATGCTGATGTGTGCAGAGGTGAACGCCTCAAAATCAGCACTCTGGAAGTGAAAGTTATACAAAGAAGCCAAAGTGGCTCCAAAGTCCATAATTGGTCTCCATAAAGATGAATTCATAATCGAAAATCGTTAGTACCCAGGGTTTGGCTCCATTATTGCTAAATTACTTCATTATTTGTACCTGTTTCCATGGAAATCACTAAGTGCTTCTGGGATGTGAGGCTGTAAAGTATTGCAGCACCTGCTTATCAAGGCAGAAAAGTACTTTTATGCTTATTTTGACCAAATTGTCCCTAACCACGTTGGAAAGGAAGAAGGATGTGAATGTGTACATGACACTTGTAATGCTCCCAACATGTCGAATCGTAGAATGACCTGGGCTGGAAGGGACCTCATCTTCTTCTAACCCCTTGCCATGGGTAGGGACACCTCCCACTATCCCAGGTTGCTCAGAGCCCCATCCAACCTGGCCTTCAACACTTCCAGGGATGGGGCAGCCCCAGCTTCTCTGGGTAACCTGTGCCAGGGCCTCACTAGCTTCACAGTAAAGAATTTCTTCCTAATATCTGATCTAAACCACTCTCTGTCAGTTTGAAACCATTCCTCCTTGCCCTGTCACTCCATGCCCTTGGAAATAGTCTCTCTTCATCTTCGGGTACCAGAAGACTTCTATCCAAATAATAACAGGAGTTGAACAGAACTCGTGCTTCTTGTTCTGGATGAAATTTTGTGGATGGGTTTCCATTGCAGGAGTTGAAGTCCAGTCCTGACACTTATTGGGAACTGCATGTAGTAAGGTTTTATTTGTGCCTACACAAGCAGTGCCCTCGGCTGCACTGGTGCTGCAGAGTTAAGGAGAGACAGCGCAATACAGGCCTCTACTGATGATAATAGAAAAGACCTTTCAATCCCACTTCCCAGGCTGGTGTAGGCAGCTTTTCCTTTGGTTGGCTTTGGATCAAATGCCAGTGTCCCTCATGTGCATGTCTTCCCACAGCAATGGCCTGTCCTGAAGGGCAGGTGTACCAGCAGTGCGGGACGCCGTGCAACCAGACCTGCCGCTCCCTGTCCTACCCGGATGAGGACTGTGAGGAGCTCTGTGTGGAAGGCTGCTACTGTCCCCCTGGGCACTACCTGGACGAGCATGAGCAGTGTGTGCCAAAGTCTCACTGCTCTTGTTACTATGATGGGGAGATCTTCCAGCCAGAGGATGTTTTTTCAGATCATTACACCATGTGGTAAGTGTGCCATTCGTAACTCATCCCTCAACACTGTGACTCAAATTTTTGGATAGCTGGAGTGGTTAACAGGGTCAGTTCCTGTGCCTCCAAAAAACCAAGTGGTGAGTTTTGCTATTGCATCTCTATCCACGTAATTTCAAATGCCACCTTAGTCAGAAAACAGTCTTTAGCCCTGTTCAATGAACAGTTCCTACCAGTTTGAAATTGAGTTTAATTACTGACAATACCTACTCTGTAGGCTTTTAAAATGTCACTTTAATGTACTATGATACATTTCTTAAACATTAAAACCTAATTACCTCTATCAGAGATACAAATATTAAAGAGCATTTCTAATTGTTGAGTAGCAGCACACTGAGAGCAGGAATGTAATTGCTGGGCAGCTCCTGGCAAGCCCAGTTTTGGGAGCAGTATCTTCTCCTTTTCCCCTTTACCACAAAAATCCTGAGTTTCATGCGCTAGATTGTCCCTTACCTCTCTCCACAGCAAAACTGCCTATTACCTTGCCCAGCTTTATCCCTGTGTAGATGCACTGGATTCAGCAGGGCAGGGCTAGCAGACAGCAGGGTTACTATGTTAGTGTATCACATCAACTCTAAAGAGAGCCTCTAAGGTTGACAGACATAGTGGATGGAGAGAACAAATCAGCCCCAATGAGAGGTGTATTTTTAGTACTGACAAGTTCCCTGTTGTCTGAAAACCTCAATGTGAGTGAAAACTAAATGTCGTTGGATTAACTATAAGCTCTATTTGTTTTGGTTTTTTTAAGCTATTGTGAAAATGGCTTCATGCACTGCAGTACAAACAGAGCTCCTGGTGCCTTCCTGCCTGATGTTTTTGCTGATGAGAGGCCATCTGCCAGAAGTTAGTATGTCTTAAAAAATAATTATTTCCTGTTTTTTTTTTTTTCTTATTCAATTTCTTGATAATGTAGATTAGGGAAGAAGTACCGGAGGTTGCAATGGCTGGTGAGCTTGTGAGTATTTTTCTAATTTTTTTTTTTTTGGTTATAGGATAGAAACAAAATGTGTGCCTGAGAGGATGCAGAACTCATTGAGTCTCACCTTTCAAAATCATAATTAGCTACTGCAATCTCTCTTGAGCTGAAGAGGTTAAAGGGTCTCTTGGCAGTGATCTGAGGCCCCCAGATTTGAGGATCACATGCCACCAGTGACTAACCAGCTTATACCTCCTGCTTCTGACTGGCAGGTTGCAAACTCTTCTTCCTGGTGCAAATGAAGCTTTCTGTGGCCTGAAGGTCAGACTGCTGCCAGGCTCCCACTGTGCCTTCCAGCCATAAAACCTCCTGGAGACTGACAGCTGCCTCACAGAGCTAGGCACTGCAGTGGAGACAGAACAGCAGTGCCATGGGATTTTTTGGGGTTTCCCACTGATATGTGGATCAGAGAAGGGGGTTGAGACTGGAGGCATCTCAGAGGGGACAGGGCTAGTGGGGATTTGGAGAGGCTTGGGAATATCTGGGAGCTGGACTTTGATGATCCTTGTTGGGTCCCTTCCAACTCAGGATATTCTAGGATTCTGTGATCCCTTTGTGAACCCCAGGGGTAGTGTCAAACGCTTTGTCTTCCATGGCACACTGCCAAATGCACGGTGCTTGGAGAAGGTTTTTGGTTGGTATTTGCCGGTGCCTTAGAGACAAAGGGTTATTGTTGATCTTTGCATCTTCTGATAAACTACCAGGCATCCTTGTTGCCAAAGCTCCTAGTGGAAAACACTGTAAATCCGACTGTAGGTACAGGGTAGTGACCTGCTTAATGTTTCTTGGTAGACCACCAGGTTGGCTCACCTGTTCTTCAGGTGAAGCCTTCTAGGTGTATCTCTAACCAGTGTTGTTAGGGCAGACTTTTCCTGATATCAGGGTGCTAAGACTTACCAAAACCTCAGAGAGGCATATTGCTCGTAGTGCTTGAAATAATGACCTGGAGTTTCCTGGGACATTCTGACCTTCTGACAGAATCTGGAAGTCTCAAAGAGCTTGTATTTAAGTTAAGGCTGTTGTTATTTACAGTCACTAAAGTTGTTATACTCCTCGTGGAAAGTGGTTCTAAATACAATCATATGTGATGCTGTTGCTTCTTGGAATATCAGTTTTGCGCTGACATGGTTAATGTTTGGAATTGCACTGTTATGTTTAGTGCAGCTCTTTTTGCTTCAGTATTAGAATACCTGCTTTTATGGCAACCTAACTGAGCTCACTTCATGGCAAGTAGGGACTATTTTCTTTACAATTTCATGGCATAGTGGTGTAGTGTCTGTATTCTAAAAATTAGTTTTCTATTAGAAACGTTGATCCATCTTTTAGAAAAAATACTGTGCTAGCAATACTTGAGTTCTAATTGCAATTTTTGTAAAATTATTCTTTAAAGTAAAAAGGAGCCTCTTATGCAGACCCCCCATGGAAACGATTTTGTGTCCTGCAAACAACCCAAGAGCAGAAGGATTGGAGTGTGCCAAGACTTGCCAGAACTATGACTTGGAGTGCATCAGCCATGGCTGCATATCTGGATGTGCCTGTCCAAAAGGGATGGTAAGCAGGCTTAACTGCACAGAGAAGCAGATTCTCTTTGCTTTCTTGCCTTCCTTCTTTTCTACCAGCAGTCTTCTTGCACTTTGGAAATAGGTGGTTGTGAGGTATTGACTGTCAAATTGTGGCTGGTTTAAAGAATGTGTATTAGTATATCTGCATAGAAGATGAACTTTAGTTTGTAATATTAATTAATAATCAAAATGCAGGAACTCACTTTTAAGACCAGTTTACATCTTTCTTCAACTCTGCTACTAAACACCTCCTCAGTCTTTCTGAACTTCCCTACTCAGAACTAGAAGTACACAGACACCCACATCCCAAATACTGACCCCACATCCAGGTTAATTAGGGGGATGGAGCGCCTCTCTTATCAGGAAAGGCTCAGAGAATTGGGATTGTTCAGCCTGGAAAAGAGAAGGCTTTGGGGTGACCTAATTGTGGCCTGAAGGGAGCCCACAAGAAAGGTGGAGAGAGACTATTTCCAAGGGCCTGGAGTGACAGGACAAGGAGGAATGGCTTCAAACTGACAGAAAGTGGTTCAGATTGGATATTGGGAAGAAATTCTTCCCTGTGAGGGTGGTAGGCCCTGGCACAGGTTGCCCAGAGAAGCTGTGGCTACCCCATCCCTGGAAGTGTTGAAGGCCAGATTGGATGGGGCTCTGAGCAACCTGGGATAGTGGAAGGTGTCCCTGCCCTTGTCAAGTCTCCATCTCTACTGCTTCCTTCCTGTGTGTTGTACCAAACTGAGACTTCCCCGCGTGAAGGAATGTGGGACACAGAACTTGCTAAGACGATGCCACAAGGTGTCCTGGAGTTGCAGGTGGTGTGCTGAGCATGCTTTTTTCACTGCTAAGATGCTTTCTGGAGTTCAGGTTTATATCCCACTGCAACCCTCAAATTTAATCAATAGTTTAGTAATTTTTTAAATAGAGCAAATAGGTTTTTACTCAGTCAGTGACCGTGAACTCTGTCAATTTAGAGCCCTGATAAAAAGTAGACAGAACAGCAGTTCTCTGTCTCTTGATGAGAGCAGTTCTCTTGATGCTGTTCTCTGAGCAGTAGAAACAAGCATCAGTTCAGTGCTGTACAAGACATCTCGGCAAGTGAAAAGTCACGCGCAGGATCTCAGAGGGGACTGGGGTTTAGCCCAGGATAGAGGTGGAGCACATGGTACAGTCTTTTATGAAGTTCAGTAAATGGCAATTTTGAGTTCCATGTCCAGGGAAAGTGATGGAATCTAAGAAGCTTTTGATGTTCAATGCATGAAATGCAGATGAACATACCTAGCATATGTTGGAAAAAGAATTGAGGTTGTGTCTTTATTTTGTTCGAGATGGTTTTTGATAGCTGTGGTGCTTGGAGGCATTGCTGGTACAGTTTTCAGACTGAGAGAAGCACATAAGAAAGCCTGATGTTCTCAAATGTTGCATCCCAGGAAGTCTAGACATGAAAAATATTATTTTTAGGTTTTTTTTATCCTTTATACCTGCTCAAGGTTCAGGCTCATGAATGTGAATTGAACATTGAGTGTTAGCAAATGAAATGTGGCTTATTACTTCTAGAGTTTAGATGTATGTTTATGCTTAGGCTTCAGCTTTAATGAATTTACTTCACTACTTTAAATTCCATTTTAAAAAGCAATTAACTTCACTTGGAACTATGTCTTTTTGTAAAGGTATGTTGTTTTTTCCTCTTCTGTATCAATACAGGTGTTTTCTGCCCCCAGATTCCTTCCATTATCTTTCTAGAAAAACAGCTCTCCCCTAAATTCTCATAATACAGTAATTTCTAGCATTAATATTAATGTATTTCTTGAACATTGCTGCCATATTTTGCTGATATATACACATTTATATCAATAGATGCTACTCCAGAATAAAGTACCAGCTGTAAGCAAAAGCTCAGGCTTGTGAAATGTCTTGCAGGTACAAAGTGAAAAATACAGAACAGAATTTGAAAGCATCCATAAATTTTCACCACAATTTAAAAAAAAAAAAGTGTTGCTTCTTTTCACGTTTCTGTTTTCAAATGTATGTCCGTTTAGAGAAGAATATTCTTAAACAGTAGTGGGAGAACTAAACTCAGAAAAGCTTGTGGACTTGTAAAGTTCCTAGATTGCCAGGGTGAACAGTTTTTTCTCTGTATGTGACAGTCAGACCTCTTTGATTTCGTGAAGGGGCTTGAGATTTTGTTTCAGTTCCAGGATATGGTAATATCTTTGGACATAGTTGTGGAAAACAAATTATGATAGCGACTCAACAGGAAAAAGAAAACTCCCCCAAATCAGCTTCCTGGTAATTAACCTTCATGTTTAGCACAGAATTGTGTATTCCTTTTCAGTAAGTTGGAACAAACAATTCCTTCATAAAATTCTTGCCACGGGAGCAGTCTTTGGCCTTTTGGAATTGGAAACTCCAGTTGACTCTGCAGTGGTGTGGAACAAACCCCTGAATTCAAGATCGTTTGTCAGGTTTTGGATAGAAGAATCGGGCTCAGTATTTTTTTGTTTTTAGGAACTAGTAAAATAAGTTCTTTGTCCACTAGATGACGGTATGGTTCAATCTTCCACTAAGCTCGGCCTGGAATTACTTGTTCTCCTCGTATTCCCATCTGGCGGGGAATAGAATTTAGGAGATACACTAAAGTCATACTGGGAAAAGCTGGTGTAGAGACAATCCCATGCAAAGATGGGATCAACCCCAGTGCCTTTGCCGTGTGGTTCCCCTTTTCCATGTGTTACTCCTGGCTCCACAGGACCTGCCAGCTGGTTGTCAAAGAGCAGTTTCCTCCTCACCGATAGGTTGAGGTTTGGGGGACAATTCTTTCTTATTTCTGTGTTCTTCAGTGAGCCTTTGTGCTCCCAGAATTACCTGACAACGTGAGAAGGATCTGGGGTGGTGACCAGCTGCTCCTTTCCATCCTACCTCTTTCTAACTTAGGCTGGGCACAATGAGACAAAGCTCTGCAAAGTCACAAAGTCTGTGTTTTCCAGACTTGTGCCAACAGAAGGGAGCAATAAGGAGAGTGGAAAAAGAAATGAATATTTCTTTTACTGGTTGGTCTCCCTTGTTGGTGTTCTGTAATCCTGATTAATTTACAAGCACTCACAGAGGTGAGCTACTGTTTGCAGGAAGGTCTGTGAGAATTATTGTTTACTGAATATTTATTCCTATAAATATTTGCATGTTCTGGAAGAAACTGTGCCTTTTTACTAAAGACTTTTTTTGTGGTACTGTAGCATATGAAAATTATCAATGATCATGGATAACTTGTTAGCAAAATAATTAATCTTTTTGCTTGCCTAAAATGGTTCATAGGTAGTGGATTCACCCTTCCCTGGAAGTGTCCAGTGCCGGTTTGGATGGAGCTCTGAGCAACCTGGTCTAGTGGCAGGTGTCCCTGCAGGGGGTTGGAACAAGATGATCTTTAAGGTCCCTTTCAACCCAAACCATTCCATGATTGTATGATACCATCAGGAAACACAGTCAGATATGTAGTTTACATAAACAGCTCTCCAGTACAATTTGCAAGTGTATGTGGCAGTTGATATGTCATTAAGTTATCCCTACACGTGTAAAGAGATATTTACAGGTCAGTTAGTTATCAGTCTTAAACAGAGGAATCCATAGTCTAAAATCTGTGTGGACAAATACCCTACCAATTTTCAATTACATATCTGAAAAATAATAAAAAAGAAATAAATCAATGATTGCTCATGAACATGATGCTCCAACTGGCTTGGTTTGAATTGGAAAATTTGCTGGGGTGAGAAATTGCCAACCAATTGATTATTTCCCCAGAAAATGCAGATAAAACCTAATTTCTTTCAACTGAAAAATAAGTTTTCCAGTTCATCTTGACTTAGTATTTTACATTGTTTTGATTTCTAGCAAATAAAAATGTTCAGTATGTCACAAAAAGTAGTTTTTCTTTTTCTGTCTTTGATCATCTGGAGGGTGGGAAATTCTCCATACTTGTCACCCTTTTGCAGAGCAGAAAAGATAAATCATAACATATGTGCAGAAGTGTGGGGAAAAATATGCTTTCTCAGATTAGTTTACTGCACTCCAGGTTTTTCCCATTGGAAAATATTAATAAATATACAAATGGAGCGTTAACCACCTTTCTGGGGAAAAAGAGGAGCAGAACAATCAGAAAGCACAAAATCCAGACGCTCTAAAAGTAGAAAATTAGTTTCTTTCAATTTCCAACAACTGAAGAAAAACTAAGGTTTTAAAGTGAAATGAAACATTTTGTTACGTTCTGACTGCTGAAATAAAACTAATTCTAGAACTTTATATCAGTAGAAAAATGAAAAAAATATAAACCCTAAACATATTAATCAGGAAAGTTTGGAAGGTTGTTTTTTTTTCCTTCCAAACTGTTTTCAACTAAAATTTACCTGAGTGTTATTTTGATTTTTCCAGCTAGCTAGCTCTGTTGTTTTTTTTCAGTGGAGGCTTATCCTGTATTATATCTTCATGAGGAGGTGGGTACATAAACATAAGAAGCGTACAGCTAACGTAAGAAAGAAAAGTCAAGTGTTAACCAGCACATTTTGATGCTCTCTCCTAACATGTTTTTGACTTGTCTTTGTCTGCACAGAAATGGTCACAGGCTGTTTTAGTTAAAACAGTACATTTATGGGAGAAATTCTTTACTGTGGGTGGTGAGGCCCTGGCACGGGTTGCCCAGAGAAGCTGTGGCTGCCCCATCCCTGGAAGTGTCCATGGACAGGTTGGATGGGGCTCTGAGCAACCTGGGATAGTGGAAGGTCTCCCTACCTATGGCAGGGGATGTTCTTTAAGGTCCCTTCCAACCCAGGCCAGTCTATTATTCTAAAGCCTATTAACTGTTGGCTTCTAATATGACCCAGTTCCTTTGCTTAATCCTGTACTCCTTTATACCTTTGGCTGACTTTCTGCTGAAGCCCTGCAGGTGTGTCAGGAGGAACAGAGTGAATGTCTGAACTTCCCTTGACACAGAGATACTCATCGAATTGTGTTGACCAGGAGAGATCAAAGTTTAGGCTTATTGAGATGGAGTTTAGAATCAGAGGATCTCCTGAGTTTGAAGGGATCTACAAGGATCATCGAGCCTGGGTCCTGGCTCTGCACAGGACCCCAAGAATCCACCCTGTGCCTGAGAGTGTTGTCCAAACACTCCTTGAGCTCTGTCAGTCTTGGTACTGTGACCACTGCCCTGGGGAGCCTGTTCAGTGCCCAAACACTGGGGGAAGAACCTTTTCCCAATATACAACCTTAAACTCCCTTGACACATCTCCAGCCATTCCCTCGAGTCCTGTCCCTGGTCACAAAGAGATCAGTTTCTGCCTCTCTGCTTCCCCTTGTGAGGAAGCTGCAGGTGCTGTGAGGTCTCTCCTCAGACTCCTCTTCTCCAACTGAACAGACCGAGTGCCCTCAGCCACTTCTGGTGTGGCTTCCCCTGCAAATCCTTCACCATCTTCGTGTCCCTCCTTTGGACACTGACAGCTTTAGATCCTTCTCATATCGTGGTGCCCCAAACTGCCCCCATACTTGAGGTGAGGCCACACCAGTGCAGAGCAGTGTGGGATAATCACCCCCTGTAAGTTTAGGTGAGAAGAATCTTAAAGCTTCTGAAATCTGTAATGTTGTCCTTTGCAAGACTTTGTTGTTTAGCAATTAATAAGGCAGAGCAAGGAAATGATGGACATTTCTGTCTTCTCCCTCAGTAGTGGGGGAATCATTAGCTAGTCAACCACTTGTAATCCCATGGATGTAGAGCATCTTCGTCAGGGTGTTTATTGGTGCAAACAGGAGCTGTTCTGATTACAGATCTGTCTTTTCTTGAGGTTGCCTCCCCAGAGCTCATGCCTCCTATCATCTCAAGCACTCAGGATTGCTAAATCTCCATATTAACTGCTATCTACTGTTATATTGAGGGACCTCTGCCAGGCAGAGAGAGACCTGAGAGTTAGGATTGACAGGAGGCTGAACATGAGCCAGCAGTGTGCCCGGGTGGCACAATGGCATCCTGGCCTGGATCAGGAACAGTGTGGCCAACAGGTCCAGGGAAGTCATTCTTCCTCTGGACTCAGCACTGGTGAGGCCACACCTGGAGTGCTGTGTCCAGTTCTGGGCCCCTCAGTTCAGGAACGACATGGAGGGGCTGGAGCAGGTCCAGAGGAGGGCAACTAGGCTGGTGAAGGGACTCAAGCACAAGTCCTAGAAGGAGAGGCTGAGGGAACTGGGGTTGTTGAGCCTGGAGAAGGGGAGGCTCAGGGGAGACCTCATCACTCTCTACAACTCCCTGACAGGAGGTTGTAGCCAGATGGGAGTTGGTCTCTTCTCCCAGGCAGCGATCAGCAAGACAAAAGGGCATGGTCTTAAGCTGTGCCAGGGGAGGTTTAGGTTGAATATTAGGAGGAAATTCTGCCCAGGGAAGTGGTGGATTCTCCATCCCTGGCAGTTTTTAAGATGAGACTGGATGTGGCATCAGTGCCATGGTCTGGTAACCACAACGGTGTTGGATCAAGGGTTGCACCTGATGATCTCTGAGGCCCCTTCCAACCCAGCTGATTCTATGATTCTGTGATTCTATGACTTCCCCAGAAAACTCAGCTGTTTGTGGATCGTGCTACTGGTCTTGTAGTACCAGATAGTGCTTGGAATGCTGCATGGCTTTGGGCTGCCAGATGTACACCAGCTTTTGGATGTGGTGTCAGTATAACCAGTAGATTGTGTGTGTTACTGTTAACAAAATCATAATTCATTGAGTTTTACAGCAAAAAATGTTTAGTCATCTAGTGAAAGTCTACTTTGGGTTTTTATGTCCTGCTTTCTAAATCCAACCCACCCACTCTGCAGTGTTCAGGCAAGGTACTCTCCCCTCTTTGTCACTGAATCAACAGTTGCTAAACTGGTTGTGATAGAAATACTAATACCAGTCTGTGAAGATGTTGAAGAGCAAGTAGAATAGGTCGTAATCCTTCTTTTACTAACCAGCTGTCTAATCCCAAGTTTTGTATCCCGAGGCAAGCCCCCGAGTTTATTGTGAACTGTGTCGCTGAACACACTCCAAAAACTCAAACGTAGCCAGGAGTGTGAAGTCATATAGTGAGTTTTTTTTCTTTCTAAATGCCACCAGGAAGGAAGGAAAGAAGGAGTTAAACTCCCTTGGAAACATGTGGTCTTCTCTGGACTGTTTTCTCACCATCCTTTGTAACTATTAAGTCTGAGGCAGAGCTGCAACTCTATCATCTAGAAAAGCATTTCTTTGTTTCCATCTTACTTCTACTGGAGGGTTTTTATTTGGCATAATACAGCTTTCCACAAGCCACAGAACACATGAAACTGCATGGGAATGAAAGGACTCTGGGCTGTGAAATCTTTTTTATTAGTTGTTCCGGGTGGCAGTTCTAGGTCCCCATAGGAAAAGGCAGATTTGTTCTTCATTATTAACCTGGTGTTCAGACTGCATTGGACTGTATTTAATGGTAAAAAAAGAAACTGTTTTAATGATTTGAATGAGCTTTAAGTGGGAAGGTGATATTTTGTGACTTTTGAATGAGAGAAAGGGGAAGGGCTCTCCATTTAGGTATTCCATGAAGCAAGAGCCAAACCTATCCCTGACTTTGCAGAACCATGACTGAGTGAAAATTCAGCATAGCCACTTTTGGTTGTGTTTGATTCTCTAAAACTATGTGTCTTCAAAATGGAAAGTAATCACAGAAAAAGAAAACAGAAAAAGAATGGAAAAAACCAAATAGTCTAAAGACATTGCTTGCTTTTGTTTGGTTAATGGTTTTGTTTTGTTTTTTTTTTTCATTTAAGAGGGAAAAATTATTTGTTTTGATACAAAGAGAAACTAAGATCAGTAGGGTAAAACTGAAAAAGAAAAAATTGTAGATAGTGCATAATGACCTATTTCCCAGCAACTGAGTTTGTGAGGGTGGAATAAAATCTCAAGTAGGTTGATATTTATCTTGCCTTCTAGGAAGTAAGTAAGGATTTGAAAGAAAATGAATGGTTACTGCAGTTTTCAGAGGGGAGCTGACAGAGCAGAGTGGGCTTTGTTAAGGGTCTGTTGTCTGTGACAACAGGATCTGCATTTGCACATGGATTCTTCTGGCACTGTGGTTCCTGGTCTCCTCCTCAGTGATCCTGTTTCTGGTTTTAGTCCAGCTGAGCCCTGTGTCTGGCTGCTTTTCTGGTAGGCCTTCCTTGAGTTTGCTGTGTGTGAGAAGCATGTGCTATTCACCTGCTCTCCATATTTGGGTTCATCTGTTTTATCCCCACTGCACCCTGGTTTGGGTCAAATTGGACTTTCTCATTGTGACATTCTTGTATAATCTAATCCATTCCCCCAGCAGCTCAAGCTGGTGGGAGCAAGATGTAATATATCTGCCCATAGTTCTATTTGTGTTTATGGGGAAAAAATATTAGTAGTGCTGTACCTTGTCTTACCTTAGATAGTCTTGAACCATTTTGTCTATCTATTCCTTTACTCTTTATCCACATGTTCTTTGTTTGCTCCTCACTCCCTGCTCCCCTTTGTTGGGACAGGTACCAACAGACCCATGTGGTGACAAACTCTGTGTTTTGGTAGGTGCGACATGAAAACAGGTGTGTTGCTCCTGAGAGATGCCCGTGTTTCCACAATGGAAGAGAATATGCCAAGGGAGAGACAGTGACTAAGGACTGCAACACCTGGTGAGCCACTGGAACGTCACTTTCCTGTTTTTCTCTTGGGCATCTGACATGTTTCTAATAACACCAAATATTGTTGGCTTAACAGGTCTGTTTTATAGGAACTCAGGTTTTGCAGCATATATTGCACAGACCATCACATTCCCTTTGCATGTCGCATGAAGACCCAGCAAAACTCCTCGTAATATCTAACACCCTGTACCTGGTACCTTACAAAAAGGTTGTGTGACTGTGCAAATCCTCTGTAGGCACTAGCTAGTGGATTTGCTCCTTGATTTTGCAGCACAAGACAACAATATAGGAGCTCCTCTGGGGTGGGAGGAATGGAGTCTGCGCTTTGTCACTAAGCTTTTCTGTCATGCTTCCCTTTTTTTTTTTTTTTTTTTTTGCTACTTGAGACCCTTCAAATCAGTCCTTTTCAGCCAGAAGCTGCATCAGCAAAGGGGTATGATGTGCCAGCTATAATATGATAGATGCCCTTCAGGAAAATATTAAAGAATTAGGCAGAGACAGAGTTCACCTCTTATATCTCTAAAGAGTGCTCAGCCCATTGATGTATTGGGGGGAAAAAAAGAGTGAAACCTCTGATAGCTTAGAAGAAAGTGCTCTATGTCTTTCACCCTTATCCTGTGTGGTCCATGAAAGAGAATTTATAGGTTCACAAGAAAGTGATGGGCTGTTCAATTTGCGTGGAGAGAAGTCCTCAGCACAGCCCTTGGTGAGGTAGAATGTATTTGCCACTCTTGACTTCTGCCTGCACAGCACACTGGCTGCACTGGAGGTACTTTGCTTTCCGCATGTGTGCGTGGAGGGAATGTTGGCTCTCCCCTGCAGAGCTCCAAGAGTCCAAGGTGTAGGACACTGAGCCACCAACAGTGTGAAAACTCTGTTTTCCTTGAATTTACATTTCAGAATCTGTCATAAATTCCATTCAAAATGTCCCTGACCAGCTTTGTGGCACCCCAGGAACAATGTTTGTTATTCTCTGTGTGACTGGGTGGAGTTGGATCAGAGAATCACTGTTGAATAGTCTTTTGACTTGGATTTTGTTTGGTACATTGACCTCTGAGTAACAGTGATTTCAAGTCTTGTATTCTTAAACTAGTGGGACCACTCCTAACTAGTGTAAGTTAGACTTGAAGTAAGGTTTTATGTGGAAATTTTGACCTTTCAGTGTTTTGTTTCATTTCTTTCCTTTGTAGCTACATATAACATTGTGAATCATCCGCTGTAATTAAACGTGGGGAAAAGTAGATTTGAAAGGGAGAAAGATGGAGGAGAAGCTGATATTTTGTACAGATACAAGTGCTATAATCTGCTTACATTTCATATAGGTAAAAGTGACTCAGATGAAAAACAGACATGATGAAAATTTTATTGAAACAAGAAGAGTAAAACTCCTAGGTGTTGTTGTGAAATTTGCAAGATTCTTTGTAATAACCATGCACAGTCCTTCTATTTTCAGTCATTCTTATCATCTTTGATCTTAAAATAGTCATAACCATGTTGCTTCATTCTTGTGACTGCCTGTTGTAAGTGACATTTCCTCAAATACATAGAATTTCCTTCAATGTCAGGGTTAAGAAAATGTTAGAAATCAGGCTTTGTCTCATTGATAAAAAGTTCTTCTTCGCATTTTAGGTATTTTTCTTGTATGTGAAAGTAAAATTGGAAATAGGGTCCCTCAAAAATGCCACTAGGGCTTTTTTGAACTATGTGTCTTTGAAAAGTTTCATGATAGTTCTCAGCAAATATCAAGTCAAATGTCATTTAGAAAGTGATATAGGAAATTACTGTTGCTTTGAGAATTAATAAGAATTGAGAGTCTGCATTTTGGAGGTCAGATCTTCCTTTCCTTTTGTTTTTGCTTTTTGTACTGCTGTTGCAGGAGTTCTCATTCTCACTTGTTCTTAGCCAGATGTGAACACCTGCAAACGCAATATATGAGCCAGAGGTGTCAGATTTGGCGTTTACATCCAGCTTGACATATGGGAGGCCCTAATTCATGAACAACGGAATGTCTCCAAGCCTAAGCCAGTGGCAAAACTTTTGTTATGCAATGTATTGGGAATTCATTGCAGAGCTCAATGAAAGTTTTGGAGTAACACTTAGGAAGAAGCACACAGCAGGAATCTGCTAATCTGAATTTTGTTCCGCTACGTACCTTATAATCTGCCCGTGCACATATAGAAAAAACCTTGGTCTTGCTCTAACTATTAGCAGAGAATTAATGTCAGAGGGTGTAATAGGTTTCATATTACTGAAGTTTCATTTGTTGAGGAAAATGTATTGCAGAATATTTGTTATAATGTGAAATGTTACCAAGATTAAACAACGCTTATGTTTGGGTTAAGGCATTACTGAAGAACTCAGTTCAGTGCCTGGTTTTTCTTTGGGTAGCAGTTTGATCTTGGGAAAGTATTTCAGGTTCTTTATCCCTGAGTTTTTATTTCTGTAAAGCACAGATAAAATTCCCCTTTCCCTGCCCTTTCAGAACTTGATTAGAAAATTCCTGGGGCACCGATGGTGTCCATCTGCATTCATAGAGTGTTTAGTAGACGAATGTTTTGCCACCCTCAAGCAAGATATTGCTTATTATGTTATTAAAGTCCTATTATTTGATTGACCTTGGTTTTTATTTTATTTGCTCAGTCTCTTGCTAGTTACCAAATCAATTTATGTCACTGATCAAAAGCCTTTGGGTGCTGAGGGAAAGATCCCCTTTCATACCTTCAGCTTCTGTAGCAAGGCTTGTGGTCCTCCAAGATATCTCTGGAAAAGGGCAAATAGACAGAGCTGGTGCCCTGTTTTTCTGAAATGGTACTTGAAGCACAGCAGCATATCCAAAATAAAATGTTAATGATATTACAAAATATTACTCCAAAGGAGGCCTGTCCAGGCCACTTTTTGAAATAGGGAGATTCAAAAAGCTCGTATTCCTACATGCAGTTTTTAAGAAACAGAGAAACATATCCCTTATTCACTTAACATTAATGCATAATTTGGATTTATACACCCAATGCTGACATATGCTAATTTATATTGATGAGAGAGCCTCTCATCTGGTGTGTAGTAGTGAGCTCCTGGGGGCAGAAACTGTGGCACTTTCACTTTGCCTAAAGCACCTTGCCTTTTGTTGTTTATTATATACATTACAATAATGATAATTGTCACTGACTTGTTCTCTCTGTCACAGTGTGTGCCAGGGTCGGAAGTGGGAGTGCACCAAAAATTTGTGTGATGGCACCTGCACTGTTATTGGCACAGCTCATTACTTGACATTTGATGGACTGAAATACAAGTTTCCAGGAAACTGTCTGTATGTATTAGTTCAGGTAAGAACATGTCAAATGCTAAAGCTGCCTGATAATATACAGGTGTTTTACATCAGGTGAGAAGGCCAATGTTGGGATAAATCACAGTAAAATATTTTAATTAGTGAGCCAGGTGGATGGTAGGGGAGAGTAGAGCTTTCAGACTTCAAAGATGTCTTGAGAATTTTGAAGATTGCATTTTGTTGTATAGAAATTTATGTTGTCACTTGTCTAGCTGGCAGTCACAAACCTTATGACAGAAGAGCTGTCTGAACCTCATCTCTAACATGGAATTGTGGATATCCATAAAAAATCAATTTTTCCTCATTCTCCACTAGACTCTCTATCCTGTTGTAGTGGCTTACTGTCTGACTGGGACAAGGAATGCTCAGTAAACCTTCCCTAAATTCCCCCAGAACAGAGACTCTGCTCTTTCCCTCCGGCACAGTCACTGTCCTCTTCCATGCACCAGCCCTTTTGGAGTACATTGAAAATATCCATTTCCCTCACAGCAAAGAGGAGAGATGGACCTCACAAAGAAAAGAAAAACAATATATTACGATACATCATTGCTCCCCAAGAAATAGGTTGGCATTCTTGTAATTATTTTTCACGTACAGGTAGAAAAGCGTGGGTATCAAACTTTTGACTCAAGACTGTGCAAATTTCTTCCTAATTCTTCTTTCTAACCTAACCTTCTAGATTTGTATTTTAATTTTAGCACTGAAGCTGTAGAGTCTTGTAAATCAAATAATATCTGTGTATTCAGGGATGGACCTCATGAATATCAAGGCTAAGCACAAAATAAATGAATATGGGAATATTGGACGTGCCAACATATATCCTATTGGCCAAGATTACACAGGGTGTTATCTGAGGCTTCTGTTTGCTCTAGGTGTTTTTCTCTGTACGTGTTTTTAAAATGTACCATGTTACTGACTCATTGATTTATTTTTTATCTGATAGGATTTCTGCAGGGATGACTCTGGAACATTCAGGATACTAATTGCAAATGAAGGTTGTGGCTTCACTGGAGAAAAGTGCAGCAAAAGAGTTATCCTTCTGTATGGAGGAGGGGAAATAGAGTTGTTTAATGGAAATGTATGTATGCTTCTTTTCTCTTGCTTTCATTTTTCCTTTTTTTTGGGAGAAGAATTTCAGATTGTTTAGTAAGATATGAGGCATAAATGACCTCGTGCTCAGGGGTTCTTGATCATAAAATGGAAAGATTAGGAGGATTATAATGACCCATTTTACTCCAAGAGGTATAATGCCATTTTGGTATTTCTCCTTGATGCCAGCAAATTTATCTCACACAGAATGGTTTGGGTTGGAAGGGACCTTTAAAACCACCTAGTTCCAACCCCCCTGTTGTGGGCAGGGACACCTTCATCTAGGCCCCCTCCAGGCATGGGGCAGCCACAACCTCTCTGGACAACCCAGTCACTGACCCATAACTAGTAAAACATCAGACCTAATTTAGCAATCTGAAGGACTGAGCACACAGTAAAAAAAAGAAGTCACGGCTCAAATGAGTTGATAATGCAGAATGTTAAATTGCCAGATGGAATATCCAGATGCCTGGATTCTTCTTTTTCCTCCCCTTTCCTACCCACAAACACTGAAGAACTGACCAAGAATCGCTTCCATCTCCCATGTCCCCCCACAGCAGGAAACAAGCTTTCCAGAGGGCAGAGTTCACTCAGCTCTTTGCCTTGAGCACTGCAACAATTAAGGCCCTCTGTGTTCAAACACTGAAGAGCTGCAGTGGATTATAGTGTTTCAATCGCTCCATTTTCAGAAGTCCTGTGCTCTGAACTGGCATCTGCACCAGAGAATTTGCAAGAATATTCCCAGTGAAATGTGAAACCACTCTGCATTTGCCTTATTTTGAGTTAACAGACAAAGCTGTACCAGGTTTTGAATTGCCTGCAAAGTGCCACTGATCCTTGACAGGAAGACAGAAAACATGCCCATTACTGACAGTGTCTGTGCAGGGCGTCTTGGCAGCATATGATCCATGTAGGCTTTGGGATGCTGGAGGAATGAACATAGGACATATTGATTACCCAATTCTTTATTTTTACTGCTAAAGAATTCCCTGCCTGGTTGAGGGTGAGTAGCAGTACAGGGATCACTCCATCAAGTCAGGCTTTGTCTGAAAGTTTCTTTAGGTGACAGATCTTCAGAAAAGCTGTGCTTCCATTTGGACACCTAAGAAAGGGCCAGAAAAGGCAGGAGGTGATTCAGCATCCCGTGAGTCCAGCAACAGAGGGTGTTTGGTTCCTGAGAAAGCCTGTCCTTGCAGGAGCTGGATCTGTATTGCTACACTGTCCACACAACCCTACTGAATTTTTAGTTGTCTTTTTAGAGAGTTTAATTCTCAGTGTAACAGTATCTAGAACAAGTTTGCCTAGAAATAACAAAATAGAGATCAAGGGAAAACAACTCTTAGGCAAATTCTCACCCAGTGATGACTTCCTGCATTCTTTTTCACAAGAATCCTTAAAAGCAAGCCCAGGTATTGACTATTTTTTTTCCATTAAAATGTTTCCAAATAGCATTGTTTTAAGATGATCTGTTTTGAGAGCAGCTTCTAATTTTAGGTAAATGGGGACTAAATTGAAGTATATATATGTTAACAGTTCTGGCTGACATTTACAAAAAAAATTGTGAAATAATTTTGGCCAAGATTTGTGAAATAAATCTACCAGTTTGCAAGGTCAAAAGTTGGACTTCATGGTTGGGAAAAAAACCTCCATAAACATAGAAATTTTGTAATGTAGGTCAACCTCCCAGCTCAACTTTGTCCTCTGTTTTTTACCTGAGTTTGGAACGACAAAAGCTGCTCTAGAAGCAACCAAGTGACTAGGCTGTGTAGTCATACATGAGACATAGGAGAAGGTTAAAGAACTTCCAGTACCTAAATATTTTTAACATGTTCTCCTCTAAAAACATTGAAGGCCCTTCTTAGGAGATCCATGGAAGATGTGAACTGTCTTCTTTGGGGTTAAAAGTTTCTGATGATAACTCAGAGATGAAGAGAACTGAATTTCATTGCTGAGCTTTTGCCGAATTGAGCAAGAAAGAATAGTGGAATAAGGAAATATTTCTCCCTCAAACTAGGGAGTGGATGAATAGTTTGTGGGCTCCTCTTTCTCCCTTGATTGTATTGATTGAAACTTTTTGTCTGCCTCTTTCACAATTAAACAGTTAATGCATTAATGGTGCTAAAGTAACAGCTGTGCCAGACTTTTCTTTCCAAATGTGGTTAATAATTCTATTAGAGTACCCACTGAAAAGGGATTATGGTGTGAAAGAAAGTGTTTTAAATTAATTTCTTAAATTCTTAGAAGCTGGAGGCAGTGAAGTTGCAGCCAGATGGAAGAGAAATAGTCACAGGGGAAGGGAAAGCGATGGAAAAATGAAGATACGCTGAAAGGAATCTCTCTGGATTTTTCCTGTTGGTGTAGAGTTGGGAAGAAAGTTCTTCCTGACTTCAAGATCAGACTCTGGTCCTTCAGAAGCCACTGATGCATGTGGTTTTTCTAGTTCCTATTAAACTCAAACCTAGCCAGTCCCTTAGTTGTTGCCAGCCCTCAGGAGCACAGAATTAGTTTCCTAAAAAGATGAAATATAAAAAAAACCCAACAAACAAAAAACTAAAAACCAACACGCAATTATTCAGTGAACCATTGACCAAATACTAAACTGATCATTAGTTAGGAATACCCTGTCTTCTTCATCAGCCCTCACTGCTCTCACTGTGTGTCAGTATTTGTGGTGAGTGTATGTTATATCCCGGGAGCACAAGGGACCACATCCAAAAATTATAGAAACGGGATGAGATTGAAATACTGCACTTGTATCCCAATTTTCTGTTTTGCTCTGGAGCATCTGGATAGTGTGTGAGAACTCTCTAGAGAACAGCATGTTTGAAAGTACCTGTTAACCTATGAGCACGTGTTCCACTGGGACTTGAAATAGTAACTAGAGCCACTGTTGATAGCACAATGTGCTTCTCTTGCTCAGGTGAACATCAAGATACCTCCTAATGATGAAAATAATTTAGAAGTCATGAAGTCTGGCCGTTATTACATCATTTTACTGGGCAAGAGCATCAGTGTGACCTGGGATCTGGCCATGGGAGTCTCTGTTATCTTAAAAGGCAATTTCCAAGTAAGTGTTTTTTGCTTTTCTTCGTATTCTCGCTAAAGAATGCCCTTACCCTCTCTCTGGGGAACAGCATTCTTTTTTTTAAATGCAGACTTGCTGATAGATTTCCATGGAGTATTGGGCACTTGCTTGAAAATAAAGGCTTTTCTTTGGTAATACCATTAGACTGCCTTGCTTTCCTGGTAGTTCAATTGTGAGGTGTAAATCCTGGCTCGTTGGAGATGAGCTATGACAGAAAGGCTGAATGCTGAGGTGCCTCAGAATAACTGTGCCTTGAGTGATTTCTTCTGTATTCAGGAAGAGCAGTGTAAGGAGCCAGATTCCTGAGGACTGTCATCTCCAGAAATAAAATGGGATTGTAGGGCCATACTCCAAGTACAGCCAGCAGGCACTGCTGATTGGAGTTGTCTTGCTTTCTGGGGACGGTGTGGTCCTACTTTCAGCTAAGCAGAATGGGAACAAGAGCTAAACTTTTCTGTGAAAGACCATGTCTATTTTAGTGGACTTGGCAAGACCCTGGGTAATTCAGCTTTTAAGCCTCATGGCATTAAAGCTCTAGGCTAAAAAGACTTCTCAACACAACCCTAAGCCAGTGTACAGATGGAAGATTTATGTGTTTTGTGTTTTTTTCCCTGCAAGGATCAAGTGTGTGGTCTGTGTGGAAATTTTGATGGAATCCAAAACAATGATTTGACCAGCAGCAGTGAACATCTTGAAGTAGATCCAGTTGACTTTGGGAATTCTTGGAAAGTTAATCCATCCTGTGCTGATGTTGAAAAGGTGAGTGTGAATGAACTGTGAAAACTAATTAATGTGGGTTTACAGTATCACTCAGGAGTGGGCAAAGAGGTTTGAAAGGATAAGTAGAAATTAACTCCTTTCCCCATGTTTTTGCCAAATAATGTTATTTTTTGAAATCTGATAAGAGATCAATTAACTTACACAATGCTACTGTGTTGCCTGGCTTCAGGTGACTGTCAAAACAGCCAATCTGTATGGGTCTGTTCAGAGAGTTATCCAACCCAGATGCTTGAAATCAGGGTATAACTGGAAATCTCATTTTACAGTTTAACCTGAAGACAACCAGCTGTAAGTTTCAGTCACGGGGAATTCAGATAAAAATTTCATATTTTCCTACCCAAATTTCTATATCCCAAATCTTAGTTTGTCCATTACAAACAACAGAATACTTAGGTTAATTTCTTTCTATTTGCTTCTCATTCTTTTTCTAAAGAGCATTCAGTTATTGTTTTAAAATTGGAATGGCTTGATCAGAAAGAGCAGGATATTGAGAGGGGACATGAGACTTTATTGCCATCTATGGTTGCATCTGAATTTTGGGCAGGGTACCTGCTATCTGGAAGTGTTGTCTATGTCCCAGTGCTGGAGATTTCATAGGGTACTAATTAAATTACACATGAGAATCTGTGTTCTCTTTTCCAAATACAGAATTTTGAAAGAATGGAACTGAGTAATAAATTTATATTGAGCTGGCAAATGATAATAATAACCCATAGTATTTCCAAATCAAAAAATGTGAGGAAGCAGCTTGAAGACAACTTGTTTTGACATTGTAAAATGAAGCATCTCATTCAGCTGATGCTTTTTAAGGCTAAAAACTTTTTCTTGAAAATTTGTCTAAATGGTCAGAGGAGGGTGGGGGGAAGAAAAAAAGCCTTTCTTAGATCTTTTAAGAAAATATTTAAATGATCAGAAAGTTGAAATGAAACATTTATTCTTGATCACATGAAATCTTTTGGGTTACTTTGCTAATTATGTGCAAGTGTGACATAGCCACAGTGTTGTTGAATGCTGAATGTCACTGTTCATGTGAGTTGGTTGGAGCACAGAGGAATTTGCAGTACTGAGGAGTAAGACTGAGAAGGAGCAGCTTCTCATTTCAGTGTAACAGGCACAGGACAGAACCTGTAGAGTGTCACAGTGATAAATGCCATGTCAATGCTAGTGCTCTGTGCTCTTAGATAAATTAAATGGGAAAGAGAGAGAGACTACTGAACCATTCAACAGTGGCCTTGGATATTGTCTACTAAAGTCTGGTCATATTTTCGAACCTTGTTGACCTTCTGCAGAGATGTGGGTGATCATTTTTCAGGATGAGTGTTTGGTACAGAGTGTCTTACTGTCAACAAAATGTCTAAGTTAAAACTGCAGTGTACAAGTAAAAGCTGGAGAAAATCTAGGAGGTGATCTACTCTGCTCTGCATTCTACCATGGCAGGATCTGTGCGGGTTGTACAACAAGTTGAAACTTTACTCAAAGAAACAATTACCTTTGTCATGAAAAATTGCTAGTGAGCCTCTTGCTTCAGTTTGAGGAGTACTGAGGTCTTAAAGGCAAGGCTAATGCAATCTCTGTTGTCTCTTACAATATTAAGCCCAACCTGGAACAGACCTTGATGTCTCCACTGTGTAATGGAAACATAGTGAAGCAGATGATGGTAGAAACATCATGCAGCATTTTGTCTGGAGATCTCTTCAAAGAATGCAAAAAATTTGTGAGTATTGAGTCGTGTTTCACATTCTTCAATTCTGTGTGGTCTGTGCTGACATTGGTTATAGCTAAGGGGAAAGGTGTGGTTGTGCTGACAGCACGTGGGACTTGGAGGAGGCTGACTCGGGTTCTCATCTCTCATCCTGTCCTGTAGCTGATGCTTCCTGGGAAAATGCAGAATACCACGTGGGAGTAAGCTATAGAGTAACTGAGGGAGATTTTACTGTACAGCCCAGAGACTGGCACATGAAGTGAAACATAAGGGTTGAGACTTGAGGGAAGGGGGTGCTGAGCTAATGTAATACCCAAGGTGCTGCACAAGAGGGATGGGAATGAGACCTAAAAACATATAAAATTGTTTCATATGGGGAATAGTAAGAGACAACAAACTGCAGTTTATATAGCAACTTTGAGGGCGTGGTCTTGCTGACATCAGGAGGAATATCAGCACTGATTTATGTGGCACCTCAACTCTTGACAAGTGGAGCACCCAAACCATCTGAAGGTTAAATACGTCTACAGGAAGGAGATGAGGGGAACCACTGAGTGTACTGTGCCCCATGTTTCTCTTTTGTAGGTGAATCCCGAGCCCTACATAGACATTTGCATGTATGACACTTGTGCTTGTGAATCTATTGGGGACTGTGCCTGTTTCTGTGACACCATTGCAGCCTACGCTCATGTCTGTGCACAGAAAGGGGTCGCTGTTCACTGGAGGTCACAGACCCTGTGCCGTAAGTACTGGGTACATGAGGAAGAACTGGGTGAAAAGGTTCAGGATTTTGGCTCAGATAAGCTGGTCAGACTTAGCTCTGCTTCCACGGATGTCCAGAGGACTTCACCTTAATGGGACTGGACTGGCAGCTCACGCTGGCATTTCCACTCCATTTTCTATTTTTGTTCAGAGGTGTACCTCAAAACTCCATTCCATCAGTTAGAGGATGCCATAATGTGTGGTGCAAACAAATCTAGAGAAATGTTCTCTGTAACACATATATATATATGTGTGCATTAATTAAAGCTTAAAGTTTGTGGAGTTTTTGCATTTGCAGTTATCAAACCCAAATATCTCTGGTCTAGAGCAAGTACTTCATTATGTAAAAAAAGATGCAAGTGTGAAGAAGTGACCTGCCCTGCATGTAGTAAAAAAATAAATAAATAAAAATTGTTTATAGGTGGAAATATTTGGGTTTTTTCTAGGAATATGTGGTCCACGTTATATGACACTTGGTGTCATAGTTCTGAGAGGCATGGTGAATAAATACTCTGGTTTGACATTTTTTGCCTCTGATTCTTTCCCTGCATAGCACAAAGCTGTGAGGACCTGAATAAAAATGAATTAGACTATCAGTGTGAATGGAGATATAACAGCTGTGGGCCTGCTTGTCCTACAACGTGCCAACACCCACAGCCTTTGGAGTGTCCTCTGCAGTGTGTGGAAGGATGCCATGTACGCTGTCCTGCAGGTAAGTTCATCTTTTACTTTACTTAAACAGTTACTTATCTTTTTCTTCTGCTTGACAGGCTTACTGATGTGTTTTCACCACAATTTCTTACTACCTAAGTAGGGAGATGGTTGATCATCTTGGTTTGAGTTTGTGAAATGAGCACAGTATGGGGGAGGGCATGAAGTGGTGCCTAAAAGAGGAGGATGAAACACTACCAGCAAGAACAAGAGAAGATGGGAACAGGTGGATAGGAAAGGAGGATAGGAGGATTAGGGGCTGTGTGGCAACAGAGATTGTTGGCTATGTGATTAAAGTAGGGTATGAATAAAATACTCTCCTTCAGAGCAGCTATGACAGTGGGGGAAACCCATTGCCTTGATGGGCTTAATACCTCCAAGATGCTCCTGAGAGTGCCCAGCAGGCATCCCCTGTGAGCCTGAGCTTCCAGCTTAACTGTTCCCAACAACTATCTCGTAGAAAAGGGAAAGGAAAAAAATACAGTAAATATGGGGCAGGGAGAGGAAAGATGGAGTGAAAGAGAAAGAGTGCAAAACAAGAGCCGAAAGGAAAGCGAAAACTCAGATAAATTGTTCCTAAAGACAGAGCAAGAAGACATGAAGGCAAAGAAAAAAGGTATTTTAAGAACCAAAATAACTATTCTGGGCCCTGGTGTCTCTGACCAGAATGAGGTAAGGGATAGGGGGAGAAATAAACAATACACATGTACAAAGGGAAACGCCATTTTCTCCTGTCTTCTCCCCTGTTTTGTTCTAAAGATATGTTCACCTTCCATGTGGTGCTGGCTGTTGCAGGTTATACACCAGGTTAAGTACTTCCAATATCTAAATAAAAACCATTATGAAGGAAGGAGATACTGCTCTGTGTTGAGCTGGCAGTGGCCATAAAACCAAACACAGTGTTCAGAAGGTTTGAGTCCACCTGAGAAGAGTCAATATGTTTTTAGTGCAACGATTAGTTTTAAAATTTGTGAAAATTGGCATCTTTTTACTGATGTGCTATTTTGAAACAGGGAAAATACTTGATGAACTGTCCCTGGATTGTGTCAGTCCAGAAGACTGTCCCGTGTGTGCAGTTGGAGATGACAAGATCCCACATGGAAGGAGAGTAGTTTTGAACAGAGATGATCTACAGCGCTGTCAATCTTGGTATGATGGGTTTATGCAGTGAATGTTGAGTGGGATGAAGGGACAGGGGTGAAGTACATCCACATTAATAAGTTTATGGGTGTAACTTTAAATATATCACTGACAGAGAAGCTTGGAAGCCACTTTTTACATCAATTCCCCTTCACATAGAGCCCAAAGCTGAAGTTTTTCAATAACGGTAGGGATTATAGGATGTCAGCTGAACTAAAATTCATAAATTCCTTTCAAAAAAGACCTTTTCCCATGTGTAGGTGGCCCTACTGGCTTCAGATGTTTCACTTCTTTTTGTGCAATGTGTGATTCAACATCAATAAAGTTGTCAGACTCTTTCCCTCTGCCAACGCTAAAAAATATCCTGTGTATGGCGCGGGCTCTGAATGTGCACTCAGTGTAGAACTTGCTGAGATTATTAGCAGTTGGAATTGTGTACTGTTACTGGAAAACCAATATCCATAAGATTTTAAGGCACTCTGATCCTGCATGCATGCATTTCCAAATGTGATGGAATGCATGGCAGGGTGCAGGGTGCTGTGCATTGAGCAGGATGAGGGCCCTCAGCTGCAGTGCAGCAGAGACTGTTTGCATTCTGTATAATGCCCTGTGGCATATTATGTATTGTCTGAAAGTTTGGCATTCTCCAGGTGTCTGGACCCTTGATGGATACTTTCACCAGTCACTTATAATGCTGTGAATACAAGAGATTTTTCCATCCTGTAAATTGATCAGATTTAATGGAAAGTGAGTTGTGAAACCGCAGCAGTTATTAGGCCAAACTAACACCTTAACTCCAAGTGCTCTGAACCTCACAGAAGCTCTAAGTGGGTACAAACTTCCAATTCCTGGTCTCTTGCCAGAGCTCACGTACGTCCGTGCTATAAACCCAGGGCTTGAGCTCTAAGGCTGATAAATTAAATATATTTTTTTTTGACAATACACACAAAGAACCTTGAATTCCATCAAAAGGTCAAAAAAGAGTCTCCATAAATGAGTCTCTGTTCTCTAATTTTTGTAATCCTTAATAATAATTTATCTTAAATGTTGATACACTGGCCATTGCTCACAAAAGATTTCAGAACATTAGGAAAACTTACCTCACTAGGGAAACATCCTTTTGCATAACTGTCACCTAATTTAGATGCCTACACCATCTGTACAAACAATAGAAAATATTGCACAAAAATGAATTTCATAGCAAATATCCAAAGGAAATTGGAAACTAGAAGAGCCTTGTTCATATTAGGATTAAAATAAAAAATCTCCTGCTGCTGTATGTTAATGCCAGAAGTAGTTGTGCATTTTGCAATTAGGAAGATACTACAATAAGCCTGAAGAGAACAGAACACTTAAACTAAGAGAACTTAAATGAAGGTGCCATGGGTAAAGTGAAGCATTTTCCTGGAAAATGGCACCTTCTTCCATTATTGACTCATTTAGTTCATACATCCCGGGTTTTCTCTGGCAGTGAAAACAAGCATTCTTTGATCCTTGCTCTTTCACAACCTTTCCCTATTCTGTTTCTTGAACTGTCCAGTAAGACAAGGAGAACATATAGACTGACTCTGTTCCACCCTGTGTCTGAGTACAGTCATGTTCTTTACTCTGATAAGTGAAGCTGATCAGGGGGCTGGAACACCTCTCCTATGAGGAAAGGCAGAGAGAGCTGGGATTGTTCAGCCTGGAGAGGAGAATTATCCAGGGAGACCTTGATGTGACCTTTCAGTACTTAAAGGGAGCCTATGAGAAAGATGGGGACAAATTTTTTAGCAGAGCCTGCTCTGACAGGACAAGGAGTAATGATTTTAAACTGAGAGAGAGCCAGTTTAGACTGGATATAAGGAAGAAGTTTTTTACAATGAGAGTTGTAGAACACTGGCATAGGTTGCCCAGAGAGGTAGTAGATACCCCATCCCGGGAAACATTTCAGGTCAGGCTGGATGCGGTTCTGAGAAGCATGATCTGTTGAAGATGTCCCTGCCTTTTGCAGGAGGGTTGGACTAGATGGCTTCTAAGAGTCCCTTCCAGCCCAAATGATTCTATGATTCAAGGAGATAAAGAGAATCATGCAAGCAGGAATCAGAAGGGCAGAAGTTTGAAAGACTTGCTAAAGGTGGATGAATTATAAACAAGTTCCTGAAAGGTGGAGGGTGACAGAAGTGAAAAAGCTCACAGTGATACAGAAGGGTGAATAGTGGAAAAGGCAGAGGGGGAAAACAAAAATAGGAGCTGATCTAGAAAGGGAAAAATGGAGGTGAGTAGAAATATTGGAAATAAACCATTTAATATGAGAAAAGGGACTGAAAGAAATCATGGTAAATAACAGGAAGATAAGAGACATAAAAAACAATGGAGGACAAACATGTGCTAAATGTTGTATTCAGAACAAAATGAAGTCAAGAAAAAAACCCAGGAATTCAGAGCACTTCAGAGGAAGAAAAAAGGCTTAATTTCACCAAGGTTAAAAGCTGGGTAAACCAGGCCCCTGTACAAAATGTGCGGAGTCTTTCCTGAGCTAAAACATCTTTCCTACTCTAGGATTTTACTTTGTGTTGGCTACCTCCAGTTTGCCTCATGGTTTGCTTCCTTATGAAACAAACAGGATTAACCAGTTCAGTCCACCAATAGCTTGTAGGCATCTGTACTGATGCTTGGTGGCTTCCTAGACAGTTTTCAGACATGGATTTTACACATTCTGCCAAAGGCTGATGTGAGGACAAACGTGCATAAACATGTAGGATTTAACTGTACAATACCTTGAGGGGAGTTGTGGGGAAATGGACTGGAGGGGAAAAAATCCTTCATGTCATACTTTATTTTTGTTGTGCTTTTGAGATATTTAATTGGTTTTGTATGAACATTCTTTTATTATATGTGGATGATGTGTTATTATAAGCATTATTATTTACAGTTGCCTCCAATTTTTGTAGTCTATGTGAAGGGAAGAACTTAACCTGTGTAACCTGTGAGCCCGTGGAGAGCACCCTAACACTGACAACACCTATTCCAGAGGAGGATATTGAGCGACCAGCCAGTGAATACTCGTGCAGCAAGATGATGGACTTGGCCTTCCTAATTGATGGCTCCAATAAACTGTCAGAGGAGGACTTTGAACAGCTGAAGTCTTTTGTAATTGGTGTGATGAAGAAACTCCACATCTCCCAAAAGAAAATCCGAGTGTCAGTTCTAGTGTATAGGGGTGGTCCCACAATCTATCTTGGCCTTAAAGACATTAAAACAAATTCCCAGATGAGAAAAATTGTCCAAGGCATAAAATACACTGGTGATAAAGAAGCATCTGCCTCTGAAGTCCTTAAATACACTGTGTTTCACGTGTTTGGAAAAGCAGAAAGGACCAATGCTGCCAGAATTGCAGTGCTATTTATAGCAAGCAAGTCTTCAGGAAAAGTCCGCGGCATCCTCCAGCTAATGAAGAACAGAGATATCGCAGTAATACCTGTGGGGATCGGGCCCCACATCAATGTGGAGCAAGTCAAGTTCATTGAAAGGCAGTCACCACTTAATAGATCCTACCGAGTGAGCAATGTTTTAGAACTAATGGACAGGGGAGATGATCTCATTGATGGTCTCTGTGAACTGGGACCTGAAGAAAGTCCTCTGTTACTGGCTACATCCGCTCCAACGATGTCTGGTGTCCTACTTCCCCCTCTGGGATCCACAGCCCCATCACCCTCTTCAGCAAAGCCCCCTCCCCAAAAGCTGGATATTGCTTTTCTTGTGGAAGGCTCTGACAATGTGGGGGAGGAAAATTTCAATAAAGTGAAGGAGTTCATTGAGAAAGTGGTCACAGGAATGAACGTGGGATGGGACGATATTCATGTTACAATCATGCAGTATTCAGAGACTGTCACTCTGGAGTATTCCTTTAGGGAAATGCAGTCAAAGGAGGATATTATTGAGAAGGTGAGGGGCATACCCTTCCAAGGAGGGAAGGCTACCAACACTGGGAATGCCCTCAATTATATTTCCAAACACACATTTACAACAGCGAATGGGGGCAGGCAAGATGTTCCTCGCTTGGTATATATGGTGTCATCCAGTCCTTCCACGGATGTTATCACACGACCCCCCAGGAGCATAAATGTTATTCCCATAGGCATAACCCCTGGTGCAAATATCCAAGAGCTCAGAAGGATCAGCCAACCTAATAACCCAATTATCTTGAATAGTTATAACAGACTTATTGAAGAAGCACCTGAATTAGTGCTGCAGTCATGCTGCTCTCACAGACGTTGGACCGAAATTATAGGTAAACTTGGATGTATTTTCTGTGTAATTTCCTCTTTCCTCTGTCCTATCTCTTCCCTTTACCCCTCAAATTGATGAAATTTGAAGGGCCCCTGTGTCTGGTTTGGTATCTTGTTGGCCAAATGCCAGGGAAGGACTATCTGTCTTCACTGGAGGATGAAGATGTTGCCCCAGTTCAGCAGAACTCTGCACAGACCTGCAGTGAGCCTTCTGTAGGCTCAGAATTTCTTGTGTTCTTTTGTCAGTAAAGTACAGTAGTTTTCAAATCGACTGGAGGAGAAAACCACTTATTCTTCTCTAGTATAATACAAAAATTTACTTTCTGTTTCCTGAAGTCTTCATTGGGTTTTTCTTTTTTTTTATTGCTTTTTTGTTTGTTTGTTCGGGGGTGATGAAGTTATTTTTTGGGTTTTGTTAATTTGTTTCTGTTTTGTTTGTTGTTGGTTCGTATTGGGGTTTTTTTGTTGCCATTGTTTGCTGTTGGTTTTCGTTTTAGTCCCCTGAGAGTAAAATAAAATCAGTTCAAAAGCAGGAGTTGAAATACTTATGCATCCCACTGAATATGAATCTCAGGGCTTTCATTAAAGGGGCATCACTTACTGTTTTAACTTGTCATTATCCTGCTTTGTTTTCCCAAGATACAAATGTATCTGCCCTTTCTGCTCCTACCCATAGATTAGCAGATGCTACTTCTGCTTATCATGTATAAAATAACCTTCTTCCCTTTTCCTCCACCCCACCCTCAGAGTTGTGCAACAAACCTATGGATGTCATGTTTCTTCTGGATGGCAGTTCCAATATTGGAGCAGCAGAGTTCGAGGAAATGAAAAGCTTTGTGCGGGCATTTACTGAAAGTGTCGTGATCAGTACGTACCTGTCTTTTAACTAAAACACACGGAGATGTTTGGTGTTCTTTTGCTTGTACAGGACAAAGCAGCTCCTCAGCGCAGGTTTTTCAATTTTTATTTTTAAATAACTCATTCCGATTGAAGTTTATATTGGGGAAATCAGGCTAGTCAAGTTTTTTGTTCAGATACAGTTCAGTTTCCTCCCAAATCAAGCTCTTGTGGTTCAGGTAGATGCAGGTTTGACATCCAGTTCTGTGAGTCGTGTGATGAGGAGTAGCTTGGACATTTGATGTTGAGCACTTCCATGTAAATACTGTGTGTGCCAAGCAGGACAAGGGGTCTCTGTCACAGGATGGAGATTTACTTAAATATTATTGTGACAGAAAAGTGAAAATACATAGTTTTGGTTCAGTTCTGAATTGGGTTCAACATACTTGAAAATAATAGCTCAGGTTCAGTTCTGGTCCAGGTCAGAATGGGTAATTCAGAGGGGTTTTGCTTCAGGTTTGGTCTGACTGCAAGGTTTTGGTCTTTGTGTGCCGTTGTACCAAGTCCATCCACATGGCAAGGGCTACCCAGGATCCCTTGTTTTCCCAGTAGCATTTAACAAACCTGGATTATTTTTCTTAATTAGAATTGTACTTTTCCAATTCAGCATTAAACCATTTCCAGGAAGCAGCTACTGTTACTGGTGGTGTTTCTCACTGAGTTTTGACATGTTTGTGTTATACCTGTGCTTCCAAAAGAGGTGATTAGAGAGCTCACAAAGGAAAGGTATAGCATTTCTGTATGTGTAGAATAACTTGGATTTTTTAGAGATCCTACATGGAAGACACTCTGATTCTGAAAATTGCATACATACATGATATAAAGAAGCAAGACAAGTGAAATAAACACAAACTATACAATAAAGAGGCAATTTTTTTTAGTCCAGGTGTCTCCCTTATCTTTGAAGCCTGTAATAGCAAATGTTATATCATTAACAAAAGGACATCAATAAACTAGCTATGAAATACTCCTCCATGAAAAAACTATAAAGTGTAGATGGTAACCAATATTCAGGTCAATATAGGACTGCAACATTTGGATAGATGAAATAACAATGATTAACTTCATTCATAAATGTTTTGCAACAAATTGGTAAAGACTAATTGTGGTCCTTCTAAGGCCATGAGGGGAGATACAACCAATCATTATAAGCAATATGTTACCTGGTTCAATTCTGCAAATCTGATATTTTATAACTATCTATATCAACTCTCAGTTAACAGTTTTATTAATACTTCTTACATAATGTATAATCAGAACCAGGATGTCAGAAGAAAGCAGAACTTGGAATTTTTCTTCATTTGCTTGCACTGCTCAAGCCCCCTGGATGCACTATGTCCCATGCACGTCACTCCAGTGATGTATGACAGAAGGAATTTTGCATGGAATGGTGTCATCCAGGGAGCTTGGCCCACCTGACAAATGGGACATCAAACTACTGCTTGTGCAAAACAATGTGCACATAGAAAAAGTGATGTTTAGACAATTTTAAAATGGAAAAGGAATAATACTGGAGATCAATAAAGTGAAATTCTCCAATCATGGTCAAATTGATTTGGGGTAAAACACTGCATGCTGACTCCTGACAGAAAATCAACAGTTTCCAGCAGTTGCATATTTTTTTTCATATGGGTATTGTTCAGTTTTGATCTTTTGATTGAAAATGCAGCTTTCACACACCAATGGAAAAATCACTGTCTAGTTGTGCTTAATGTAAATCACAAGCACAAGGTATCCTTTAGATTTATTTTAAGGCATTCATATGCACTGCTTAAAGTGTTTATTTTCCTCTTTCTGCTTCAGGTGATACTTCAATTCATGTGTCAGTTCTGCAATATGCCAGGGAAAATAATCTAGAAATCTCGTGGAACGTGCCTCAAGAGACTGAAAGGCTTGTAGACATGGTGCAGTCCATTCAACAAAGGGAGCAAGGTCCCACCAGACTAGGTGAGTGATTTTTTGCCTGTTGATGTTTAAGCAAGAGGAGGAAATCCATCACCCCTCAGAAATGCTAAATACAGCCTGACCCCAAGCAGCAATTTATGTCAGTGTCATTGTGGTAGTGTTCTGGAGTAGGACTCTTAAGTTGTTTTTTGTTTGTTTTTTTTTGTTCATTCATATCTTTATTATGTGTATGTTGCTTGTTAAGGTTCAATTTTCTCTATTAAAATGTATTAGTAGGTTACACGAATTATAGTTTATCTTAATGCATTTTGGAAAGAAGCCTTGAAGTAATTCTCAGGATTTGCATTCATTACCTTCCAAGCCAGCAAAACATAATTAAGAAGTAAAGACTTTGATCATTAACCTTTCAGTGCTGATTAGTTGATGAGACATTTAGCAGCAGAACTGCTTACACTGACTTCAGTAGCTGCCCTTGCAGGTGTTTGTGCTGAACCAGTCTAACCCACCTGGTTGAAAACCAGGAAAACAGCAGTTATATTCTTTGTGGTTCAGCTCCCTCATCCAAGTTGTTGTGCTGGTTCCACAAGGACTTGGCTGGCACAAGGACTGGGGATGTTGCCAGGGAGCAAGAATTGCCCAAGGCGGCACCTTAGCTAAGAATTCCTTGTGAAATGTCATCTTCTGTTCCAGACAACTGAAAAACATGTCCACTTCAATTTTCATGTGCTAAAACATCACACAGATTTCCCACTGGGTTTGTGGAAACTCAGTGCACACACATGTATCAGTTGCAGGGTTCAGCAAGAAATGATTCTCCTGCAGCATATCTGATCTTTCACCAGATATACTGAGAATTTTGTACTTCTGGATTGGAACCACATTTGTTCTGGCAGACACCTAGCACTAGGGTCCTTTAAGAGTCAAGGAATACAGAGATTTTTAGGGTCTTTGGCCTACTTTGGACTGTAAGGAGTTATTGGTCCAGAAAAGTGAGAAATAAAACTTGACTTCCATAGTTCGCAGGAGGATTAGCTATGATTGCTTTCTCAGCCTGGAGAAATAAAAATACCAGATGGCTGATGAGACTTCTATAGGCTCGTTGTGGGATAAGTTGTTGCATACACATAGATAAGTTTTGTGAAGCCTTCCATGTAATGTGCATAGAAAGGCACTCGGAACTGCAGGATAAACAGAGCAAACATGGCCTTTGGGAAATGAAATGGGAGAGGCAGCCACATGACATCCTCGTTAGTGATTTGTTTATGTCTCATTGGAAAATGCTCAGAGACTGTGATGAGGGATGTGCTATAATGAACCAAAATGGAATAGAGTAGAACTAGTTCCTCCCAAATGAAGTAATGAAAATAAGTCACTGCGGTCCTGTCCTGCACCTTGTAACGTGTGTGAATCCTCCTGGCTGTGTAGGAGACAGGAAAAGTACGGCCATTCATGTCTTTGTGTCTGTGCTCCAGCCTCTGGAAATGCAGAGGCTGCTTGAGAAGTGTAGATGGCTCCGTCAGGATGTTGCAGTTCTTTAGGCAGCTTTGGAAATCTTTTCTAGCCTATGCTTGCTCAGGATTTACCCATCAAAAATGTCATTGCTATTAGACTGGTGATGTTTCTTCTCATTTGCACTGGCCTCCCTATGGTGGAAGCACAGTCCAGTGTAATCTTTATTCTGTCTTTGCTGATCCAAATCAGGCTAATTTAGTCAAAAAAAAGATGTATGTGCAGAGAGCAACTGTAGACTGTTGCCATCAGCAGAAAGTGTTCCCTTTTCTTCATCACTTAACCACAGGGAAACTCCAGAAGGGAGAGAGACCTTTTAGTACAGAGTATTTGAGGGCATAGAAAGAACAGAAAAAAGCATCCTATACCACAAATCTTCCCCATGCTTATGCAATGGGGACATTCAATAACATCAGGCAAATTTTGGCTCAAGTAACTTATCAAGAGGAAGCTCTGGGGATATTAAAACACCATGAAATTGTTTTCAACTTCACTTAAGAAACAACTAAAAAAAAAAAAAGAAGAATAACTGCAAGAAGAGCTGACTGAATAAGCCTTCATTCAGCTCAAAAAGTGATCTGTGCAAGAGAACTGAGGATCGCAAAAACGTGCCTCTGTTCAGCATTTGTTGGTGTTTAGGAGAGTCACAGGGAGCACATTGAGCAATCCCTACAGTAAATACTGCTTAACACTTTATAAAAACATGGCTTTGCTTGCTTATAATGCTAGTAAAAGTCTCTCATTTAGGCTGATGTTTCCCATGCCCACTGTCTGCCTCAGACTCAAAATTTGGACGAAGTGTGGCTCAACTGTATTAAAAGCATCATCAGGGAAAGAAATGTGTGTTCCCCACCACCAAGAAAAAAACCCAAACTTCAATAGTTTTACTGCAACTTCCAATTATTATTAAAATATTTGATTAACAGCATTCATCTTTGCTGTCATGATTAAGAAGGTATAAATTGTCTTTTTCTTCTAAACTTCACTGTAGTTTAAGAAGCACAGGCCCACCATAGCACTTTTCCTTTTGCAGATCTGTGCCCCAGGTGATGTGGTCTATACAGAATTTCCAGAATCTTGTTCCCCATCACCCACCCAAGACCATGGGTTTGCCAGCAGCTGCTCTGATCAGAGGGCTCCCATTCACTGACAGAGATCTTCTTCACTTGTTTTCCTTCTTCACTAGTATTTCTGAGTTGGTGGTGCCAACTGCTTTCTGAAGCCAGCTTGGGGTGCATACTAATCTCTTGCCTGAGCTAATTTAATTCACTGTCCTCCAGGTTTTTTTGCTTGCTTGTTTTTTTGTAGTTCATTTCTTACAAGGTTTGTGGGTTGAATGTACTCCTGGTGAGGCCCAGGATCATCAAAAGCCCTTGGTGGTAAGCAAAATGCAGGATTTGTGATTTCCTGCAGAGACAGGAGAGTAGAAGAGAGGTTTTGGGGCCTTGTAGCCTGCTCCTTTCAGTGTTGGTGAGGTGTTGGACTGAGATTTGTGATGCTCATGAAAAGTTCAGCCATTCTGTTAATCGACACATGTTAATGCCAGAATATCAGTGTGCTCAAAACTGACTATCTAAAGCACTGATCTGTGGGATCAGTTTGCAATAGCTAAGTTGTTTCAAAATTAAAATATTCTTCTATTTTCAGTAAAAAATCCCAACTCAATTTCAAGACCCTAAATTAAGATATCAAGATCAGCTTCAGGATCACAGAGCTCTGAGTGACCTGGTCAAGTGAAAGGTGGCCAAGGTTGGAACTAGATGATACCTAAGGTCCCTACCAACACAAACCATTCTGTGTTTCCATGATTATCGTTATGGAGGGTTGCTCCTTATTAGACAAGTCCTTGGTTAAACAGATCCAATCTGGAATATCCACCATTCAGATAGTGTTGGCTGCTTCTGTATCACTTCAAGTTCTGAGGAACCATTTCTTTTTTGTTTCTTTCCCAGGAAGCTTTCAGGACTTGTGGATGATTAAGGTCTCTTGCAGTACTTTTTCTTTTTTGGTCAAGATGTTGCAGAAATGTTAGAGAAACCACTGAGGCCACTTAAGGCACTAATTCGCAAGTTCCCAGCAGGAACCTCCGTCCAACTGGAATCCCTTGTCTGTCACAACTCCCAGACCCTCACGGGGGCTTTACATTTCACTCCTCCTTTCAGACAAAATTAAAGAGAATAATTGCAAACATTGCTCTTAGGAAGTTTCTGCTTTCCCTGAGGTGTCCACCAAACAGACACGTGTCTGTGTGTTCCAGATTGGCTTATTCTGGGATGAAGCTTCATTTTTACTTCTTGGATATATTTCATACATTTCTTGGGCACCTTGTGCTCTTTCAAATCATTCCATGATGTTCATAACTGCTCCCAATCTAATATCTGTGATTCAGATTATTAGCATGCCTTTTTACACATTTTTCCTCCTCCATCCAAATCATTAATGAAACTGTTCAATAAGGCAGAATCTGGTGTAATTCCCTGTAGACTCCCAGTAAACCCCTCCAACCCTACTCAATAGCAGATTGTCTTTTATCATTAAGCTTGTTTATGTCCATTTAACCAGCTTTCAGTCTTTGGTTCATGTAGAGGTTTCTGCATTCTGAATTATTACTTCAGAATACAATTCTGGCTTAAAAGTCCATCAGGTGATTAAAAAAAAAATTAGGAAAAAAATATTTAGCTAATTAGCCCTTATTAAATAGTCTTATTGAATTCAACCAAAAAAGGGTTCTTACAAATCCCTTTCTGACTGTCAGAAATTGAACATCAGATTTTCAGTGTCTTAGCTGAGAGGATCATGGAGTAATGCCCTTCTCCTTTCCCCTCCCCAACCTTCAACCTTGTAGGGATATCTTCTGTTGGTTTTGCTTTAATGATTATTCCTAACATGACAATTTTTATACTCTGTGGTATCAATAAGGCAGGAGTGTATCAGCACTGGAAGATGGGGAGAAGGTGCTATTCTGTGCTGGCAGCCTTTGGAATGACTGAAATGCCTCTTGATTTAGAAACACCTTTTTTAAAGTAGCCCGTGCAGATCAACTGCTATTTTGTTTTCTCTTTTTATTTATTTGCATTTTTTCCCTGGACATATCCGATGATTTGGGTCAAGCCCTACTGACTGAGCTGGAAGGGCTCAGTGCTCCTGCAGGCCAGGCCTTTTTGTTCAGTTCTTCAGATAAATGTCTAGATGTGAAATTTGGGAAGGGAGAGTGTGAGCATGTGAGAAATTAATTGTGGTCATTATGCCTGTCAGGGCCACCACAAGTGTAACAGGTTAGGAGGCAGAAGGAGAAGAGGGGACAAGAAGTCAGGGACAGACAACCAGACACACATTCCCCATAGGATCTGCTGCCTTTGGGAATAGATATTTTATTGTGTGTCACACTGCTCTCAGTTCTGCTGTTCTCCTGCATACAGTGAATGCTCTTGGCTTTGAGACTTCCATCTTGATTTCTCATGGGTTGTATGTCTGATGCCTAAAATACATGTGAGTGTAGAAGTAATTTTGCTTCCAAAGCCTGTTTGTTGCCTTTTTTTTTTTTCTTTTGGTAGCACATTGTGTATGTAAGAAACAGAAACCATTTGTAAAAAGAATACGTGACAGTAACATAGTTTACTCTTGTATTCAGTATGTGGGAACATATTGGCTGCTACTCCAGGCTTAGGGTCACAGAGAAAATGCTTAAAAATGTGCAGCCGACCCCTAAAGCCCATAGCAAACCTCCCATTGAATTCACTGGGGCTTGTATGATACCCCCTGTCAATGCTGCCAAGGGATGTTTTGTCTGGCACAGGTTGCCCAGACAAGCTGTGGCTGCCCCATCCCTGGAAGTGTCCAAGGCCAGGTTGGATGGAGCTCTGAGCAACCTGGGCTAGTGGAAGGTGTCCCTGCCCATGGCAGGGGGGTTGGAATGAGATGGGCTTTAAGGTCCCAGACCATTCTATGATTCTCTCTCTGTTTCTATGCTTTGAACACTCCGGTCTTAATACAGCCTTGTGTTGGTGTTTATCTCAGTGTAAACATGTTAAATTTCCTTTATTGGTGTGGAAATGTCAGTTTACTGTTGTGTCATAGTAAGGAAATGTTCAAGTTGGCTGATTCACCAGCGGTGAAGAGTTTTTATTGTGGCCTCCGAGGGATTTGCTATTTCCCTCCGTGGTGAGATATAGAGACAAACAGCTGAGAAGTGACAGCTTCCAGTTTGGGATGGGGACTTTGAGTCCCTCTAGCAGGACAAAAGTGTTCATTTGATCCTGTCTTCAGACGCTTGGCTCTTTTCTAGGGAGCTGGCTTCAAAATAAGGGGAGAAATCCGAAGAGGTTTTAGGACACTAAAACAAATTTTCCATGCATTAAATTGAGTAACTGTTTTTGGGGGACTTTAAAATAGTCACTGGTTCTGTTGCAATGGTATTTGATTTCTTTATGAGAAATTATAAAAATAATGGATTTTGCAGTTTACAAATATGTATGGAAGTTTCTGAAAATTTTCAGAATTAATGTGAGAAAGAGAAAGGGAGCTGGAGCTGCTGGTGCCCACACCAACACACAAAAGTCGAAGGGTCATTAAAAAAAACCAAACAGCAAACAGAGAAATTTCAAGTGCTTGTCACAAATTGAATGAAAAATCATTTGTGATTCTTACTGTGCAAAAGTTTAACTTAAAATATTTGAAAGTTAAAACCTGAAATACTTTCTTTTTTGTAATTATTTATAGGACAAAAGGGAAATGAGTCAATCTTCTGGCACAGTGACCATCCTGGAGCAATCTCAGGGATTTGGAATATAGTCATAATAATTTTCTGTATTTTGTTTTATCCCCAGTTATTTATAGCTAACCTGCCACTTTGCATCTAACATTCCACCTCTACAGACACAAAACCATTTGTAGCAAGGGTTGTGAGACAACTGTAGAGGACATGAGGTAATACCTGGAGTTAGTTAATTTTTGTGGTCAGGAATAGTAGTTTGTGAAATGGAATCACCATCACCTGAACAATAACGGTGCTTTAAAATGTGGTTTTTTGCAGGTAGAAAAACTTTCAAAATGTTGAGATTTTCACTGAACAGAAACTCTGAAGCGTTTTTATTTCATATATAAAATATAATTCAGAATTATAGTGGGAATGAAAATCAAATTATAGGAATGAAATTAATCTACACAGTTGGAAGAACTAAATAAAAGACAATAATTGCATAGCAAGAAACAGAAGAGAGACATCCTGTTGTGTTCTTAAATACTGTTGAAAGCATTCTGTTGAATTGATTTAAACAAACATGAATCATTCTATTTAGGAAGTTGGGCTTGGGAAAATAGATGACCTTTTCTAGAGAGGAGATTTATAGTGGAGGTAACGCCACGTGAGAGATGGAAGCTTATAAAAGGGGAAATTGGTGTGGATCCTATTCCTGCTTTAAGTCCAACAGGGCCTGGCAGCAGTTCCTGGTTGGTCCCAGATCTTTAGTTTTGGGCATCTGTGTGGAGAGATGACACTTGAACATGAGGCTGTGGAGGAATTAGTGATAATGGGCTAATGGAGAAGTGGCTGGATAAGTTGGAAATGGGATATGAGGCTGTCAGGGACTGTAGGGGTGTATAGGACAACAGGGAAGGGTGGGGGAAGCAACAGTATTTGAGAAGGAAGCTTGACCTGCAAACCAGTGCTGTGGCAAAGGAAACATTTGAGGTTTTTTTCAGATATCTATTCTAGGCTAGATTCTTCCAAGGGGTAAATTCTTCCTAAAACTCTTATTGAAACCTTGTAGAATATCCAATTGCTGTTGCCATGATATCATAGAATCTCAGAATGATTTGGGTTGGAAGGGACCTTAAGGATCATCTCTTTCCAACACTCCTGCCATGGGCAGGGATGTCACCCAGTATCCCAGGTTGCCCAGAGCCCAATCCAGCCTGGCCCTGAACACTTCCAGGGATGGGGCAGCCCCAGCTTCTCTGGGCAACCTGTGCCAGGGCCTCCTCACCCCTGAGTAAAAAATCTCTTCCTCACATCAAATCTAAATCTCTCCTTTTTTAGTTTAAAACCACTCCCCTTCGTCCTGTCGCTGTCTGCTCATGCAAAAAGTCTCTCTCTCTTATGTTTTAAACTCCCTTTAAGTACTGAAAGGCTACAGTGAGGTCTCTCTGGAGTCCTCTCTTCTCCAGGCTGAATAACCCCAGCTCTCTCAGCCTTATCAATAGTCAATGTGCTGACTGAGATTCCTAGAGGTTGTCCATGCTTGCAGCAGCTTGGGAAAAGGATTTTTGCTTCTGTCACTGAATAAGTTTGGGTGACATGATGCAGACAGACAAAGTACCAAGTGCTGAGGTGTGCTAAGGTACACTGAGGGTGTGCTGGTGAATTATCTATGGTCTGACTTCCAGTGTTTTTCAAATATGTTTGTTATTATAAATTGTACAGTGAATTCCTTAGGCAAACTTATTTCTGCTCCACAGTTATTACAGATTACTAAGAGGAACTAGTCTTTTAAAGTGTTTATTGTTCACTGTTCACTGTTTGCCCTGAATGTCACATCAGTCACCCGGTACCATTTCTACTTCCTGACCTGATAACTTTCAAGCCTAAAGGAGCTTTTAAGAAAGCTGCATATCATGATTCCCAGTATAAATATTTGTGCAAATACATGTCTAAATGCAAGTACTAACAAAGTGCTCTCTTGCTGAGGTCCTGATTTTGAACAAAAATTTGCCTGAGTGTTCACAGATGTTAAATGAAAGGGCAGCAGCTTCCAATTTAAGCCAGTTTGTGATTTGCTAGCTAAGGTAGAATTTCTTTGCAAGTTTTGTGGGGTCTGGTGTGGTTTTGGGTTTTTTTAGGTTGTTTTTAATATGGACCACCCGGTTAGATTATGGGTTACTCTGAGATTAGACTTCAGAGAGGTTGCTGGTAGTGGGGAGGCAAGGTGTGCTTTTCACACCCATACTAAAAGTTGATGAAATTAAAGAAGCAATAGATCTTCACTAGGAGCAAGAGAAACTTGTGTGTACAGCTCGGCATGGTGTGAAGTTGTGCATCAGACCGCCACTGGATGTCACTGTTGCTTGGCAGTTGGGAAATAAGAACATCGTCTCTGCAATATGTTCTTTCCTTTAGCAGTTACCTTTTCCAGAAGTCTTACTGTGGCGTTGCACTGCAGTGAATAGCATAGCTTTATTCTTGTGTCCAGGGAAAGGTAGTAAAGTTCCCATTACTGCAGAAACTGGGTAGCTGAGGACGGTCCTCCTGTGTTGGGATGTGTAAATAGTACTGGAAGGTTCTTAATAGCTGAGATCTTTCATGTAGCAGCAATAAAACAGGCGTTAAAAGTCCTTTAAGAATCACTATTTTTCAGTACCTACTAATATAACATACTAATAGTAAAGTAAAATTTAGTTCTATAGTCTCTTCTGAGTTTTCTGTCATATCTCTTATTTATCCCTTCATTTCTTCTCAGGAAATGCCATTGATTTTGTAGTCCAGAATGCAATGTCAGAATCCCACGGGGGCAGACCCAGCGCATCAAAAGTTGCCATAGTCATCGTGTCGGGGAGGTCAGAAGACTCTGTGGAGGCTGCTGCTCTTTCTGCAAGACTCAACAGTAAATCTCCTTTCATTGTCACTATTTTTAAATAGGGTTGTTGCTTTTTAAGTAATGTGCTATAACAAAAGATGGAAAATTAAGACACTGGTATGTTCATGTAAGTTCTGACCTTACTGTGCACGATGTTCCAGTAAGAAACAGACCTGAACAAAATGTGCCTGATGAAGATGCCTTTGAGTTACTGGTAAATTCAGTACCAATCTGCAGTTTGAGCTGAACAGCTTCCATGGGCTTCACACATTAGTGGCATTTCATTTTCCAAAGTACTATGGATAGACGGGGATGACAGGAATGTATCTGATATTATAAATTCTGTACTGTCACAGGACAGTGATCCTTGAAAGGTTCACTGTAATAATAATAATAATAAAATAAAATAATAATAATAATAATTATAATAATTGGAGGTATTGCTCAGATTCTGCACTGACCTGTACAGGATTATACTTCTGCTATCAGTGTGGGCTGCATGATGATTTTTCAAGTTTTCTGTCTGTTCGTTCTGACCTCAGCTTCCTCAGGTGTTCAACTGAGGAACTTTGACTTACTTTGAAGGTTGCTTTGGGAGCCATTGAATAAGTCATGTACTACATAGCAACTATCAAGTGTTATTTTTAATTAAATGGTTTGAAAATAATCCAATTGCCATGTAACTGAAGAAAGAAAACAACATATTGAGACTTTTTGCATTATAAAAAAAGTGAAGATGTTTTCATTAAGTCTGCAGCTGCATTTTGTTGACCATGCATGTTCTTACTATACTTGAGATTAATAGAGCTCATCCTAGTTAATGCTGTGATTAGAGCATTACCATTTCAGCCCTTAGTTGCCTTTAGCCAATGTGGAGGGAATTATGCAAGGAATACGTTACAATTAACTGTTGGAGAAAAACGTTTCTCAGTTCTTTTTTTATTTTTCTTTTTAAGAAGCAAATGAAAAAAAGCCCCATAGAATCATACAATCATTTATGTTTGAAAAGACCTTCAAGATCATCAAGTCCAGCTGTTACCCCAGCACTGCCAAGGCCACTACTACACCGTGTCCCCAAGTGCCACATCTACATGCCTTTTAAATACTTCCACCACTCCCATGAGCAAAGATCTCCTTCTCCTGTGCATTGCCTAATTAAAACCTTTTTCTTCTCTTTTCCTAGGGGTATCCCTTTTTCCAATTGGTGTTGGGAACAGTTATGATGAAGAGCAACTAAGGACTTTGGCTGGACCATCTGCTGCTACCAGAATCATGAAGCTCCAGAATTTCGAAGATTTATCCACTATGATCACATTGAATAGCCAATTTATCAAAAAAGTGTGCATGGGTAAGTCCAATAGTTGTGGCTGCATGGCTGGAGCAAAACACAAAAATTGAAATGCCCAAACCAGAATGACTTTTCTCATTGTAGAAGTCAACCCAGCGTTCCTTCGCTGGTGTTTTACCAACAATCATCACAAGTGTTAACCTAGACCACTGTCATCACTTCCATGTGAAACAAAACCTGAGCCTTTAAAGCATGTAGTCAGTTGGTATTCCAATCAGCCAAGTTCCAGCAAGATTTTTAGAACTTCTTGGGCCTGAACTTTTGAGTTGTCACCTTCTTAATAATCAGGGCTGGTCATCAACTGAAGGACAGGTCAAGCTGTCATGACTGAATGGGACATGCTTCAGAAATGTTAGGTGGGAGTACAGATTTCAAATTGCGTATTTTTCAGACATGATGTGTATGTCTACAAAAAATTCAGCCCAAGTAGAAGAAAAAAGAAGAAGAATAAGTAATTAACTTTTCCAGGAAAACCAATACTGGGAAAAAAAGTGTAAAATATTTTAACCAAATATTAATTTATTTATACATGAAAATACTCCTCCTCTAAGGAACCTTGATTCAACACTGATCAGTAATTTACTACTTTTGCCTCCTTGATTTGTGTGTATATAGATATTTATTACATATATTGTTATTTCTATTCCAATACCATCTTTGTGTTCTCACCACAAACTACTGTCTCATAGTGTTAGTCATTGCACAGGTTTTTACCAGCATTACAAGGGCTTAGTTACATCTCCTTTACAATAAGTGGACTTTTTTGCAGAGCCAAGTACCACTGAGAGTGAGGAAGTTGCAGAGCATTCACAGTCCAGCTTGGAGATATCCGATCGTTCTCCGCTGGGATCACTTCTGGCATTTTAAAATCTCTCCGGAGCATCAAACAGCTGCCATTTTCTAGATTTAAACAGCTGCCATTTTCTTTCTTTTCTTTTAAAACAAGCTTTTAAAGATGCATTTCCTCTCTTCACACTGTAAAATACGTGATTTTTCTTGCTGTAAATTACATTGATCCAAGATATAGGATGGGGAGCAGGAATTTGGAACCAGTAACTATTTTCTTATTGCAATCTGTGCTATAACCTATTAGTACTAGAGGTGAGAGCTTTGTATTTTTATGAAAGCTTTTCTAACAGCTCAAAAAAACTTGAATCATAGATATCTAATCTTCAACACCTCAATTTGAAAAATTTAGCTCTTCCTTTTGCTGTTGGTAAAGCCTTTGCTGTGGGGTGGAAAACTACAGTCTTATTTTTTTTGTGGGGATTTATTTTCTTGTTTGGATTTTTTTGTTCGTTTTAAGTTTCTTACAATCTGTAAAACATAATTTTCCCCTCCAGACTCACACAGTTGGATTTCTTGTACGGAGGGAGTCTTGCCTTATGTATGGAAGTGTACCAAAAATAATACTATTAAAAAGGTTTAAAAGATTTCCTAAATGCTTTCAAAATACATTACTTGTCCTGGAAAAGACAGAGCATATAGTGAATATAGGATAGCATAGTATAATATTCTAGAAAGAGCTTGCTAGTCAGTGTTTTAATTTCCTAGACATGTGGTTATCACGTTGTCCTGCCATAGTACCTATATGAGATTGCTTCCCATATATCTCTAGGTGTGTAGTGAGAGCACATAAACATAGAAACTGCAATTCAGTGGATACTCTGTGACCATTTAACTGGTTCTATAAAAAAACTGCTCATCACAGTAATGCCTGAATGTAAGGAAGCTGAATTTGAGTGCTCTTATTGCAGCTATTTGCACATTTATGCTGTATTTGTCTGTTGGCATTTAATAAATGTGTGTGCATAAATTCCCATCACCTGCTACTTCCTAGAAATATTCTCAATTCCTCAAATGATTCAGAAGTAAGGCTGGACCTTCACTCAGAGTTAGTCAGGATTTTTTAAAGTACCATCTGGGCAGAACTGTCAGTACAAGTGCTGTAGAATTACAGCCCAGCTATTGCTCACAGGTTGTTTTGGGATCAGTGTCATTGCAAAAGTAAGGAAATGGGAGCAGTAACAACGTTTATACCTTCTGTGACTTATACACTTTGTACAAAAGCCTGCAGTCTTGAGGTAGGGATTCACACATTCTAAAACACAAATAAACTTACAACCTAAATCATGTTTTTAAATAAGCACTCTGTGTTTTGGTGACTGCCACTTAAAAGGCTGGGTGAGGGAGTGAGATGACTAAAATATGTCTTCTTTTCTTTCAGACCCTGTCAGAGAATGTATGGATGAGGATGGAAACAAAAAAAATGTAAGTGTATTGCCTGGGTTGTCCATCTGGCTTTCAAGTTGCAAAGTCTGTGCAGGAGCATGAATATCTTCAGAGATAACATGAAAAAAAAAGTATGGGAAAATATTAAGAATTGTTTTTAGGAGGAAAATGTTGCCTTTTGAAGTGGTGGGGTAACTTTGCACACAGAGGAGACACCTCATCTTGCAGTGTTGAATGCTACTGAAGGCAGTGCAGAACCAAAACTTGTGATAATGTGTGTCTTCCCTGACAGTGAAAAATGCATTTCCTTATCCTGGTGAAAGAACTTACGGGACAGCTAAACATGACCAAAAAAAAGGTGCATGTGTAGGGGGAAGCAACATCATTGTGCAAACCCTGTCCTTCTGCTAAAATTACAAATACTTTATCCCTGTGGAAATCTTATAGGAAGATAATTATTGTGTGATAATTATCTCTTTAGGGGAAATAATCTCTTAAGTAATAGAAGCAAAGTTCTCTGTGTTGGTTCGTGGAAAAGCTCTTATTGATCCCGAGAAAATGCTCAGAAATGCTTGTAAACCTGTCTGATCTCTCAAAAGTGATCCAGGTCTAAGAAAGCAATGATCTAGATGTTATAAAAGGTTAAGTTTCTTCATCTCAGGTGAAACACCAAGGGTTTTGAGAGCATATGATCCTTCATGCTTTTAAAAATATTAGCATAAGCTTGTGCCATGTTTTCTAGTAGGGACCAGTTATGAACTCTAGTCTAGGATTTATCTTGAATTTCTAGTACCTTAAAAATATTCCTTTGATTTTTCCCTTGTGAAGACATGACTGTAAGGAAGGATGTGGCTAATAAAGAAATGCTTATGAATTGTCTAGACACAGGAAATATGTCAAAACTGCCTTACAGGGCTGGCCTCGGTCAGCTGGTGAGAACACAGAAAGGCTTTAGCTAAATCAGGCACTAATAATCTGGTGGCTTGGAGGCTGACAGCCTAAATAAGAAAAAAAGACAAACCAACCAACAAACAAAAAATAAATTTGAAAAACTTCTTTAATTAAAACCAAAAAATAATCAGATTATTTGCGATTTGAACTGCATGTGTCCAGGCCTTGGGGCTCCTAGAGCAGACACAGGTATGTGGAGATAGATGCTAGGAAGGCTAAACTTGAATTTCAGACATGTCAGGTTTCATTTTTTTCGGTGATAAACTCAAAGCACAATTTCCGTTCTGGCTAAAATGCTCTTCGAGGAAAACAGACCGGGCTCCAGTCCTTGGGAAAACAAGCCACACTTTCAAAGGGCAGCCTTTAGGGGGATTTTGTGTTACCTCTTCTGTCAGCCAGAAAAAAAATAGGTGTTACAAGGCACTGTGGTGGCCACTGCCTTTTGGAACAGGCTGCTGAGCATCCCTGGGAGTCTCCAGAACACTGTGGGAGTGTCCCGGGGCAGCACCCACACTCTGCACTCTGCCTCACTGGCAGGAAGGTGCCACTGTTCTGTTCCCCTCTTCCAGCAAATTCCGCAAATCCACGGGGATGAAGAATCAAGGCTCTTCCCTAATTCAGAAAACACAGACTTTTACACTGGATTCACAATATTTCAGGGGTTACTCAGAGTTATTGCAGGAGGCTCAGTTCCCCAGGCGGGATGTCTGTCATGCACCTGGAGATTGTGGGAACTGATCTCGTGCAGTTTGCAAGGAAATCAGAGCACTCAGGATCAAAAATATCAGTCTAAATCCTATCAGTATCGTGAACAACATGATTTGTTACTTTTTTTTTTTTTGGTTTTGTTATTACCTCTACCCTGGAAAGGATTGTTGAAGGAAGATTCATGACTAAGGTCATTGTTAGTAGCAGAAGGATAGCAGATCAAATGTGCTGGGACAGGCCAAAATCCCATCCAGCCCCCTGTATTTTGTGACCAAAAATAGGAGCCAGGGGAGGAATGTAATTAATATGTGTGAAAATTCCTTGAATTGTCCCAGCCTTGAACAAGTTGTGTCTCAGGGACACTCTCAGGTGATAGTGACACCTTTTTATGTTAGATAGGGCTAGATAGTTTTCTCCTCCATGAATTTATTCAACCATTCTTTGAATCCACGTAAGTTTTTAGTACTCATCAGATCCAGTGGCAGGGAGTTGCAGGAGTGCTAAATACAGGGTGTGCAAAGAGCCACTGGTTTCATATTTGAACTTGCCAGCTGACAGAATATCAGAACAATTATGGTAGATGAAGGTTTTTTGTTAATGTAGTTAATTTTCATCATTAGTCTTGTTATGATGGTTTTCAATGGGCATAAAGATGATAATAAAAGTGTGGGTACTTGTCTTATAATAGTAGCATTTCATCATGAAGTATCTTTGATCTTCTGCATTTCTAGTCTATGTATGGCAATAAAAACCATGTTCCTAAACTAGCAGTGTCTGTACCATGACTTTTCTCGTATAGCTCAGCTCTTGGCTTACAGAACAGACAAACAAACAAATAAACCCCTGAATAAATTAAAAGGTACCAGTTGAGAAAGCTGCTCGAGGTACATGTCTCTCCCTCCTGCAGATGCACAGCAAGGGAAGAGTGTACAAGTCCAGGTCTGTAGGTTCAGAGCTCCCTCAGAGAGGAAGTCTGAGGCTTCCTGCGGTGTCCTGGCAGGCTCACTGCTTTCAGCAGACATCCTTCACTATTTAGAAACCCCTGATTTTCCTTCCCTTTCTGTCGTGTTTAACTCCTACGATTTCATATCAACTGGGATTTAGGCTTTCTTTGTCTTCAGAGTCCCTGCATCTTCCTCTGCACCAGGATTCTTGGCTTTTTTGTGATACTTCAACTGGTATTTTTGTTTTACTGTGCTGTGCTTCGCTATTCTTGTCCAGCTCTTAGATGTTTTCCAATAGATGTCCTGTTAAGGAATGAAATAAAAACAATTAAATATGTATGGAAGCCAGACTTGCACAGCTGTATTTGTACCCTTCCAGGTGCTCCTCTTTTAGTGAGTTGTAGGCGAGACAACTATAATTAAAAAACATTCTATTTCTTCCTATTTAAATACTTTTTCCATACTTAAAGCTCCTCGTCACTTTTTCACAGCTTCCTCTAGGCTCACAAGCCTGAAAAGTATTAAGCAACTTTCAGTTGCCTTCTCAAAGTCCTGAAACAGGTCCAGTAAATTAACTTGTATTTAATATGTAATTTTTTTATGGCTGCAAGTCTGACTGTTCTTCTTTAGACTTGATGGAATCACATAGCTCAGAGATACAGAGCAATAATTTCACAGTGCTATTCTCAGCTTGAACATTCAGTGACAAGACTCATCTGTGAATGATGTTATCTAGTTATTTTAATCCTTTGCTCTCTTCTTTTTTATGGGAATGATGGTTAAAGTGAGAAGGACATGATGGGAGATCACCTTCCCCCATAGCAATTTTTTCTTTCCCACGTGTTTCTGCTTGTGGATATCAAGAAATGTTAACCCAGTTTGTAGAACCAATATCTCACTTGTGCTGGTGTTTCTGGACTCACCTCTGTAGAGATAGGTCTGGGAAGTACTGTTTCCCACATTTGGGGATATTCATGGGAATGCAGACCCCAGGGATGAACACTGTTTTGAAATTCATTGAACCTATCTATGGAGTATAGAGTTCTGTGGGATTTGGGCCAGAGAACTCAGCTTTTTGCAGATAGGAATCTTGAGATACTCCAGATTGTGACCACATCTATTTCTCTGTCATTCATTAGTATATAATCTTGGTACCTTAAAATTTAGACTGGCCTTTAGAAACTAAGAGTATATTTTACATTTAATTTTTAGTTTTAGAAATCCATTACATTTATGTAATAACATTGATATGGTAAAGGAACAAATTCCCTTTGGGAAGGGAGGAACTGTTTTAAAATTTCAGAGTTTTGGATAAAATAATTACAATATTCCATGCCTTTCTAGCTTGGAACAAATATTGTTAATTCCTGCTGTGCCATGACCATCTGTGGCTTATGAAGACTAAAGGCTTTGAAATTTAAAGCAAAGCTGAGGGCAGTTCTTTGTTGACTCTGCTATCCACGCATGCTGTAGGACGGCAAGTGGTGGAGTATCAGACACTTCATTTTGTTGTAGCAAAGCATTTCCTGTTCAAGACTGTTACCTTTGGCTTGGAATTTCAGAGTCTGTTTCTTAGTGTTGCTAATTTCAACTTTCTAATTGTCATGGAGTCCTTAATACACTGCATTCCTTTATTTAGTTTGCCAAGGGTAATTTGAGTCACAGTCACTGTACTTGTTAACTGTGGGGTTGTGGCACCAGCCAAGCTTTGTGTTTTCCTGCCCCCTGCCCATCTTTTCACTGTTGAATCTCCGTGTCTCCCTACCCAGCCTGGTGATAAATGGACATTACCAGACCAGTGCCACACTGTAACATGCTTTCCAGGAGATTACACAGTTCTGGAGAGCCACCACATTAACTGTGAGAGGATGGCAAAGCCGGTGTGTCACAGCAACCTCCCTGCTGTGAAGGTTGAAGAAACGTGTGGCTGCCGCTGGATGTGTCCGTGTGAGTATCTGTCTTTGCATGTGTTGCCTCTCCTTCCCCATCACTCAAAATGTTTTCTCAGAAATGTAATGCTGAGTGCAGCTGCTCAGCCATTGTACACATCAAAGGTGGCTGGGATGGGAGGAATTGCTGTTTAATTGCTGTACAGTGATTAACCAAAAAAACTAGGAGCATGACAGTTGCCCTGTTGCTGGAATGTCCAGCGCTGTTTGCAAGTTCGGGGACACTGTGAGCTTATTTTTTGCATTAGTGGAGCTACAGTGTTTTATCAGAGAATCTAACACTCGATTTCCAAAGCTGTGTGTACTGGGAAGGAGGATGTATGGAAGCAAACAGGAATTTACCTTGGCAGGCTGTAAGCAAGTGATTTTTTCTTGCTCGGCTTCTAAGCTTGAGGGTTTGACCTGACCTCAATCACACACGTGTATTGTAGAAACATCAACAAAAAATGCTCCCTGTCTCCATATAATCTCACACTCTGTGTGATTGGTGCCTTGGCTGGGATGACTGGAACAGAAATTAAGTGTACCCACTCACAGGGTACAGAGATGCAGCCCTGAGGCTGGTGACCAGTTCATTAAAAAGAAAATAGGCTTACATCTTAAGTAATGAGATTGCTTTTTGAAAGTAAGTCACAACCTGTCTTCATAAAGTACAATCTGAATTTAAAATATCCTCTCCTGAACTGACTGATTTAAGAACAATTTATTCCAAATACTACTTGAAATAACTAAGCTGGTAGCTGGATTTTGATCCCTGAACTGTTATACACACAAAATTTTTACACCCCAAGTTTTAGCATTTCCTAAAAGTGTGTTTGATTATCCAAACCCTTTAAATCTAACCTTTCTTTTTTGATATAAGTATTTCAGAAAGGTAGAAAGACTTGAGTTAAATAGTCTTAAGTATTTTATAATGTTTGAAAGATTATTCTTATGTTACCTACCCATCTTTAATAATTTTCTTGATTCTTACTACATACATAGGATCAACATGAAGGCATTACTTTAGGCATGCAAAATGTGCCTTTATTAAAAGTTTCTGAAAAGATGAAATGAAAATTTTCATTTGCACAGTTAGCTGATTATCAGGAAAAGACCTATGGTTCACTTGAGATTGTTGGTATTTAACAAGAGCTAACAACTCTTTATGAATTTAATGAGCCACAATACCCAAATATTTTTTTTCCTAAGATGGTGCAGAATGTGAGGGGAAAAATAGTAAATTTTCATATGTTATAGAAGAAGAGAATTAAAAAAACCCAACCCACCCAGGTGATTCAAGAACTCCTGGGTCAAGGCTCCTTGTTTTAATGACAACTTAGTGCAACCAGGGTCATGCTGGGTCAGCTAAAGCAACATTCATAGCAGGTGGAAAGGCTGATTTTGATGCTGTGTGTGCTGAAGTCAGAGCCAAAACCCACAGCAGAATCACGGCAATGCATCTTAAATTGACTTGTGATTCACTTATTTAGAGAGCTAAAACATGCTTTCAAGTGATGGCTTGACAGTGTGGGTGATGTGACAAATGGTTTTGTAAAGAGGAAGTACTTGAAAAAGAGTTCTTATGTCGTTTAAAAGTTCAGAGAATAGTTCAGGAGTTACACTATAAAGGTGTAACTAGACTATCAAGGTGTAACTAAAGGTATAACTTGCTGAACTAGTTGAAAGCTTTATAGTTTTATAGTAATGTGATTTGCAGTGTGTGACTCATGACTATTGTGTGCTCTTGGGCTACTTTAAAATAAATTGCATTTTGTGCTACAGAATACCTATGAGAATTTTGAAAGGACTCCCATTATCCTTAGAATTTTTTTAGATGTCCATGAATAAATAAAGGTTGCAAAACATGGTTTTATAGCTTTTTTTATAAACATTGTTTATATATGAACTTAATAAGCAGATACAATAAAGTGCCTGAGAATGCTCCAGTGCTCTCAAAGGGATGTATCTCTTGACAGCTCAGTGCCCAACAGCACACAAGATAGACTGGCTTCCTTCCCTCCTCTGAGTTGTTTGCTGTTTTTCCTGGGAAATTAAGTTTGAAGGTCATTGATTAGGAAAAAGATTATTCTCAGATCTCAATTAGAAGTCAAGTACTGAATTATTAACAATGATAATTTTCCTCCTTACATGTTTTGCTGGCATTCCTTTTATTGTCCTTATTATCTTTAGGCAAGAGATTTGAAAACATAGGAACCAGAAGCATCAGATTTTGTTTTGGTATTCTTGAGATTATAATTCTCCTTGTTTTCCAGTTTGTGAAGACAAGGAGGTGTTTACAACCTAATGACAAGAACACTGAGCTGTCAGCTGACCATTGGTTTATCCTGTGATTATTATTTCTCTTGCTTTTTTCCTGTTTCCAATTGGGAAAAAAAAAAGTCCCCAGGTATTAACTTGGGACATATGTTTGATAGGAGTGAAATAATGTTATTTGGTTTCAAATGTAATACTACAGAATAAAATAGAATGCCATAGTTAAGATACAATGCAAAAATTAAAAAGTGTGTTATGGTCTTTCTACAAATATGGAAGGGATTTTCCCTGTTTTATTTTTCATATAATCTCTATTACTAAATCATATTCAATGTGAGCAAATTTCAGGCAAAAGAATTTTCTATGGGTTTATCCAAATCTCTTGTAATAGTAATCGTTCCAGACAAAGATATTTCAAAAAAACACCACGTGTGATGAAGTATTTACCAAAATTTCTTGTCAATGATGTGCTACATCGTTTGCAATCCGTTACTTTCCTCACCTTCCCAATTAATTGGTTCCACATACCCATAATGATTGTGGAGAAATAGTCTTAATTTAAACTAAAGCAAATCCCTATATGGCTTTCTTTGGTGATTGTTGTTTATTTGCAGGTGTCTGTATGGGAAGTTCATCTCGACACATTGTCACCTTTGATGGGCTGAATTTTAAGCTGGCTGGCAATTGCTCCTACACCTTGTTTCAAGACATGCAACATGATGTTGAAGTTCTCCTCCATGAAGGACCCTGCAGAGCAGCACCAAAGATGAACTGCATGGACTCCATGGAAGTGAAACATCGTGATGTGTCTGTTCAGCTCTTCAGTAACATGGCAGTAAGCTAAACACAATGAACTGATCTGTGCATTGGCTGCTCATGCTATAGAATCCAGGCTATGAGGACAATTTTTCCCTTTATCTAATTTCTGAACCCTTTCAGCCTATTTTTAGGCTTCTGAGCAAATGCCTGTTTTCCTTTTCATGATACAGTCGATGTTCACACAACGAGCCAGACAGGATTTTCCTCTTGTTCTCCGCGTTGTGCTGGTGTGACAATGTCAAGAACATGGGATTTGGCAGCATCTCCCTGACATTTCATCCAGAAAGGCAGGGGTTATAGACAGGACATTGTGCACTGTGATTCTCCTCTTTTGGCAGAGGTCCTTTATACAATGTTTTTGTTTGGTACGTGGGAGAGCACTCTGCTCCTCACAGAGCTGTGAATGGCTGGCTCACTGAAGAGAGTTGGTTTTTATCTTGTGTGGTTGGGCCTCAGCGTCAGAAGAAAGAACATCTTAGTATTCATTACATCTGTTTTATGGGCAGAGAAGTATTCAAACCCAATATGACCCATTTTTCAGTCTCTGGGTCCTCAGACATAACTTGTCTAACTTGCAAAGATGATCACTTCTGATTCATGTAGCAAAATAGGGTGGACCAAAACACCTACACCCAGTTCTGCATGATGATGGACAGCCTTGACTTTTCACTGAGGTATTGATAATCAGGGCCTGTAGGCATTATTTGAGCTTCATGGCATGAGATTGCTACTCTGTCAATACTTGATGCTCAAGGAGTGCACTTACAGGGGAAAATGTTGAAAGAGTTGTTCATATAATTCACAAAATGAAGGTCAAGTACTTCTGTAGGTTTTCAGACTCAATAGAAAATTTCAGCAAAATTGATTCTTATATCCAGATTCAGTTGGACCTTCAAGTACTTGTGAAGTCAAAATGTGCTTCAACTTTTAATTTAGGTTGATTTTTAACTGCTTGCTAAAACTGATGTGATGACCTTGCCTTTTTTGAAAACAGGTGACTGTTAATGGTGAAAGGGTTCGTATCCCCTACTCTAACTCTTTGTTTGGAGTCACTGTCTATGGAGCAGTAATCCATGAAATCCAGTTCTTCCATCTTGGACATAATCTCACATTTACTCCAATAAACAATGAATTTCTTCTTAAACTTAATTCAAAGAGCTTTTCTTCAGGAACAAAAGGCCTTTGTGGTAAGTTTCAAAGGTAGTAGTTTTAACAGCTCCCCACTTGGGCTCGAGCTTCTATTTATTTTATTGTAACTTGTGTGGCTTTGAAGCTGTAAACTCTCTGGCTGAACTGATCCCTCACTGTTGAGGGAGCACTGCAAATCTGTGTAGCTTTTTCTGCTATGGCCAGCAGTGTAACAACTCACTGACCACTGACTCCCAGTAATGCCTTAGAAAGGACAGGTAAGACTGCTCTCGTGTTTTTCTTAGTCATATTTTCAAGGAGATTGGTGGCTTTTTTTGCGTGAGGGTTTAACTTTAGATTGTTGCATATATGTTTATGAGAGGCATGACCTATGCTTGCAGGGAAGGTGAAATGTTTGAGAGGGGGACTACTACCTGGGAGAATTAATTCTATGGTATCCTCAATGATATAATCTATGGTACAGCTTAAACCTCTGTGCCATAAACTGTACCTCAATTAAAAAGGAAATGGGAATGGAGACCATTTTTGTGCCTCTATTTATAATAGGAATGATAAGGAATATAACTGTCCAGTTCTAGACCCTTCAATTTAGGAAGGATATTGAGGGGCTGGAGCGTGTCCAAAGAAGGGCAACAAGGCTGGTGAAGGGACTGGAGCACAAGTCCTATAGGGAGCAGCTGAGGGAGCTGGGGGGGCTCAACCTGGACAAGAGGAGGCTCAGGGAGACCTCATCACTCTCTACAGCTCCCTGAAAGGAGGTTGTAGCCAGGTGGAGGTTGGTGTCTTCTCCCAGGAACCAGCAGTAGGACAAGGGGGTGGAGTCTTCAGCTGCACCAGGGGAGGTTTAGGTTGGACATTAGGAAGAAATTCTTTACAGAGAGAGTGATTGGACATTGGAATTGGCTGCCCAGGGAGGTGGTGGAGTCACCATCCCTGGAGATGTTCCAGAAGAGACTGGATGTGGCACTTGGTGCCATGGTCTGGGTGACAAGGTGGTGTTGGGTCAAAGGTTGGACTCAATGATCTCAGAGGTCTTTTCCAACCTAGTTGATTCTGTGATTCTATGATCATTCATTCCTCTCCCCCTTTGTAGCCACTGAGCCGCCCCAACCAGTGTCATCCGTCCTGTCCCTGTTTTCTCCAGGTTTATTTTTGCTGACTGTATTCAGACTTTTCCTTTTCCTTTTACTCACCCTCCTACAGGGGTGTGTGACCAGAACCACGTCAACGACTTCACGTTACGCAATGGCTCTGTCACTCCTGACAGCAGTGTGTTTATCCAAGACTGGACAGTGGAAAAGCCAGGGAAAGTCTGTGAGATCCGGAGGGAAGACAGGTGTTCTGAGCACGCCACGAGCCTCTGCCACCTCCTGCTCTCCGATCGCTTTGTGGAGTGCCACAGGATAATCTCCCCCAACATGTTCTACGAGGCCTGCATGGAGAACAGCTGCTATGAGGATGAAGCCTGTGAGATGATAACTTCCTACGCTCACCTCTGCAGGGAGCACGACGTCTGCGTGCACTGGAGAACACCCGAGATTTGTCGTAAGGGTTTCACTCTGCGTTAAAGCTGGTGTAGAAATTGTCTTACTGTGTGATGGTGGTGACAGTGACTGTCTTGTCAGTGTAATATTGATTTTTGAAGGCTTTGCAACAGGGCAGAAGTTCCAGATCATGTTTATCGTACAGGTCATATTGCAGATCAAATAACTGGTTTGTCATCCACTGAGCTGCATATTGTGGAGAAAGTTGGTAGGCTGCTAACTAGCAAAATGCAAGGCTACAGAGATAAAAATACTGTGAAAGCTTTGCACAGGTACACACAACCGTGTGACAGTACCTGACGCTGCAGCCACTGAACCATCGTGGGGCCAGGTTTGGGCTGAGAGCCTGCTCTCATTCTGCCTTTTTTAGCAGCACATGTCCTTGCTTTGATACAGACATTGGAGGGTCTGAGGTGGCCATGGAAACTCATACTTTGGACTAGTGGAACTGCTTCCCATACCCTGTGCATAATGGCACACAATAAGACTTTTCTTTGTAGTTGGTTCATAAAATTCCTTCCATTTCAACCAAAGCCTAAACTTTTGAGAATGTGATGGAAGAGCCAGTGAGATTTTAAGTTTCTGCTACAGGGAGAAACTGGGAAAGGCCACTCTCTATGGTGTCATTTCTTGCCAGGACATGCCATGCTATGCTGATTGAACCAGCTGTAATTTGCTCTGCGGATGTGGTTCTCTTTCTGCCTGTGTGTTGCTTGTGTTTTGGAAGTGAAAGGTTTGTGCTATGAGAAGGGAGCATAGCAGGATGTGAGTCCTGCAAATCACCCAGAACCCAATCAAGACTAGCAAGACAAGCATGCTAAGTGCCAAATTCAAACAGTTGTTGCTTTGTATGCCTACTGTCCTAAGTTCTTATAGACAAGTGCTTCTGCTTTATCTTCCCGTTTCTTCTCCTCTCACTGTCTGCAGTGATGGCACTGGACATTCAGATATTCACTCAATACTTCTGGTTCATATGAGTATCTCAGATGTATATGTATGTAGGTATTTTCTTTCCCAGCCACCTCCTCATTACTCTGTCTTGATTGTCCCAGTTGGTTTTCACATCTCCTGCCTCTCTAGTTTAGTTGGTTCTAGTTGCTTTGCTTTCTTTCCCTCTTTCTGCCCAGGTACTTTCCATTTCACAACTGGAGAACCAGAATCCTAATGGCACGATATAATAAAAAATCACTCCATGTTCTGCTTTTGTTCATGTTTTAAACTCAGACTGAGGGAATTATAGGATAGGAAGTCAAGAATGTGAATTTGGTCTGAGCCTCCAGTTAATTTTTAAAATATCTTTCAGGAATAATAGGATATTGAACACAGTCTGTTTGGAGTATAGTCCTAGAAAGCAGAGAGAGAACGTTACCAGCCTATATCCAAATTTAGTGCTTCAGTCAGACTTTGCAAATTGTAACATCCAAAGCTGGATGTCAATGGATTACCTTAATAACTCTGCATTTTTCAAATTCCCCTCTGGTGTCACAGTGTGTACAAGGATAGACAAAGAGTTGCTCATTTTAACACTAGTTGCATAAAAGTCTTTAGTGTCTTAACAACAGCATCATCATCTTCCTTCAAGCACGTGCCTGTGTGCAATTGCCAAAATAAAACTGCCAACATTTGGTTTATACAGATTACATTAATGACTAAATAGTACAACTTAATCACTCTACCAAAACATGTTTAATAGCAATGGCTTGGTTCTGGGTTACCTTGCTTCCTTCTCCCCAATCCAGTGAGTCCCTGTCATTCTTTTAGCATTTGATCTGGGGTTTTGTCATCCCATATTGGGACATTCCAAGCAATACAAGACCTTTCTGACTGCTCTACCTGCATAGGTGAATATACTCTCTGGAATTCAGATATATTCAGCCTGGAAAAGAGAAGGCTTCAGGGTGACCTAATTCTGGCCTCCCAGTACCTGAAGGGAGCCCACAAGAAAGATGAAGATACTATTTCCAAGGACCTGGAGTGACAAGGGGGAATGTCTTCAAACTGACAGAGAGGAGGTTTAGATTGGATATTGGGAAGAAATTCTTCCCTGTGAGGGTGGGGAGGCCCTGGCACAGGTTGCCCAGAGAAGCTGTGGCTGCCCCATCCCTGGAAGTGTCCAAGGCCAGTTTGGATGGGGCTCTGAGCAGCCTGGGATAGTGGAACGTGTCCCTGCCCATGGCAGGGATTTGGAACTGGATGAGCTTTAAGGTCCCTCTCAACTCTCAGCATTCTATAATTCTATGAAATAATTGGAATAAACATGGCTTGAAGGAGGAAAGGGTTAATGTTAAATACATTACTTTTCTGTTTCCTTTGGCTGCTAAGTAGGGTGTGTGTAGATAGTTCAGCTGATGAACGTTTATTTGGCATCTCAGGTCTTCATTCAGTAATTTTCTTTCAGTGTTTTTTGTCAGGGGACTTAAAAAAAGTCTTATAAACCTCACAGCAGTCACAGACTGGGAAATAAGAAACACTTTTCCTAATTGAAGCTGTAAAAAAAAATAAAGTAGGCTTGAGGGAGTACACAGTATGGAAGCTGCATCCATAGGTTTCTTGAATAGCTGGAGCCTTAATTTTGTGTTTGCTTTTGGAGACAATAGTCCCAGTGTTGTGAATGCACCAGTAAAAATTTTAGAAGGACTTAGAGGTGAATGCATGTTTCCTTAATTCAGCTAGTTCTGTTAATGTGGCAAATCAGTAAAAAAGAAACAGAAATCTAGCAGGTGCGGTTTTGAAGTACCAAAATGGTTTTCAGCTTTCTTTAGTTTCCTGGGAACACTGTGGCCTATCAAGTTTAAAAAAAAAATAAATCAAAAATTTATTCAATGTTTTAGTCTGTCCTGGATGTTTTCTAGTCATGCGGTTATCAGTGCTTCTCTAATACACATAAAACTGGTTCTAAACTCTTATGTCTCTGGCCCAGTGTTGAAAACAAAGTTAGGCAGGTGAGCAACTCACCCAAACCATTGTATCATTGTCAGAGTAAGTCATGTGTTGTCTATTCATGTGGTTTGCTGATTTCTGTGTGGACTGTAATGGAGGCAAATGCCTTCCATCACTTTCCACTGTGGATTTTGTTAGTTTTAAAAAATGTGTTTTCCAGGATGTTAGTGTCTGCAAAGGCTGATGACCTTCTAAAATCCAAAGAATTCTAAAGAAAACTTGAATGGAGAGATTGATCTGTGTTTCAGATCTCTTTAGATAAAGGTTGTTGGTTTTTTTCTGTCTTCCTCAGCAATGAAATGTGCCACATACTTGACATATGATCACTGCCACGGAGCCTGCGTGAAGAGCTGTGAGAACAGTACCACAGTTAGTGTCTGCAAGGATTATCCCACAGAAGGCTGCTTCTGTCCAGAGGGACAGGTGATTTTTGGTGACAGCTGTGTTAGTGAAGAAGTCTGCACACAGTGTGTCACTGAAGATGGCACACGCCACCAGGTAACTACATACATGGCAACTTACCTTTGTGAGTGGTTGGGGTTTGTACTTTCACAAGTAAATCTGTCCTGTAAGTCTAATCCCCTTTGGATGCTTTATCTTCTAGCTCAGTTCCTCATAACCGGACGGTTGTCAGCCCCTTGTAGCTCCCCTACTGTGAAATTGGCTGGGATGGATATAAAATTCGCAGCTGGGACTGTACAGACCTGGAAAGGCATGACAAATCCACGTGGAGGGAGGTCTAGAGGAAAGAGTGGAGGGATGGCATAACCCCCATTCAGCAGGATCACTCCCCTTGACTTGCAAATATAATTCTCTTGAGGGAAAATATAGCTTGCAATGTGTATAATCGCTGCTCTAAACACAGATCAGTTGTGCACAACTCCTGGGTGACCCTGACAACTCTATTATTGTACTATGATTCTATATGAAACAGTTATTGCAAATGTAGATTAAAGTCTAGAATCTGTGTGCCTGAAATCCCTGAATCCTCAGGAAATGCAGTGCATTTTCCTTTTAAATAATAGTTTCAAGCACTTGTGGAGAAAAGCTCAGTGCACACCTTGGAAATAATGTCTGCAGTGATACCTACTTGTTGTTGCAGAAGTTCTGAAATTCAGGAGTTGTCCCAGGTCCCTTATTGGGTTTTAACTTCAACAACCTCTCATCTATTCCCCAATGGCCAGGCTCAGGAGCAGCTGCCTGGTGGAGGGCAGGAGGGATCAGCTCATGCAGTTGTTTTGTGTTGTCCATCATTGAAGGGTTAGTTGTGTGAGCAATACAACAGGCAGTGCAACTGGGGATGGGTCATGATTTCCTTAACCCCCTTCTTTCCCTCTGGGGTTCATTCCTCTGTTCTTTTCTAGCCCAAGTTGTTCCTGGATTCTCAGTACCAACACTCATAAAGAGCTTTACTAACACCATGCTCTCTTGTAATTTCTTCTGGTAATTAGGGAGAGACTCCTCCTCCTGAAGAAAACCTGCGTGAAGATCAAGCCTGCTGAAAATGTTAGAGCAAATGTTGTGATTCTCTTTCTGAAAGAGAAAAATGAAATAGCCACAATCTTTACACACACCCACCTGCAAATGTAGGAATTCTCTGTCTGCTGCCTTCTCAGGACTTGTTAAACCCTGAGGCCATGGAGTGTCCTGGCAGAGGGCAGAGTTGTTTTCCCAAGATAGTTTACTGTCAATACATTGATACAAGCTTTCTTTGACTGGGATATATTTTCTATAGATTAACCAGCCCTATGTAATTTGGTTCCTAAGCTTTGTTAAACCTCTGGTTGGCTTGTTCTAACATGCTTGGCATTTTATCCTTGTCATGTGGTTAACCTTGGAAAAGAAACTGCTTTTTGGACTCCTAGGATGGCTTAAAACATACAAATATCACTGGGTACAGGTGGCAGCATGCTGAGATATTTCCTTCCTTTCTTCTCATCACTCAAGGGCTCAGCAGAGCGTTAGTTTTGCTCCAGAGTTTTCTGGATGAACCATTTTCCTTTGTGCCATCCTAACCTGGTTCAGTTGTGCAAATGAACATTATTATCCCGTAATGCATCTTTTCCCTCTTACCTCCCTATTCACATTGGTGTTAAATGTTGATAGTTCTGTATAGGCAACTACATCTTCAACATCAATGATTTCCTCTCTCTCATGGGAAGGAGCAGTGGCTCAAAAATCACTTTCCTGGTGGTTTCTGAACATGCTTGTCACCTCCAGGTAGTCACTACAATGATAGTTTCAGTTTTGGGGTTGCTATAGTGCTTTTCTAGGCTTCAGTCCACTGGAGAATCAAGTGATGACACTCCAAATATTCTTAATTAAAGAAAAAAATGCACTGTTTATTTCTATGTGTTTAAGTATTAATGATTTGGAAAAGCAGACACTTCTACGTATTTCCCAAAATAATAATGTTTCCCTTATTACCCCTGAACATGCAATCATAGTATATAATTGCTCTACTGTTACTCACAATAGCTTGCAATTGCATGTGTAACATCTGAACATTTTTCGTGCTTAAAACGATAGTAATTTCTCATCCCACTCATGCATTCTTTACATCTTTTGCTAAGTTGGTACACTACAGTCATTTCAGAATTATGTGTCTCCTTAGTTTCTTAGTTTTAACAGAGCAACCAGCCAACCCTCCACAGAGACTTCTGATTTTCCAAGTTACTGTTGCTCACTCTCACACACTCCCATCACTAACATATCAGTGACCAGAATATTTGATTTCTTTCTAACAGTCTGTTGGGGTTTTTTCCTGCAGCACATGGAAACATGGATTCCTGCTGATGAGCCCTGCATGATCTGCACGTGTCTTGATAACCAGAAAATAAACTGCACGGTCCGACCTTGCCCAACTCTCAAACGTAAATCCATTTTGTTCTAAGTGTGACTGGGCTTGAATTGATGTTTTTGGGACCCTGGTTTTCTAGTTCTAATCCAAACTTGTTTTATGGATTCTTTTTTCTCACTCCAGCTGCTCAGTGTGGTCCATGTGAAATCCCTCATCTGCGCTGGGGCCCCGGCCAGTGCTGCCCCGAGTACGAGTGTGGTAGGTTCTCATAAACTTTTTGATTCTTCTGTCTGTACTTTTACCAGATATTCCTAAGATTTACAATCTTTTTTTTTTTTAAAATTTATTTAAATGCTGCATTTTTGAAACCACTGAATGACTGTGTAGTCATCCACGTGGAAAAAGAAAGAGCTCCTAAGGATGTGATTCTCCCTTCACTTCCAACTTTGTCCCTCTTTCTGTAACAGTTGAGGAAGGGAATGGAGCAATTTGTTTTTGTCTAAGTGACATTAGAATGGTCTTTTTTCAAGTATCTATTTTTGCATGGTCTATATTTGTCCATTAAATATAACATTAGAACCTTAATCCCCATAACCCAAGCTTGAACTCTTCTCTAAGCTATTTTGAAAACAAACTCTGACCTATTGAACTCTAATATACTTCATATTTTAGGACAGCAATTGAGTGTAGGAAAAAAAAGTTTAATGGGGATGTGCATTTTCTGTGTGTGTCTTAAGAACTGACTAGTCAGGCATGGTCTTAAACACTCTCGATTTCTGTTCCTAGTCTGTGATCTGGTTTCCTGTCATTTGCCTCCTGCCCCTGTCTGTGAGTTTGGCCAGCAGATTGCTCTGACCAACCCGGGAGAATGCAGACCAAATTATACATGTGGTAAGATATTTTTTCTTAGCAGGGAGAGAGACTGGAGCATTGCGTTTGAGCAACACTGACAACTTCCTTTAGACATTATTTTTCTCCCTTCTGAAAGGTTTAATTTTGAAGCCAACTGACATGTAATGATTTCACATACTTGAAAGAAGGGTGTTGTTGGCACTTTCTGAGTACACTTTTGAATTAAGGACTAGAGAAACACTCTGCTCTTGGACATGTACGCTCTGACCTTTATGCTTATTTTATACATCATGTTTGTATATGAGACAAGAATATTTTGGCAGGGCAGGAACTTTTCCTGAACCTGCAGCACAATCTTTGACCTGAGCCTTTTATATCTGCGTTACTACTTAGTCTTTAAGTAGATTTACAACAGCCTGCAGTAGCAATAAGTGCCTTGTTGCCAGAGAACTGTCTTGTTCTCTAGCAGTGCTCTGGAATTCCATGAGTTTCACATGGTACCCACCTTTTCCTGGTAGCCTGCAACAGGGAAGCATGCAGCTCAATTCCAAGACCTTCCTGCCCACCGCATCGGGAGCTGACTGTTACGAAGACCGAGTGCTGTGATAAATATGAGTGTACCTGCAACTGTAGGAACTCAACAGTGAGCTGCCCTTTGGGATATCTCTCCACGTCTCTCACCAATGACTGTGGCTGTGTATCCACCACCTGCGTTCCAGACAGGGTAAGGGAAAAGAAACGTCTTCTCCACAGATGACAGTGTCATTTATACATGGAGTGGCAGCACCAAAGTAAGCAGGTATTAACAAACTAATGAGACTGCTGGAAAATGGTGCCAGGGCACTTTTAATTTACATGTGGCTGAAAGACATACTGATGCTTCTTCTATTACAGTAATTTATTCTGACAGAACCAATCCATTTTTTGTGGCTTTGATACAACCAGATTTAAAAAAAACCCCAAAAGCATAGACATATATCTATAAAATACTTACATATATATAAAATACCTATATATATGTATAAAATACATATATATATATATATATGTACCAAACCATTTGAAATTTAAAGGTCATTCAAACAGGAATTTCAATGGTAATTTTTAGATTTTCAGTTTGGTTTTGGATAACAGAGCTACATGCCTTTGCATCACTACAGTAAATATATATTCTTCCAATCCCATACTAAATTTATGGAAATATTTGGTATACCTTAGACCTAAACTCTTTGTACCTGTTGATTACCTTTGTTACTGCTGGAGGTGTTGTATCCTATAAGAACTATATTGTCACTTTTAAGATTTTGCCAAATTAATACTTCACTCTGTTAAAGCTTCACTAGGGTATATTTTTCTTATTTTGCATGCCTTTTAGTAAGTTTTTATACTATGTCTACTTTTAAGGTAAGCCTACTTAGAGGAGAAATTGCAGGGCAAGCGAGCTTTCTCATTAAACTTTAACATAGGGTTATATTTTCTTGCATCTCGGGAGTTCTAGCTTTTTTTTTCCTGTTTCTAAGTAGTTCATGACCTTGCATAATTCGTTTTATATCTCTGGGACTTACTTGCTATATCTGTAAAAATAAGTGGTGCTCTTCTCTTTGACACCATGCTGTAAAATGTACTAATAGAAAGTTCAATGGAAGAGATGGCACTGCTTTTTGGGGTAGCTGTGATGGCCTAAGGATACAAGAGAATGAGTGCTTTTAGCCCCAAGTAGGATCTTTCCAGGTCAGATGATTTAACTGGAAGAAGTTTTGCATGCAAGGCTCCTTCTACAGGACTCACTGTTTGGTATCTCTAAATATTGTGTCACATTATACTTACAGGGAAACTGAGTCAGACCCCAGGCAATTCCACCGACTGCAGATAAAATTCTCCAGTTTATTATTTAGAAAGCTTTAGATTTTATTTTTCCTTTCCTCAACAGAATGGCCACAATTTTAAGACCTGTAGCATTTCTAGGGGGTTAAAAATATTCCATAAAATTTTTAATAGGTTTCACACCTTAAAATACAGCCTTTTGGAGGCAGCAGTGTGCCCTTACAGCAGCAGTGTGCTCTTTCATGTGTTAATTGTTGCATTTAATAGGTGTGTGTGCACAACAACATAATCTACTCCGTTGGAACGACCTGGGAAGATGGTTGCAGGGAATGCTCTTGCACTGGTATGAGGGATGATGTTACGGGACTTCAGATGATGGAATGTCGTGACAAAGTGTGTAACACGTTCTGCTCTCGGGTGAGTAAATATCTAAACAGTGCTTTAGCCAGCAGAGCCCTGATGGGGATCTGAAATGATTGCTTTTAAACCTGCTTGTTTACAGAGAAACCAGAGAAAAATAGAAAATAAGTGTTGTAGCAACGAAATTATCTTGGGAACGGAGTCTAAGAGGGCCTGAGCATTACTGACTTGATTTTAGTGTTATTGTTTTAGGATCGTATCCTGCTGCCAAGAAAATCAGTGACAAGTTTATTTTGTATTTTGATAAAAGAAAAACTGCATCCTGAAGTGTCTGTCATTTACACCACTTGCACAATAAGTGCTCATGATGTCTGAAGTTCAATTACAAATGTCTGTTCTAGCTCAAGTTCACTTTCTGAAGTTCACATTTCAGATCTGTCTGTTGCTCAGCTCAGCCCATTGTAGCAGTAATAACACCACATGCTGTGGCCTTTATTACGCTCAGACATCTGCTACATGCCATAAAATTCCGTGTTGTTTTGGAAGCCTGCAAAGGAAGTATGAGCTGCTCTGTTGTATTGACATAGCTGGTCAAGCAGGAACAGACAGATAATTGGTACAAAAAGTTGGTGGAGGAATATGACTTAAGTTGGATATTAAGAAAAGGTTTTCACCCAGAGGGTGGTTGAGCACTGGAAAAGACTCCCCAGGGAAGTAGTCATGGCACCAAACCTGTCTAAGAAGTTCAAGGACAACACTCTCAGACACATGGTGGGATTGTTGGAGCTGTCCTGTGCAGGGCCAGGAGTTGGACTTGGTGATCCATGATTGTATGACTTGAAGCAGCTCCTCCATAGTCTGTGGTCTCACGTGCTCACAATCTGCAGGTTGAGGAGGCTGTGCAGGGTCCATGTGGAGCAACTGTTTGGGGTTCAGAGAATTCTCTGAGGTCTTTTTTGACCCAGGATTTTCCCCATGAGTTTGTCCTTCCTTGAACCATGAACTGAAATACAGAAGCAGCTAATTTGTTTTATTGCCCAGTGCAGAAGCAAAGATGAGCTGGTTAATGCTCTTCAAATCTGAGTTTTAAAATGTTTGTATAAGGCTACATATTGCATCAGCCCCCATAAAATTCAAACAGTTGGCCAAGCAACATTTCCAAATGTGTGTTGTAATATCTTTAATAATGTGTCTGGGAGTCAAAGATTGACCTTGGGCATAGAGCATTTATGTGCAGCACCTCAAGACTCAATGTTCTGGCAGAAACCTCGAATTGTCTAAGTAGTTTTAAATTATCTTTTAAATTTATTTATGTGTTTTAAACCAGTAAATCATGCACTGAAATCTGACTATGAATTTTTCAGTTAAGCAAACCAATATCTGTACAGCATTTCTCATTTCTGAACTCTATTAAGATAATTGTGCCCTGGTTTTCAAAGAATTTCAAATGCCTTAACGCAACTATATCTCAATATAATTTAACTTATAGTTTCTGTATCAGAACAGGGCTGGATAGCACATATGTGTGTGTACTTGAGAAGCTATGAACAAGATATAAACTTTTTTTGAATAATATTTTCCTCTGCTATGTCTTAAATGCTGCATCATTCTCTAGGACCAGAGCAAAAACCCAATTCATTAGAGAAAAACTAACAAACCACAATAATGCTTCTGCAAGTGCAGAGTTGGGTGAGAAAGTTCTGAGGTTGCCAAATGCAGTGAAAACATGAGGGTAGATGTGAGAGTTTTCAGCTGTTGCAAGAGAATCCCTTCAGTTTGTTGTTTCTAGTATGGCAATTACTATGAAATACTAGATCTGAAATATCTGGCTGTGTTTCAGCTCATAGCCATAGCTTTATCAATGATTTGTTAGTCAATAAACTATTGCAGAACTGCAGTTCCTTGACATTGCAGTATCAAAAAAAACCCCAACCTGTTTAAGAACAAATAAAATGACTAGGTGGAAATGCTGCCAGTTCTTTTTTGGGAATCTGTCATTTTTTCTGCTCCTTTAATGGTATCAAAGTTGTAAAACCAAAACTGTGGCTGTTGGAGTACCTGGATAGCTCAGATTTTTTTTCCTTTGCTTATTCCTGATTCATGGATATACGTATCAAGGATAGCAGTAGTCCTGTAATGCTGTTTGAATAGACTTTAAAGCTTATTTTTCAGTGCAGAATAAATGGCATTGAAAGTTGTATTTGCATTAAATACATACTTTAATCATGGATCATTACTAAGATGACATTTAGGTTCTCTGCTGCTCATGGTCATTAATTTCATTGTCAGGTGTTAAAGTTGTGCAGTATCTTGTATGACTGTGTCCTCTGACTTTTGTGAAAACAGTTTGGAGTTTTTTTGTCTAGCTACACAAAAAGAGGAAAAAAACCCCCAAAATCCCATAATATGTACCTTCTTCATGTTTATGAATAAAAAATGGTGCTGTTGTCCTTACTATGGCAAAACTCAAATCAAATTGTATCTGTAATTTTGGAGTAAGGTAAATAAATGCTATGGAAAAAAGGTGGATGTTTCATTTAAATGAACGAATTAATTGAATAATTTAAAGTATTAGATGATTATGAGAACAATAAAGCATAGGTTTCTGGGGTAAGTGTTTAAGACAAAACCAAATGTTTGTAAATTAATTAGGTTAGATTTCCAAGCATCTTGATTAATTAACTTAAAATAAAGAATATTTGTCCCTTACATGCAAAAGCATAGTGAATGATGGTTATAATGTATATTGACTGCAAAAGCTAGGACTTTAATCTCCAGTATTTTAAAGGAATATTCTCCTTTGAAGTAGCATATAAAGCATGGTAGTAAATGGCTTAATAGCGTATATTAAGGGGAGGCCAAAGAAAATAATGTAAAAGGAAGACTGTTTGAATATTACATGTGCAGAATCTCATTTAAAATCTGTGGAAGTCTCGGGATGCAATTTCAAACATCCTGCTTGCATTTTAAAGCATATTTTGTTATGGGAATTAGGAAATGGTACTTTAATGTTCTAGAGACAGCTCTGTTTGTAAGTCCTCACCTGTGGTAAATGAGTGCAGCTCCAGGGAAGTCTCCAGAATTGTCCTGGCTTATCACCACTGAAGATTTTGCTTTCAGCATTTCAAGTTGATTTCTATCCATCTCAATGGGTTTTTTCTCAGTTTACTGGTGCCATTTTCATTGTCTTTGGTTCCTCCCAACACTCTCTAGGTACCATCATCTCAATATGTAAAAGGCAAACAGTGGAGCATTCTTCAAAACACTGTGTTGAGGAATAATTTCTGTTCTTTCCTGCTTTGTTGGCCAACAGGCAGGACAGAGTTTTCTGGCCCAAGCCTTAGCACTCTAGAAGAGATGAACTACGTGTCCTGAGCAAAACTAGAATAAAGGAGGGAGTTCAGACACAAGGGCTGCCTTGTGGTGCCTCACCCCTTCCCTCCTGGGGCAGGAAAATTGGTTTAGTCCTGTAAAATAAAGCTTTTGTTGTTCCTGTGGGCCCAAATTTCCGCTGTGTGAGGTGCAAAAGGTGGGATTTTCTAATGATGAAATATTTCTAAAGCTGTGGAGGATCTGTGACTGTGAGGAGTCACTGTCCACCTTATTCCTCAAGTACAGAGAGATGCTCTGCTTTTTAAGGAGCTCATAGGCTGTTGCAGGTGGTTCAGGGGGTGTGTTAGAAGTTCAGCAGGTGCTGAGATTGGGAGCTGTGATCTGTGTTTCTTCCCCTTAGGAATCAGAGTCCCCAGGTTTTGAACACACCAAGCACCAAAAGGGCCACTCAGGCAGGTTGAACTGTCCAAACCCTACATTAGTACATGAAGGACATGGACCTGCTGGAGCAAGTCCAGAGGAGGCACCAAGATGATCAGAGGGATGGAGCAGCTCTGCTGTGAGGAAAGGCTGAGAGAGTTGGGATTGTTCAGCCTGGAGAAGAGAAGGCTCTGGGATGACCTAATTGTAGTCTTTCAGTACCTGAAGAGAGCCCACAAGGAAGATGGAGAGAGACTTATTTCCAAGGGCCTGGAGTGACAGGACAAGGGGGAATGGCTTCAAACTGACAGAGAGGAGGTTTAGATTGGATATTAGGAAGAAATTCTTCCCTGTGAGGATGGTGAGGCCCTGACACAGGTTGCCCAGAGAAGCTGTGGCTGCCCCATCCCTGCAAGTGTCCAAGGCCAGGCTGGATGGGGTCTGAGCAACCTGGGATAGTGGAAGGTGTCCCTTGCCATGACAGGGGCTGGAACAAGATGATCTTTAAGGTCCCTTCCAACACAGGCCATTCTATGATTCTATGATCTTGTCAGTGCCTTAGGGGTGCAAATCACCCCTGGAGTCTGCTGTGTAGCACCTCTTTGCACTTAAGATGTCTCTGTTCAAACCAACTTAGTGAAATTTGGGTCCTGCAGCTGGATTTTGCTTTATTCTAGACACAAACATGTCATGGATTTTTACTTCTCTGGGTTTGCCACACAAATAAAAAGTTGCATGTGATACTTCCAATGCTTCAGACCTGTATTTAGCAGCTAAAAGTAACATAAAACACAAAGAACAACTTTCCCCCCAAAGCTGGGTCAAACTCTGGCATCACATTTTATAATATTATATGAAATACACTTCCATATCAAAGTTCACTGATTATCAAGGTTTGCTAATGTGCTTCATGTTGCAAATCTGGGATATTTCATGAAGGGAGGGAGCAGTTGAGAATACTTCAGTAATTCAGTTCAAAGGGTTTGACCAAAATAAAATTACGCTTATTTTCATTGACATTTTTCACATGAACAGTATTTTCTATGGCAGAACATCTTTCTTTCAACTCTGTATTGAAATCAGTGTTATGTTTTCCCCCTTGGAGATTGCTTGGCTATTAAATGTAGAATATATTATTTCTAATTAGATTAAAGCTCATTGCTTTCTTTCACTTAGATACTCCAATGTTTAAGTATTTGGTTACTTGTTTCAGGAGATGAATATGTATTAAAACTGAGAATTGGGATTCCTGTTGTTTCTATGGTATTTTTCCTTTTTTTTTTTAGTTGACCTATTTATAATTTCCCTGAATTCACAAGATTTTTTTAGTTCTCTGCTCTATGAATGTATCAGAGGTTCTGCTGTTCAATTATAATTTTCATGCTGCTGATTTAATTTTCCATAATTAAGTGTTAGACTTCGATAAGTTACATTATCTCTAGTGTTGCATAGTAGTTTCATTTTATGTTATCTTAATTTCTAGAATTTTTTTAAAATACCTTTTACAGTTAATGTATGGGCTTATATTGTTTTGGACTTGGCAGTGCTGGGTTAATGGTTCAATTTGATGATCTTAAAGGTCTTTTTCAACTTAAATGATTCTGTGATTGTATGAAAAGATGAAATGATCAATCAAAACTGATCCCTGGACTACATCTGACCAACCTTTTCTCTCTGCTTAAGCACAGGGCAGCCAGATATTTGAATGTGTTCAGACTGAATTCTACCCTTGAATTCTCAAGAGTGGGAAGGGGAGTTTTGAGTGCTGATTAATCTCCAAGACACCACAAGAACAATTTTTCCCTTTAATTTTCTTTTATAAAATATTTATTTATATAAATATATTTATATATATATAATGTAAAATATTTTTAAAATAAAAAATAAATCTCATAACTATATATGCGTTGTATGTAAAAACAGCGACTTAAAACATAGTGGGCTTATTTAAACTGGATATATATTCACATGTAGTTTTCTCTCAAAATTTACCTAATAGCAGGGCAATTCTGGCAACCTTAGAGATGGACTTATTTTTTCTTTTGCACTTCTCTGTGGGGCTGTATTATTGGGAAGACTTGCTCTTTACAACTTGCTAAAAGAAACTACACAAGGCCCACCTGTCGAATTGGCATGACCCAAGCAAGGACAGCATCTCCAGTTAGTCCATGTAGCTGCAGTGAACGTGTCTTCAAAATACAGACTAGGCAGGAACTAATGAGATAAGAATTTCTGCTTCTAAAGTTGTGTGCATTTTAATTTATCTCTTCTGACAGGTGATGTTAAAGGTTTAACAGGATGCTGAGCTGGGTCAACCACTTGTAATAGCAACGTGTGGCCTTACAGTTGTTTTTCAAGCTCCCCTTTTCAGAAACTAGTGCTGATATTAAACATTGAACCCTTTTAGGATCAATCTTCTCATTTGTCTTCTGTTCCTGGATCAGTCAGTCCTTTTCTTTTCTCCTACAGGGATACAAGTATGTTGTCCCAGAAGGGGAGTGCTGTGGGAGGTGCCAGAAGGTTGCCTGTGAGGAGCCCCGGTTTCGGCCTCGGGGGGATGCAGATCCTCCTTTGTATCAGGTGAGGTGCCAGTGGTGTGGACACTTCCTTTTCCAGCAGAAACACCCTGGAATGGTTTCATGTTCCACAGAAGGAGGTGAAGAAGACACCAGCTGTTTCTTCAACACATCATGCAGCACTGGGGAACAATGGTTCACATGGCATGTGACTTACCCACTTGATTCTAACAAGTAAACCTACCCCACCCTTTTCTGGGTAATATGTTTTGTGTAAAATTACTGATTTCAGAAATGGTAGCTTGAAGGAATGTTAGTGGGACATAATGCTGTCAGCTATTTACTTAAATTATCCCAGTTAATTTGTACTGCTCTCTGAACAGCAGGTGGATGGGGTAGTAGAATGCTTGATTTTCACAGTCCTATTCAAATAGGATATCCTATTTGGTACACACTGAAATATCAGGAAATCAATGAGGATAGAAAGGTGAATTATTCTCTGGTTGCTGAAGATGATTGCTGCATGTCAGATCAGACCACAGTGGTCCAGGCCACACTTGTTTTCTGCTCAAAATAACAGTTTATTTTCAGCAATGTGCCTCTTCCCTGAGGATTCAAAGACCCACCAGGAAGTGAGTGCATGCAACGCCCATTTAAAATGCACTGCAGATACTCTACCACTCTGCAAAGCTATTTGGACATTTGTTTTTTTCTTCCTTACAATTTTAATTCCTTCAGTCTATTCAGCACTCTATCCCTAACCCAGCCACCCTTGGCAAGCTTTTGCCAGCCTCAGTAGCCTTAAATTGCTTAATTCTGTGTAGAGCTTTGGATTCAACAAAGGCAAGAACAGTAATTTAAATATATTTAATAAGCCATCCTATATTTTTTCCTCCAAGTGCTGTTCTTTATAACCTATCTGTGTCTTTATCTACATCTCACTTTCACATATTTAGTATTAACTTTTTAATTCCTTATTTGACAAAGGAATCTCCTGCTGTCTTAAAAAACCCTGACATGTTAATGTATCATTTTGCAGCCTGCCTCTTCCCTGATTTTAACAAGGACATTTCTTAATGTGGATCAATAATTTTCATAAAACAAGTCTTCAGAAGCCCTATTTAATGTCCCACTGTGTTATACTCTGCAGTCTCTTTCTTGCTATATCCTCTTTGAAATCTTTTGTCACTAACTGAGAACTAAATATTTAAACACATGAGAGGAAAGTGTAGCCTGAGAGCAAAGATGTTTGAATTTACTGCAGTTGAGGGTCTGATTTTCACTTTCACTGTTCTTGAAGTGTGTTTGGGATGGTACCAGTGGAGGCATAAAGCTGCAAAGCAGCGACCAGCTCCTCCCAGCACTGAACTGTGGCGGTATCTTCTTTCTGACCTGTGGTGATGTCCCTTCCCATAAATAGCACTTGAAGTTCCCACTTTGTCTGACCCCATGGGTGATTGTAATCAGTAAAACTATCAACAGGTCCTGGATCTGGTCTCTTCTACATTTACAAGTGTTTTCAGGTCTAGAGCCTATTGCCAAAGCCTTCTTTGGGCTTAGCAGAGCTCATTTGCAGCAGGCTCCAGCAGAAAGAGGGCCAACTCAGCCACACAGCAATGCAGTGCATCCAACTACCAGGCAACAAATGCAGATTTAAATCTACTTAGAAGTGCTTTTTACATATGTTATTTGACCTGTCCTTTTATTTTCCACCTCTAGGAATTATCCCTGTAATTCCTATTCTCTACAAACAAAGCAGCTCTATAAAGTGATCGTCATGGTAAGGATTTGTGGAGAACAGGCTGTTCCTGATGGAGTAAATCTGCTTTTGGCAAACTAGCATGCTGGCCGTGGTGGTTTTCTCTCTCTCCAGTGGCACAAATACTGCTGCCTATATTTAATTCTTTTATAATTTCCCATCAGGTCGGCTCAGAGTGGCGATCCCCCTTCAACCGCTGCGTTATCAACTCCTGTGTCCAGGTGAACAATGAGGTTTTTGTGCAGGAAAAGAATGTTTCTTGTGCTCAGATGGATGTGCCTGCCTGCCCAGAGGGAACTGAGCTGCAGTGCAACCAAATAATTGACTGCTGTCCTTCCTGCAGATGTGGTAAGGTTTTGTGTATGACAAACGGATGGTCCTGTGCAGGACCAGGAGTTGGACTCAATGACCCTTGTGGGTCCCTTCCAACTCAGCATTCCTTCCAGCTTCTTCCCAGCTGGCATTCACTGTCTCCTGTTGAACCATGTGCCGTTGAAGCTCTTTTACATTGCTTCAGAGACACATACTGGGCTTTGTTTCTGCATTGCTAGGCGTTTAAGAGAGCTTGAGATGCTTTTGACCTATGAAGGTTCAAAGCTCTTTCCAGTACCTGCCAGGAAAAGGAGTTTGCAGGCAGCCGTGTTGCCCTCTGCCTGTCTCTGAGATTGTGGCTGTGCATGAGCTGGCCATGTGTGCTGGCAGTCAGAACTCCCCCCATGCCCTGGGCTGCACCAAAAGCAGTGTGGGCAGCAGGGTAGGGGGGATTCTGCCCCTTTGCCCCCTCTGGGGAGAGCCCCCTGCAGTGCTGCCTCCAGCTCTGGAGCCCACAAGGAAGATGGAGAGAGACTGTTTACCATGTAGTGATAGGACAAGGGGGAATGGCTTCAAACAGTGAGAGTAGGTTTAGGTTAGGTATTAGGAAGAAATTCTTCCCTGTGAGGGTGGTGAGGCCCTGGCACAGGTTGCCCAGAGAAGCTGTGACTGCCCCATCACTGGAAGTGTTCCAAGCCAGTTTGGATGGTGCTCTGAGCAACCTGGTCTAGTGGTGTCCCTGCCCATGACAGGAGGGTTGGAAAAAGATGATCTTTCATCCCTTCCAGTGTGCCTATGATTCTGTGATTCCTAGCATAGACTTGGCTCCAAAGTCCAAATCTAAAGATGTGGCTAATTGGCCTCAATTTGGGAGGACTCACAGTCGTGTTTAGTTGACAACTATGTGTGCAACCACAGCCTGAGGAGGTAGCAGTGGGAAGAGGAGAGGATATACACACTCTAACTTGCAGAAAACCTGGGTGCATCTTCTGAGAATGTGAGGCTTGAACTGGAGGGGAAAATTTACATTGTACCATGTACTTGTTAAAAAATAGCTCAGCAAGGGATATTTTGATGTGGAATTAAGGATAACTGACAAATATTGCTGCCTTTCAAGGTGTAATGTAAGAGGGCTCAGATATGACTCTTTACAGTGAAACTTGGTGTACATTTCTTCAAGTTGGAACTATCATAAGTCATACCTGTGATTGATTAAATCTTGGTACTGTCATTATAATGGTAATGCTAAATGGAATATTGTCTTCTTTTTCAGTCCCCTTGAATGGTTGTCCTTTGAATGGCACTATAATTGGGGTAAGACACAATTCCTTTTACTTGTGATGGTAAGAGATTTAGATATATGAATGAGCTTTTGAAGGAAACACACTTTCCAGAATATACACAGAGAGAATAAAGGGCAGCTTTTTTCAGACACAATCTCTGCAAGGGAGACCTTGGAGTAAAAGCAGTGGCAAGGGACTCAGCATGTCTGTGTCCAGCTCATGACCCTGCCATGGTCTTCCTATATGACAGTAAGTATTTCTGCAAAATAGGGACAGTAATGTTTCCTTTTCTTGAAAGGGTGCTTGAGAAAAGTGCTTAGAAATGGTGATAATCTGCGTTATGTAATGGTTTGCAGACTACCAAACACACAGGAAACTATCTGCGAGGGTTAATCTCAGAAATGATCCTTGCCCACTTCAGGGAAGCAGAAACTTCCCATATTCTGTTTAGAGGATAAGGCAGATTAAAAAAGGATGGAGACTTGCTCCACCTGTGTGGAAGGAGAGGTATCCCTCCTTGGCTATTAGCAGGAACAGGAAAGCTGAGCTTCCTCACTGTTTGACCTCTTTTCCCTTTCAAGATCCCTGCTGATATGCCCTCTGAGGAAATTTTTCCTCAACTGTGTATTTAATGGATAGATTAAGACATGTTTAACCCAGCCCATGACAGTGGGAATGATGGGAGTTAAGCATCTGATCTCATTTATGCCGAATTTATCTTTGGCGAGGTTTGTCAATTGTCCATTGTTTCCCTAAATCCATATTCTGGCAGCACCTCTGGTGTCAAGGAGCTCTAAATATTCTCATCATCCCCCAGGGAAACAGGTTCTCTTTTAGTCATTTAACCTAACTTTTAGCCTCTGTATTCCTGCTTTGTCAACATATGTCTTCCTTTTTCATTTATTTAAAGGTGAATTTACTCAAATCTCTTCCTATTTTAGAGGAGATGTGGCGGGGGAACATTTCTCCATCTATTTCCCTTGGCTTGGATTTTTTTTTTCATAGTTTATCAGTATTTTAGAGCTAAAGTCATGTCATCAAGCATCCATCATTCTGTGTAGGGATTACTTCCCTGGAGAACTAAATCCAAGGAATAACTCTGCCTTTCTTGTCAGAACACTTGCTTAAAAGTGGTAAAAATCTGAAATAATCTTCTTTTCTTTGATCCTTCTCCTTGTATCCTCTGTAGTGTGTCTTTAGAACTAGTTGTGGCTTTCTATAGAGACTACTTGTAGGGAATGTCAAGCAGGATAGTAATTCCCAGCTCCTGCCACCTTCTGTTATATAGGATAAACATATATATATATATGTAAAAATTCTGTGTTGCAAACAGTTGTCTCTCCACTTGCATGCTGTTCTTTCACGACCAACTAATTTTTTCCTCTTCCAACGAAACCTCTACCTGATCTGTCAAGTAAAGTCTTTTTTCTTCCTCTTCTCAAGTGTTTTGAAATATTTAAAAATACTTTAAAATAAAGTACAAGCAAATTTTGAAACAAAATGCCACTTTGAAGGTGAAATGAGAGATACCTGTATTTCTGAGACTTCAAAACATTTCTACTTCTACAGTATTGAAAAAAAAATTCCTATTTAATCAAATTATCCAAATTTGTAATTAAATTTAAGAAGTGTTTCAGCTGAACAAAACTACATTTTGATTAATTCTTATTATATTAGAACTTGTCTAAAATGAATGAACTTTTCAATTAAGCTTCATTTAATGAGATATTATGAGTTAATTTGCTGTATGTCTGAAAGCTTTTGCGCAGCTGGTGTTACTACAGCTTTGCCTTGTACTATTCTCTGCTCCAGTGACTGGTTCCAGAGTCCTGGTCAGGAAAGATGTGCTGTCCACAGAAGTTTTTACTTCCTGGATTTCAAAACCTTTATTCTGGGTCCTTTAAGAACAGGTTTCAAGTTTTATTTTATATCAAGGGAAAACTTTGCTGCATTAACTCATTCACTGAATAGTTCCAAATTTTGAATCTTTTACTGCCGTGCTGGTAACTGACTGTGTCCTTAATCCCTTTACATTTTTGTCTTGTGTCTGGTTACCAATATTATATTCCAGTAATTTGCTGCATTGCACTCACTCTGCTGTTCTTAACAATGCTGTGGGTTTCAACTGCAGAATTCCAAGCAGGTGGCTGTGTTTACCAAAAGAATTATTTGTATCACTCATCTATGTTCCCAGGCTTTTACTGAGTGGCATTTTTTGAGGCCGACCTGAGTAGATTTGGGCTTTATGCAGGTTATTTTGTTTGTGAGGGTTAACAGATATTGACATTTCATTTCACATTAACCAAGAAAACACATGATAGGTGTGTTATATAAAGGAGAAAAGATGTATCAATCCATTATTTCATTCAATTCTGCCATGCTAAGCAAACTTTGGATCAAGGTAAGACTTGCCCCCTAAAGTTTGAGGTGCTTGTGTGTGAGGATTTAATTTTAAAATGTCTCTAGTAATCCCTGTGTTCTTGCCTGTAACAGTGATTTTTGATATAAACTCAGCTTTATCTATCTATTTTGTATTCATTGGAATGTCAGAAGTATTAGAAGATTCGACAAGGATATCAATTATAATATCAGTTGGGGCTTTATAAACCTTTTCTTTGTGGTGTTAAAGCCTGGAGCTGCTGAGGCATTCTTCTAGAAGGCCTGAATTAAGTATGGTTATGGTACTAAACTGAACAAATCCAGCCACAGTTTGAAGCAGGTCAACATGATGAGGGCATCTCCCAGATTTGCAAGGAATCCAATTACTGACTCCACAATATGTGTACATACACACGTGTGTGTGGAGCTGCAAACATGGAGAGCAGTGCTCGTGTCACTGGGTTGAATGCCACGTGTTCTGTCCTAGGACCATCACTCTGGTGCCTGAATGCTTTCCAATGTTGAGATGAAACAAAAAATTTGGAGTTTCATATGGTATTTGCTATCCATCTGTTGTGGTTTAACCCCAGCCACCAACCAAGCTCACTCACTCCCCCACCAGTGAGGTTGGGAAGAGAACAGGAAGGGTAAAAGTTGAAAAACTCATAGGTTAAGATAAAGATAGTTTAACAAGGAAAGAAAAAGCCATGCAAGCAAAGCAAATCAAAACAAAGAATTAATTCACTACTTCCCATGGGCAGGCAGGTGAGCCATCCCCAGGAAAGCAGGGCTCCAGCATGTGTAACAGTGACTTGGGAAGTCAAACACCATCACTCCAAACGTCCACACCTTCTTCCATCTTCCCTTCACTTTATATACATAATACCATGTGGTCTGGAATATCCCTTTTGTCATGTGGGATCACCTGTCCTGGCTCTGTCTCCTCCTAGCCTTCCAGGCACCTCCAGTCTCCTCACCAGCATGGCAGCAGGAAAAGCAGAAGAGACTTTGGCTCTGTGCAAGCAATGGCTCACCAACAGCAAAACCAGCTCTATATTATCACCATATACATATATATGTGTGTGTGTGTGTGTGTGTATGTAAAATATATGTCATCTATATTATCACAATGAATTTGTTCATTACAAATCCAAAACACAGCCCCATAGTAGCCACTGGGAAGAAAATTAACTCTACCCCAGCCAAAACCAGCCCACCATCCCTCTCCCATAGCAAAATAGGAGTGTATCCTCATGCCTGTATCCACTGAGGTTTCTTAATGCTCCAGCTTAATGATATTCACTGCAAAAAGTTAAACCAGGAAAGCTGAGTCCCATGCTGAGGCCTCAAGGTGAGATCTCCCCCACTGGTATTGCCTCTTCCATCATGCTGTATGTGGAGGATCTCTTTTCTAGACCTCCACAAAACAAGACAAAAGCCATTACTGTTGCTGGTGCTTTATAGAAAATGGCTGAGGCCTGAGGACCTCTGTTGTCCTGGGGCACAGAATAAGAAGGTAGCTAAAATCCTTTAATCAGAACATTTGTCCTTGAGGGTATATGTCAGAGTATTGGCTCTAAACTAACCACAAGTGCATTACCTTTACACAATTACTTTATCCAGCTTCTTATTTTTGCTCCATTTTTTCCATGAACATTTACTAGTGTGTAATAATTAAAAAAGGAATCTAAGGATATGCACAGCATGTAGCATGGGAAGTTCTTGTTCCGAAGGAAGTCAGCAGTGGCATTCCATTGATTTTTGAAGCACAACTCAAAGCTTTCATAGTCTAGCAATATGAAATGTCTGTTTACCTTATTTATTAGCTTTTAGAAGTTCTTTGTGAAAATCTTGAATAGACTTCTCCCACTTTGTCCCTTCAGTGTTAGTGGTTTGTTATTTTGGGGTTGAAGTGAAAGGCTCTGCACTTGGGCAGAAGAAAGACTTTGTATTTAGAAATCCTTTCAGTGCTGGGAATCCAATTACTAACCCCACATCCTTTTGTTTCCCGTTAAATGGTTTGGCATTTTTGCTCTACATTTGAAATGTCAGTTTACTTGCTTTGAGAAGGTGATGGGATCCAGCAAAAAAGGTGTTGGGGAAGAGCTCAGGGAATTTGCACTGTGTGCCAGCTCAGCCACTGGTTTGCTTGTAACTATGGACAAGTAGGGTTCTTCAATCAGTAATTCTGTTTCTGATTTTGTTTTATTTCGTCCTTTCTCAATTTTAAGCTTTTAGGCCTTTAGAGATTCCAAGCAGTATTAGTACAAGAACAATAACAAGCAATTTCTGCCCATCATCTGTGGGTTGTGGTGGCTCAAGAATAAAAACTTGTTGGCAAACCAATTCATTACAGTCGAAAAATGAACCGTTGGCAACCACGCAGTCAGGACAGCTCATGATAAGATCTTCCTCATGACTTTCAAGGATTCCTTTTTTGCTTGCTTACTTTGAAAGCAACAAAGTAAGAAATGCCGGTGCCATTTCTCAGATTAAGAACTTTTAAAAGGCTTTATTGAAAAATAGCCTTGTGCTATGCTGCTTGTTCTGGAATTAGAGATGCAAAAGTTTGGGTCTCTGGAAACTGAGGGCATTGGTTTTCTCGTTTGTCTAGCAAAGAGTTACAATGCAAGATTTAATGAAAGAGATTTATCCTAGATAAAATGGCTTGTTTATTTGAGTTTTGCTGAAGAGACAGTCACTCACTGACAAACTGTTCTGATGTTTCAGGCTGGGAGGCGCCTGATGGTGGATCAGTGCACAACATGTGACTGCTACTTCCAGCCAATGCCTCGGAAATACACTCTGAGGTGTACAAAAGTGAGCTGCCCACCATGCCCAGGGGTAAGTGAGAGCAGTCTGGATGTTCTTATTAAGAACTGTCTGATGAGAAGGTCCTGTTTTCACTGTATACACCAATTTCTGTTTGGTATAACTCTGGGACCTTTTGCCTTTCTTCAGGTTTCTCTGAGAAGTCATGGCTCTGTGTCCTTCTTCCCATGAATGAGATGACATAAGACCAAATCTGATCTAAATCCACAGCACAGGAAAGATAACTTTACATGGTTCTCAGCTCCATGGGCAATTTTTATTGTGTATTTTGGATTACTTACCTTTAAGGCAGTATAATGTTTGGCAAATCATTTGCAACAGGACCTGCTGTGTCCCCTTTCCCACAATCTCTCCAGAGATTGGCAGCTCAGCCAGATCTCCATCCTTCAGGGCTTTTCCATGACTATTCCAAATTGTCCAATAGCTGGGCTCGCTAGTATTTCTGTCCACTTCCCAGCCATGCCTTAGGTGATTTGAGGTGACTGTCTCCATCAGTTCCACTTGAATTTTTGAAGTCTTTGCTGCTGCTTTGCTGCCATCACCTACAAGGAATGAGTTTGGCTGGGAAAACCAAAGGAAAATACCTCCCATTTTTACTTCACTGACCAACTGTGTGAGTGGAGGGCCTGACTAGCTCTGCTAAATCAAATAGTTTTCTCTTTTGACAGCAATACCTCAAGTAGAAGGAGACCCGAGCAAGTTGTAGAGGATGGTTTAATCTCCCCATGTCCAAAGAGCACAAACCAGCAGCTAGGTTTCACAGAAAAAGGCTTAAATGCCCCTTCCATTTCTGCCTTTTCCTGGGTAATGGATGAAGTCCAATGGGCCCAACCAAACCCAGAGGCCTGTGCAAGCACAAAAAATCCACATCTCTAACATGATCATATGGGATTCCTGACTGATGTCCAGGACAGGCATACATGGATAAGGTCCCTGGAAAAAAAAGGGGAAGAGTTTTGGATGAGTTCAATTTTCAATCCCTTAGCAGAAATGGAAAAGACTGGAAGTGTAGTAAGTCAAGTTTCTGTAGAGATTCGTCTCTACTAATAAACAAAATAGAGCAAAACTGCAGGCTCAGATTATGTCCTGACACCCCTTAGCTTGAAGAATTGTCTGCAGTGTCCCAGTTGGCCTGTTGAGACTAGAAAACTTCCAAATAGTGCCTAGGTACAGGACAGCCCAAGGCCAGCATGTTTTGTGTGGACAATGCAGATTAGTCATACGTATGTGTTCTGCTTGTCTGCAGGGCCAGAAAACTGGCCTTGACCCCTTTTATTTGCTGATGTGGATGTGGTCTGTGGGAAAAGAGAGAATCTGGAATGCTTTTTGTCGTTCTGGACCCTAATATCACCCCTCCTGTAAGGTATGATTATAGACACAAGCTTCTGAAGGGTAAATAAATGGCCAAGCTCAGTGCTGAGCATCTTTCTCACTTCCACAAAATATAACCTGGCAGATCCATGAAAAAAACCAGATACACTAGAATGAATCTGTGGCCAGAAGCACGTATGCAAATGTATGTTCCCACACATAAAATACACAAACATTCATTCTTGCTGTTCAATGCAAGAAGCCAGCTGTAGGAACTAAAGGTAGAGGAATCAATATAATACGTAGTAAAAAGAATGAGGAAACATTCCACTCCTGCTTCTTTCACCACCCACACAATTCCCAAACAGCTCCTTTCCCCCACGTGACCCAAAAGCACAGACTAAACAAAAAACCCTGAAGGAAGGGCCATTTCCAGTTGGGCTTATTAAGGACTATGAATCTGTGTTTGGGAGATGTGCAGCTACCCAAGGGAAGTTGCAGGTCTAGGTATAGATATCCCTTTCTAGCCACTGTAATGAATCTGTGGAGCTTGAGGGGTAAAAAAATATCAAATAAGACACAGAATGTATCCCTGTAAGGCCAGTGGGATTCACTCACAGACTTAGGATCCTTGCTGTCTCAAAGTCTTTGACTTCATGGTACACCTAGATTAAAAGCAATTCAGCAATTCCTTCATAATGGATAAAACCAGATATGTACTAGAGTACATATTCTCTCAGGAGCACCTGTTTTCTCCTGGATGTTGAAGTTGTGAAAGTAAATGCACTGGTAATTGAAGTGCAGCCAACTGCAGCATATTCTGCTCGGGAGGGTCATTTTTTTTGGACATTTTACGACCTACTTTAGGTGCTTACATTTTTGCTAGTAGAGCAAGTTCACCTAAATAACAATGAACTATGTTTTCTCCCAATGATTTAATAGTAACCCCCCACCTTTCCCAAATTCTCTTTCTATAAAAAACATATGGATGACATGCATGCCTTCACTCAAGAAGAAAGTATTTGTTGCCTTGAAAATGTTCAGCTCATCATAAGCAGCTGTTGGTTATCTGGAGCAGCTGGAGACATTACTGTGGGACACCTCACATGTTAACTTGGTTCTTTTCTGGTTTGTTTTTTTTTTTATTTTCCATTATCCACTCTTTATCTTTCTTCCTCTCCATATAGTGCTGCTCATTCTCCCATGCTCTTTTCCTTGCCACTGTTTTTTCCTTCTGTGCTGTTTATGGGGCTCCGTATTCCTCTCTTTCCTTGCTTTCCTTCCTTCCTTCTTTCCTTTCTTCTTTACCCCTTTCTCCCAACTTTCCCTTTCTTCCTCCCTTTCTCCCTCTCCCTTCCTCCCTTCCCTATTATATCATAGCCCCTCGGATGCCCTTTAATTTCTTGTTTTATCAGGCCATTTCCTTTTTCTTTCCATAGTCCAAATTTTCCACCCCAGCCTTTTCCTCCACTTTCCCTCCCCACTGATTATCCTGCCCTTTTCTCCCTGATTTAAGCACTTCCAGCTACTTTTCCAAGCTACCCTCTCCTACTGTCGTGTGTTGTTTAGTGATCCTGACCTTGCAACTGTTATAGTCAAAAAATGTTGGATTTTGTGGTCACAGGAGGCTTTGTACTAGGAAATAAACTTTTTTCTTCATTGTATAATAAATCAGTACAAGGATTAATGCCAGCCTTTTAAAAAAGGAAAATTATGCAACTAATTAGATTAAGCAAGTCTAGTCCTACTGTTTAAAAAAGCATTTTGCTGGCTATCACTTTGTCCACTGTATTTTAGTTTTTCTAAAAATCCTTCTTAAAATAAATGTAGGATGCATAGTTAAAACAAAATAAATCCAGAAAAATGTCCTTTACCTTCTAGAATTACAGAAGGCAGGATATCCCTGGCTCTTGCTGTGGAAAATGTGTGCCAACTTCTTGTACCATCAGGGTGAAAGATGGAAGGATTCAATATCTTCAGGTAAGTTTTAAGTACTTTTTCTTTCATTTATGAATAAATGTAAAGGTATCACAGGCTTTTGCTGAACCCAAGGAAAATGCTTTTTCCCCCCTCCTTTTTGATTAGGTAGCATGGGATTAGTAGTGCTTTTTCTTTTATCTCTCAGGATGATTGACCAAGAAAGTTAATCTGTTAGTAAATGAGAAAATAGGCTGCTTCATACCAGAGTGCAAAATTATAGAGTGACATTCCAGATGTACCTGCAAACAAGGAACTTTAACTGGAATACTTAGAGGAAATTAAAATCTAATTAAAATGTGACATAGATAACTTAAGTTGAAAACAGGAATTTAAAAACAAAAAATCCAGCATAGAATCCTAGAATGGTTTGGGTTCGGAGGAACCTTAAAGATCATCTTGTTCCAACCCCCTACCATGGGCAGGGACACCTTCCACTAGACCAAGTTGCTCAGAGCCCCATCCAGCCTGGCCTTGATGCATAATAGGTCCTTAAACAGGAATGCATATTTTTCTGGTTAAAACCCATCATCTGTCACAAGGCACAGCATGTAAAATTTTCTTTCATTCCTTTCCTGAGAGAAGTTTTAGATGGGGAGAGTATGGGAAAAGCCATGAAGCTGGTGAAGGGTCTGGAGCACAAGTCCTGTGAGGAGCAACTGAGGGAGCTGGGAATGTTTAGCCTGGAGAAAGGGAGGGTCAGGGAGGACCTTCCCACTCTCTACAACTCCCTGACAGGAGGTTGCACCCAGGTGAGGGTCGGGCTCTACTCTCAGGTAACAAGTGACAGGACAAGAGGAAACAGCCTCAAGTTGTGCCAGAGGAGGTTTAGACTGGATATGGGGAAAAACATCTTCACTGAAAGTGGGTTGTCAAGCACTGGAACAGGCTGCCCAAGGCAATGGTGGAGTCACCATCCCTGGAGGGATTTAAGGGATGTGTAGATGTGGCACTTGGGTACATGGTTTAGTGGTGGGCTTGGCAGTGTGAGGTTAATGGCTGGACTTGTTCTTAAGGGTTTATTCCAACCTAAATGATTCTGGGTGTTGGTGGGGGCGTGTTTTTATGTATTTTTTTAAAGAAGCTCCCAACTCAGTCAGAAGGTAAATAGTTTAATGTATATCTCTTTAAAAGACAATTCATAGGCTTAACTCCCAAGTTTCTCAATTGGAGAAGTTTCTCATTCAAGTTAATGGAAATTTCTTCCCTTTTGAGAGCTGGAAAAGGTCAGGCTTTGGCAGTCTTGGCAGAGCTGTAACCAATATGGCTGTGGAAGTAAATAGGAGATGAGTAAATAGTTGATAAACAATTCTGTTCACTAAAGATTTCCGTGTTTTATAATGTCACCACCATGGTAGGTTAATTGAAATATCAGTAAATGAATGAAAACTTCCTGTCCCCGGTTGTTTCTGCGTGAAGCTAACAACCCTTAAATCTTTACAGCCAAATGAAACCCTTCAGGATGGCTGTGACAGTCACTCCTGCAGAGTCAATGAGAAAGGGGAATTTGTCTGGGAAAGGAGAATCACGAGCTGTCCTCCATTTGATTCCAGAAGATGCTTGGCTGAAGGAGTAAGTAGTGAAATGGCTCCTGTTTCCAGGATTTCTAATGGACTCTGTCATGTTTATGGTGCTGTATATGGGTACCTTATGTGTGTTAGGGTGGGAAACCCCAGCCCTCTCCCAGCCCCTTGGCTAAACTGAATTTGAACTTCCTTTGAAATTCAGAAAGATGTAAGTTTTCTCTGTTTTAAAATATATGTTGTTTTTTTGTGGGGCAGTACTGTGGGGGAGAAGTAACTCTGTTATAAAGCATCATAGATGAATATGAAGCTGACTACTTGAGGTATCAAACATATGAAAATGGTTCTTGTAACTATATATATATAAAATTTTATATTTATGTAAAATATATAAAATATAATTTTCAGTTTGATGTCCAGAGGAAAACTCAGTAAATAATTATACAAACTGAGAAAACAATCAGATCAACCCCTCTTTTTTTTTTTTTTTCCCAAATAAATATGCATCTGAAATGCTAAGACATTTTTTCTCTGAGGTTAGGGAAATGAAGTTTTACAATGCTGTAGGAAGCTCAGGGGTTTAGTACAACAATGGCATCATCCTGCAGAGTAAATATTGCTCCTTTTTTCCTTTCACTATGGGTTTTCAACAATTTGCACCATACACATATTTCTGAGAATTATTTTCTGAATGGTGGTAGTGAAACAAGAAACAAAGTTTTTAGCTTGACAGATGTGATGTTTTATGCTGATTTGTTTGTACATTTTTCAGCTATTGTGGAATAGACATACTTTCATCTATACTGCTGAAATAATAATGAATGACTGTTTAACTTGGTTTCTTAAACAGATATAGGACTTGAATGCTATTGATTTTATCACTCTGGTTTCCAGGAATTTATTTATATCCAATGTTTTTACTTTAGAAAGCTCCTACTAGAAGGTGAAAGCATGATTTTTCTGGTGTTGGACTTGCTAATATAGTAAACTATTTCAAATCAGCTATCAGAAAATACAGCCACCAGTTCAAAGCATTAAAAAGGATAAAGAAAAGACTATTAAAGTAGATTTATATTTTTATACAATATAGATACAGGTGGGTGTTGTTTTTTTTTCCCTAGTATCCTGTTATACACATTCTTTGGGTTCTTTCAGCAGAACAAATGTGTATCGCTTATGCCAAAATTTGAATTTTCTGTTTTTTTGTTGTTTTAGGGCAGAATTGCAAAAATTGGTAACACCTGCTGTGACACATGTAAGTAAATGAGCCAGGAGTCTTGTATGGAAATTGCAGAGAGTGTAAGCTACTGTGTAAGGAGCTGCATTTTGCATAATGTGCAGTTAAATGAAACAGAGCTCAGCAGTGTGGTTGTAATAAACCATCAAAGAATTCCGCCCTCTGATTGGGATCCTGCTGTCATGTTTTGTCATCTAGAACACGTGTTTTGACAGTATTCACAAGTGCTTAGAAAGAAATAGACACTCTCCACATTTTATGCAGATGTTAATTATGAATGCTTCATTTTATTGTTCATCTGGTGATAACAGGAACAGCACTGCACAGACAGCCTGACAAGGCACATAACCTGATACTACTGAATATGTGAGGAAAACACCTCATGAATAATCAATCAACTTAAAATTAATTTAGCAAAAGAAAAAAACAACCCCCAAAACCTAGTAGCAGTACTGGTTTTTGATGATATAATAACCAAAAAATGGTAGGGGAAATGTTTGACAAAGGTGCATTCCTATGGAACAGCCTGACTGCATCTTAAATTTGGCAGTTTAGGAGTCAGTCCTGCAGCTCTTAATTTCATGTATCCAAATGTCAGTCAGGCTGTGAGTGTAGGAAAGGGTTTTGCTTACATAAGGAAGGATTGCAGGGTTGGGTTCTCATTTCTAAAATGAATCTCTGATGCTTTTGTGAAGAGAAAACCTCTCAGTTTTCTCCCCTGTAAGTAAAAGATTAATAATACTGTAGATATTTAAAATTTTAAAAGAAGTAACAAAAGATTGGTATTCTCTTATAAGGTCAGAATATCAACATCTTGCCTTTGTCCTGTTATGTCTTTTAGTTTTTTAATTTTCTATTTTTTTTTGCTATGCATGTTCTAATAAATAAAAGATGACCAGCATAGCAGCCCATCACCACACTGGCACAGGAACTGCTGCAATAATACCCCTGATGAAGGATGTCAACTCCTAGGGAGTTTGCAGCCACTGCCTGTCTATATAATCACTGAGCTCTGGCTTGAGAAATAGAAAGCTACTGAGATAGACTGTCATCAAATGGATCAAAGAGGTAATTTAGTTGAGAGAGCTTTGATCTACCAGGCTTCAAGTAAGGAATACCCAAAATTATTTATTAACAAAAACAGATTTAAGATTTCAGGGAAGGGTGGTGGGCAGGCTGCACTAATTGAGAGTGCCAATCAGTAACTGAGGAGAAACCCAGTCCCAAATGAGCACAGCTCAACACAAATATTCATTATACAGTTATTTAAAAGTGATACCTCCTTGCAGCAGCAAAAGCAAACTGATCTGAGTGAAATGCTGCATGCCTAAAAACTCCCATATTGTATGGACCTTCAGATCCTTATTCCTGTTGCTGTTTGCCTGGATATAGGTCAAAACTGAAAAAGCCCTGTATTACAGCACAGCCCTGTGCTTCCCTATTCAGGGCCTTTCATAAGGAAAAACCCAACATACTGCCTCCAGCCAGCTAACTACAGGATGGTGATTAACACATAACTTTGAATCAAACATACTTTTAGACAGCAGACTCTCTTTTTCCCTCCTCTTTATTTATATCTTGGCACCAGGCACTCAGTAGCAACACACAGCCTGTTACATACTCTCCAGGGAACACCAAGGCTTGGCAAAGCTACTGCAAAACCACAGCAATTTAATTATTCTTAAAGTCAGAGAAGAGCATAGTTAGCTTCTCATGGACACAGATTACATTGCCTTGCAAGATCTTGAGAGAGTCTATCTTCCAAATGTCTTAGTACCATAAGAACTGGGCAAAGAACTCCTCTCAAGTCCAGGGTGATGCCTTTGGCTCAGTAGAGTCTTACATGTCTTTAGGCAAAGGTTATTTCAGAAGCCAATTTCCCTTTCTATGTAATACCATCATAACTGGAGTTTGTTAGTGCGTCTGAGGGCTTTGGTCCAGGTTTTAAGCACGTAGGAGCATGACAGTGGTCAGTGGACAGGCTTATTTTCTCACTGGATTTTTGTGGAACTGGCAGAGGACTTGATAATTGAAAAGGATATTCCTTATTTTCCCACTTACCAGTTGCATCTCTGCTTCTTACACCTTTTCCCTGTTGATCCCAATTGTATATGTCTTGTTAAGTTACAAGCATTTGCCTTTGCAGAGGAGGCACAGCCTACAAGGAAAAAAAAGTAAATCAGAGTAATAAAGTAACTTAAAAGCAAGTTGATAAGTCAGGATCAAAAAGGAGATGAAGCTGTATTTCCTCTCATGACAATTATTTGGCTTGGGCTTTTCAGTTGGGTGGACACAATCGTCCTTCCAGGTGGACAGTTTTTATCAATTGAAGTGATGAAATCATTAAAAGAGAAATTGTAGTTGCAGCCCTGGAGCCAGAAACACTGACTTTCGTTTCTTTTTTTTTTTCCCCCCATGCTTGTTCCTCACCAAACCACTTAGTCCTTCTCTTCCCCCACCTTTTGTTCCTCTCCTAAAAATCCCATGCCAAGTCAGTCGTGTTCCTCCCTAGCATTGCATGAGGAGTCCCACACAGTCCAGAAGGCAGTGGCTCTCCTCAGTCTCTAAGGTGACCTGCAGAGCTGCTGCTCCCACTGACTGTCCTTGAAGGGGCATCATCCCAAGGCAATGGGATGTCTCTCCTGTGACAGGCACAGGAACAGCCAGGTCAGGGTGCTCTGTTTCTCTCATCAGGATGTTGGAGTTCCCATGTGTGTCACCCTTCCCTGTACTCCTTGCCTCATGTACCACTGAACTGTCTTTAAAAGGAGAGTTGTGTAACACAGAAACCAAAAGGCAGGTGTTAGATGGCCAAGGTGACTTTAAAACAAAGAAGTCGATTGAAAAGAAACATGAGGCAAACCCTGCTCTCCAGTGGAATTTTAGGGCTGTAGTGTGATATAGTCACACAACTCTACATTAACTCCTCTAAGGAGACACCCCTCACTAAGGATCTTGCCAGGAATAACATCTTGCTATCAGCAGTTTCAGGAATGAGGGGAACTGAGTTACAAAAAACAGTTTTCAGCAATGTCAAACACTTTTTTCTTCTGCTTTATTTTAGGTGTGGAAGTGGAATGTCGGCCAGTAAGTACCAGACTGCAGTATGGGAATATCAACGGATGTGTGGCTGAAAGGGAAGTGCCCATTTCTCATTGTGAGGTAACTAACGAAAGCAACCACCCTCTGCCCCAAGACCTGTCCTTCCCCACTTTCTCTCCTGTGAAAGCAAACATTTTCCTCCACTATGGCTTCACTTCAGTGAGTGGAGCATCAGTTTCTGTCCTCACTGACTGACTCAGTGTAAAACTCATTGACATTTATCTCCTAAAGTGGTTTGGTGATGCTGAATTTTCCCTATTGAAGCCAGCATGAAGAAAAGGCATATATGTTAGACACAAAGGCTGTGTTCATCCCACTTTCCTTTGCTTCCACTGGAAATTAATGACTCTGAAGTGGCTCTGTGAGGAATTTCTACAAAAAAGGAAAATAATTTTTATCTTTGCATTGGTAAAGCTGATTTTTGAATCTGAGTCTATAGTTAAGCACTGAGGCTCTGAGGTTCATTAGGAGAACATAAATAGGTATTTAGATGAATGATACTTTGAAAGACCTTTAAACTTAAGTGCCATGTTTTGAGTTCTGTGCTCTATAAGCTATATAACTCTCTGTTAGCCTTGGCACTAAGCTGTTGTGTTCTACATGTCTTGTGCATTTCTTCCATAATCAGATTAAAAGGTTAATTTCCAGCCCATCACTGCTTATACCTTATAGGGCAACTTCCTTTTGAAACAGGAGCATGGCTTCCCTTCTGGGGGTTCCCATCTCTCTGAGACTGGGAACCAAAGGTGACATTCTCTTCCCAGACTGGGTTGTAGCGGGAAAGCTGCTCAGTCCAAGATAACCAACCCTCATACAGGGATTTTAATCAACTCTTGTATACAGTCCAAGTTATGACATAACTAATAATTCTTGACCTCTTGTCCTGTCCACAAAGTCAGTGGTCCTTAGCCATAAAGTGATATGTATTGAAGTTTCACCTGCAAAAGTACAGATTTTGTATGTATTATTTTATTTCATTAGAGTCAGAAATAGGACCACAGAGTCACAGAAAGAAGTGGACTCTGACAGAGTGTGATATGGGGCCATTTCTTTTTAAAGCATGAAAGGTTATAGCTATAGATATTGACAGCTTGTTCTAAGTTATTAAAGTGGCCAGACAAGTAGAACAAGAAAAAATAGCAACCAGCAGGACAACAGTGGATGTGTGGTTTGCACCATTTAGGCCAAAGCATTTTCTGAATGTATGATCTCATACAGCTGAACGATAACCATATGTGCTCAGAAGCCAACACAGCAGCCCTGGACATCGCCTGTGATAACTGAAGTTATGGGCTTTTTTTTGTGTGTGACCAGTTTCTTCATCTCTCCTATGCTTACGCTCATCAGACATTACTCTTTGAGCAGCATCCCACACTCTGGAATCAGGCCCCTGTTTCTGAGTTCATGTTACAGAACTCAGGCAAAGCCGTCCACGGATGTTTTGAAGGGAAGAACTGGGATTCTGAGTGGAATGAGGTCTGGCACTGTTCAACCTTCCTATCTCTTTTTTCCATTTAGGGCAAGTGCAGAAGCAACACCAGGTACTCTCTCGAGACAGAGAAATGGGAAGACCTGTGCAGCTGCTGTAAGGCCACTCAAACCACCACAGTCACGATCCCGTTCCGATGTGCCAACGGGTCAGTGGTGCAGCACTACATCCCTTCTGCCTCCCAGTGTGAATGCTACTCTCGGAAGTGTACAGAATGAGTCTTTCCCAGAAGCCTAGTTGTTTAATCTGAAGTTTTATCATGAAGGAACTTCACAGTGCAAGCCTCATTTTCTCTGTAGACTGTCTTATCCTGTAGAATCCTGACTAACTAATTGTATCAACACAGCAAACAATAAAACTTACTAGCACAACAGAGTATTTTCTGATTCATCTTGGGGTGCTCCATACTAGAGATATTTCAGATTGTACTTTTCCCCTTCATCTTCTCCATGGAAAGTAGTCCAAGGAAAAACTCAAACCAACAACCATAAACAAAAAAATCAAACCCTGAATCAGCTGCTTATACTTAAAGAACATATCCCAAGTCATTCAGCATTGCCTTCAGAGGCATTACCCTTGCATTGCCCACCTCAGTCCTGAGTGACACACTTTAAGTTTTTTTCCCCCCAGCTCTATTCAGGGACTACAGTATTTATGGCATAGTACTTCATAGTAAGAGCATGATGTTCCTGATACACAAACAGTACTGGTAATGGCTCAGACAACCAAATACATTTCTGCAATGCATAAACATGTTTCTCCTGAAGCTGGATGCAAAGAAATTGTGTGCCGAGGACAGGCTGTGTAAATTCTGCAAGTCTTCAGTACTCGTGAACGGGATTAGGGACAGTCTTATTTACTTCATCCCTACCACAGACCAACTTGAGGAGAAAGCTCAGTGATGATCTCCCTTATTTCCAGATACCAGAACTTCATCTGTTGTATTAATTACAAAAGTTAGAGTTCTTTCAAATGCAGAATTATCAGTAGCAGGTTTAATGTAGTTATTGCTAGCAGGGATAAATTTACCAGGATTTAAATTCCAATTGGTCTGACCAGGCCATGGAATACAAAAGATTTTCCAGAATGTTTTTGGTTCTGGAGGAATCTGGTGTCAGTGAAGGAGTTTCACTGGGAAGCACTAATTTCTCAAAAATATGAGAGAGAGAAGATTGTTAATTCCATTTGCATTTTTGAAAGACAAGGATTATTTAAATGTCTCATTTAATTAACATTCTTTTACCAATGAATGCCACTGTCACATGTTTAAATAGTCAAACCACCTCCCCATCTGCATGAAAAGCTCTCTTCGGGAGCAAGAAAGAACTCCTGTGCTTTCAGCTAAAAAGGTAAGATGTATTTTTTTTTTTTAGTGGAACCAGGCAGATCCCTGCTTCTTCTCTTTTGCCATTCAACACACATTGAGCTGTAAGCCCTTTTTGTCTTTATTATTCATTCAAAATGTCCTCTGTTGCTGGACAGTGCTAGAAGTGCAGGCCTTCTATGCATCTCTCTTTCTTCTGCTCTGGGACCACAATAACACCAGGGAGAGAAACTAAGTTTTAATTGGTACCAGCCCCACCTACTGCAGTAGATCTCTGTCACCAGGTTACCTCCATCCTCACACCAGCTCCTTCTTGTAGCTGGCTCTGAATGTTGAGCTCCCTGACAGGTGGGTTTGGGTCACCCATTGCACAGCAGTTCATCTGAAGCTGCAGGTCAGCAACTCCTGGAACAGCCACCTGCAATGGTGAGGGCCAGACAATGGATTCAAACTGAGAGAGAGTGCGTTTAGGTTAGATATTAGGAAAAAAGTCTTTCCCCTGAGGGCAGTGAGGCACTGGCACAGCCTGAGCTGTGCAGAGCAAATGAGAGAAAGAGTTCAAAGAAGCTCATCCAGAGAAGCTGTGGCTGCCCCATCCCTGGAAGTGTTCAAGGCCAGGTTGGATGGGGCTCTGAGCAACCTGGGATAGTGGAAGGCATCCCTGCCCATGGCAGGGGGGTTGGAACTGGGTGAACTTTAAGGTTCCTTCCAACCACAACCATTCTCTGATTCCATGAAAAGGAGTGGACAGCAGGTAAAGGCAGTGTCTTCCTCTTACTGTTACTGGAATGCTCCTTTTTTTCTCACCCAGACTGACCCTTCTTATCTCATGAAAGCTGACAGGATTGCAGCCTCAGGCTTCATGGCTGCAGACAGGTCTTCTAATCAGATAACTGTGTGAGTCAGGCACTGGCTTAGACCATGAGAACCTGCTGGCTTTGCTTACAGAACAGAGTCCTGTGGACTTTGGGGTGGTTTATGTGTTATTATTCAGGCCTGGCTAGTACCTCTGTGTTCCAAATCCCTGTTGTGCTCAAGGCCAGAAGAAGCTTCTTCCTTGAAAATCCTGTCATAGGAACAGACAGGCAGGAAAGAAAAAGAGGAAGGGAATATTACATCTCCTTTAGCAGACCGAGGAGGTATACATACATTTTTGGCTTTGACTTGCTGGCATGAGAATCAAACTTTTTCAGGCAGCCTGCCCTAAAAGAGGTGTCTTTTGCCTAAGGCTCAGGTGGTGCTGGTAAGACCATGGTCTCCAACCCCCTCCATGGAGGTTTCATTGCCTTTCTCATGGAGCAGTTGCATTTAGTGCAGCTCCAATATTTTCAGAAGCATCCTTCCCTGACAGAAGTGAAGAGCATAGTCCAGCCTACAATTGCTGGAGTTGCTACTCTGCTTAGTACAGAGCTGCATAATCTGAGCATGAATCCAAGCTTTTTTTCCCCCAAGTACTGTTTTCCAACTCGTACAGACTGTTTGTGGTTCTGGATGGTTTGGAGCTACCCTAGTCCTTGCCTTTCCACCAATGATTCGGGACACATCCCAGCACTTCAGAACTCTGTCTGGACTGCTGAGTGTGCTACAGGATAGATTTACAGGAATGTCAAATGGATTTGGGGAGGAGTCTTACATAACTTCTTAATAATTAAAAGCACCTAATCTCTCTGCTAACTTTTACAGACTTGCAAGCACCACTCCTCTACAGCAGTGAAACACAATCTAGTATATTGGTATTATTTGTCACAGCTCTGCCTTATCAACTAACATCATGCCCAAGTACCTCAGGAAACATGGTGATGCCAAGATATGATTTTCTCCATTGGAAAATCTTTAAAATAGACTACAATCCCAGTTCCATTCTAACCACCTGGATATTGCTTCCTATCATATTGCGTGCTGTGTATATTATTTATTACCTGAGCTAACTGTGTTACCTGTAATGCACCCATCCTTATGGCTTATAGTAATTTGAACCTGTGCAGGCAGAGCTATAAATCCACAGGGATCCCAGCAGGACCTGGCTCTACATTCCTATACATTCCAAAATTAGCAGGTATGCCTTTCTGGTTTTGTGCTTAGTAGATGCTGTGTAGACTGTGGATATAAAATAGTGTAATTTTCAGAAAGTTTTCATTTCCCTCTCCCTGAGATAAGTGTATAGAAAGCAGTAGATTTGTTCTCTATCTAGGAAAGAGATTAATTGTTTTCAAAACTTCTGAATGAAGTTCTGAGAGTTGCTAGCAGGGGTAAAAAGAAAAAAGTATTTGATACCTGTTGATACATTACTTAGAAATTAGGAAATGCTATTCCAAAGGAGAGACTAAGAACAGTGGGGTAAATGAATGAGTTTAAAGCACCATACACATTTCTCAACCATTCTGGGAAAATTTTACATCACCCAGCCCAATTTTTGGGACACAACAGCTGCAGTGCTCCTTTTATATACTCAGCATGTTTGATAGCACAGCCAGAGAGCATCAGCACATCTGTATGTGACACAGACGACTTCTATTCCTTCCTTAAGTCATGACAAAATGTGTGGTCCTAATTCACAAGCCAGTAGAACCACTGGACTTTATTCAGTCATTGAATAAATCCATTTCTCCCTTTCATATTAGAGAAACCATGATAGCATCACAAATAAGCTAAAAGAAGAAAAATATTTGAAGTCCAATTAATTACATCTCCCTCCAATTATCATTAGCAACTAAAAGTCCTTTCTCGGATGGCACTGGGCATCAATAACTTTTCTTCCCAATATATTGCTTAAATTGTAAGGTTGAAGGCTAAGCAGGACCCATCACCTATTCTGATCAGACTGTTGATTACAAGATAATCCCCTGAATATTTCATGCAGGAATGACAGTAAGTAAGGTAACTTGAGAACTTGAAATAGAGCTTTATAGAAAGGTTTCTGCACTTACCTCCTACCTGGAAGCACTGCAAAGCTTTGCAGATATAAAGAGACTCTTCCCCACAGAAACCAAACCACCTCCAAGATGGTTTAAGCCTCGAATGATGGGTCTTTGGATAGAGCTGGCTCTGCTGTAGAGCCCTGGTTCTGCATTAGCTGCTTTTTTGGCTTCTTCTCTTCCACTCCCTCTCCACTGCCTTCTGGGGAGTTAGGACAAAACATGCCTGTGCCTGTTATGTTGCTTGTTGAGGCGTTGTGGAGTATGAAGACAAGATGCTGAAGTTCCAGCAGAGAATTGCCATGGCCCCTCATGTCATGGGAACATTGTCTTTTTCCCCTTCTTTCCTCCATGAGGGTAATCACCAAAACAGAAGGTCTCGCTAATTAGCTTGTTTGTGGTTTGCTTAAAGCAGGATCAAGCCAGGATGGAAATAGCTGCTAGTGCTGCTCACTGCTTAAGCCAGTGCAGGAGCAGGTTGTGCTCAGGATCAGCATAGCCACATCCTATTAGCTCTGACGCAACTTCCAGCCAAACCTCCAGGCAACATGGAAACACACATGCCCGGTAAGTTTATTCTCTGCTTCATTGTTAATTGCTGCCTATGAGGTGGAATAGGTGGAAAGGGGATGGGGAACAGAGAAAAGAATACTTTGGAAGGATTCCTCTGGCTTCTTTCAGGACATTTGGAAAAAAAAAAAAAAGAAGTGAAATCTATGGCCCAGGTTACATACAGAGAGTTCAGAGATAAAACATGCAGAGTTCATTTCTTCTGAAGCCTCAGGAAGTGCAGCTGTGGGTCAGTGTTGTGATCCATGTGGAAAAGGCAATCACTAGGCAAATGCCTTGTGCTGGACTTCTGCTGCTTCCACCTGCATTTGCCTTATTGCAATGCAACTGTGGGGAGTGAGCAATATCCTTTTCCAGAAGACAATGTGCAGGAGTGAGCTCTCAATTCCCATCCAGGAGGAGCAAATCTGTTCAGTGCATAGAACCTTTGTGTTTGAGTTCCCAGTGTTCAAGTTTAGAATGACATTCAGCTGATGTTGAGTCACTATTGCTTTGCTGTTACAGTCTAAACTCTGTGGTTGTTTCCACGTTATCTCACCGTTGCTGGGGCTGTATCTCTGCTGTGA